ACATAGACCATAATTCACCTTGTTTACCCCCCAAAACTTTGCATAACCATTGTTTTCGATTTCTCTTGAGACGACTGTAATACCCTGGAGAATTTGGAAACATTGGTTATGCAAAATTCTGAGGGGGAAAACAAAATGCGTCATGGTCTATATGAAAGTAGTGATTACAAGAGATGTAAAGCGTGCGTAAATTAAGCTATTTGACGGACAACCTAGTCCCAAGGTCTCCCAGGAGTTGTGCGGGGTTGCGTAAATGAAGACTACGCGACGAGCCAACGCGACGCGCTCAGGAGGGTCTACTCAAACTCCCTGACGAGAGACAACCTCTGAAGCGCAAGGAAAATTGACGAAAATTACTTCTTCTTGGCACTCAGACTGGTGATAAATTAGCCAAACCACCGTTCTTTGTCGCATATTCTCGGCTTTGCCGTCACTGTCGCAATTTGGCCGAGGGAGGTTGTCGCTTGTCGCCATTTCATTTTAGGCTCTGTCGCTACTTTTTGGGTCATGTCGCTTGTCGGAATTTACCCTGGCAGGGCCTCATTCAAGCAGTTCGTACAACCAACCATTACAAAAAGAGCAGATCCAGTGCTTTCAGAAACTTATTATGGACAGATAAACATCATGTTTTAGTCCGCTTCAAGAGAACGCTGCAGGCTTAACGACAGGGGTTCTATTTTTCCATCAACAACATAAAACAAAGAAATCTATCGCGCTTCATACTTTATTGAACTGAACTGCTTACTCCTGCTGAGTAGAGCTTATTGTTGAGCAATAGTTAAGAAAAATAACATTTTGAGCTATAGAAATAGAATAGGGTCAGGATTTGGCGAACGGGGCAGCAAACCACCACCAAGAATCCCAGTATTCATTCTGACAAGTCGCTTTACACTGTAATTTTGTTATGTTGGAGAGACAACAGTTGTCTTTACACTAGGAGTGTTAAGTAAGACTTAAAAGCTGCTAAGTTTTACTAAACCAAAAATGCGTGTGTGAAAGCCTAAGTAACATCTCAAGCAACTTTACTTTGAGGTTTGTTGAGCTTTGAGAACGGCGAAACACGTGTATAAATCTTAATTGTGTTCCGAGTAAAAAAGAATCGGTTATGTGTGAAGTTTTTTATTTTACGTGAAGTAATAAAAATTTATTTGTCTTGAAATATTTCTGAGCTTATTTAGGATCTAGTGTAGAGCCTAAATAAGGTAAAAAATATTTCAAGACAAATAAATTTTAAATTCTTCAAGTAAAAGAAAGCTTCACACACAACCTATCTTTTCTTCTTCAGGTTTACTTAAGCCTATTTTCCCACGAAACATACTATTAAGATTGACTGACATGCTTCGCCTTTTTCAAAGCTTAGAAACCGCAAGTTCGCCAAGTTGGTTTTAAGGATGGTTTTCAAGTCACTTGAAACTTTCTTGAATCGTTTCCACTTTCCGACTTTAATGAGATGCAAAGTAAAGTTACTTGAGATTTTACTTAGGCATTCACACGCGCATTTTTGGTCAAGTGAAACTTAGTAGGTCTTAAGTCTTACTTAACAGCCTAGTGTAAAGACAACCAACGTAGTTTCGCATTCGCATGACGATGGATAGAAAGACGTGTTAAGAATCTCACCTTCTCACTCCCACTCCCACTCAGATTTAAAAACTACCTAACTACGGAACCCCACGGATAATAAACACATCTAACCCTGAAAATGAAGAAAGCTACCTGTTCTAATCAAACCCACCCCCACTTCAACCCACCCTCCCCTAAAGCAACGTTCCTAACTCTCCCCAAGAATATTGTTATGATTACCACCCTCCCCTCCCCCACTGATAAAGAAAACTAGTCACCCGCCCCTTCCCTAAACTGGTCCCAAAAAATGGTCCAAGAAATAGTCCAACAGTCCAAATGTCCATTAGTCACGTCCATATTTTGCCATGCCTCCACCAGACTATATATCAACCGTTGCGTTGGTTAATATATATGGCAAGGCGTTTTTGCAGACTAGAAGCCACAATGTCATTAGCCTTTTCTCTGTTTCTCCAGGTCTTATCAAGCAACAGGCGGTCAAAGCTCAATTGAGCGTACAATGGACGATTATAAACATAACTGGTAGTTGCCGCGTATGTAACGGTCTGATCGAAGATATCATAAAGGTTTACATCTTATCGGAACAGACGAGATTTTACAAGCAACGATAAAACGGGCAACAGGCAAAAACCTGCAACTTGTCTTGCAACATTGCTGCAAAACGAGTTGAATTAGCGATGTAGCGCATTTTAGCAGCCACGTTCAAACCTGTCTGACAACAATTCAGGTTGCTGCAGGTTGCGAAAAGTTTGTTGCAGAAGGTAGAAAATAGTTCAATTTTTACAACAGAGTCTGTACATGTTGTCCGTTTCACCGGCTTAAGGGCCGGGCTTAAGGGCAAACTCGTTTTGCAGCAAGTGACCAAACTCCCGTGTATGGCGTGACTCTCGCGTAATTTTATCCAATCAGAAGTCAGCATCAACGCAACTTAAAATAACCCTTTGTGCAAGACAGGTTCCTAAGGCTTAATATAGTAAAAAGAATGTGTCGTCACTACCTTTTTCGAGGTACCATTCTATACTCCTCGTTATCTTTCCCACGGCCACATCCATTGCCCGAATTTTGGCAAATTAGCGAAATTTTACCGCTTTCCAGGTAGCAGTCAAATCCCGTATCCAGCTAGCCAACGTATCGCGAGAATACCTTTCAAGAACCTTGCTAAAGGCTACTATGTAAAAAAACCAACAATTAATGTGAAAAGAGCGTGCTCCCCGACGATACACAATCCTTTGGTTTTGGTCCCAATTTTTTGAGTGCGTTGATATTAATCTAGCCTCCTTTGCACACGTTTTACACTTCTCAAGGCTTCGTGAATACATCTGCGAATATGTGGACGGTGGGAGGGTCAAATTAATGCGACATTCCTATTTGTTAGTCACCACAAAATGATAGTAATGCTCAGTGAACTTCATGTATGGCTTATTCACAAAAAAGGTGAAAAAAAAAAAAGAAAGGAAGAAGAACTATTTATCAAAGACGTGGGGTCATAACCTTGCTCTTTACAACTATGAGAAAACTATGAGCTGAATTCAATTTTTACCTCATGTGATTAAATTTTGTGCATTTAAGGTGGCTCCGTAATTAATACAAGAGCATTTAGCTGTGACAAATTTTCCGTCACAACTTTTTCGATTTTAACGCGATGGCTGCGAAACTTTGCAAAGAACAACAGATATCATTCGGCAATAATACGAAGTATTCCGATTTCATTGATGGTAAATATTTCTTGAGAAATTGGCGCTTAAAAGGACCCTACTGTTCAAAGAAAATCGCGTCTAGTAAAAAATTTTTACTGAAATTTGTGGTATCGGCTTTAATTGATATAATAAATATGCCAGAGGAATTTCAGAAAAATCGTTGGAGCAGAAGTCCGTAACTAAAAGTCGCTCAAAATTCAGCTGTGAAATTGTTTTGGAATTTCAAAAATAAATTACTATCGGGTAGAAGGAGCCACCAGTTTGAATTTTCGAGACAAGTAAATTCAACGTTTGCTAATTCTTAAAACAGAAGCCGATTGCCTATCGTGCTATTCTTTAAAAGGTACTGTTTAGTTGTAGAAGCACTATAAATTGCTCCAAACCTTGCTCTGAGGTAGAATTACTTGTTCTTCGACATTTCTAAAATATCCCATGGCAGTTTTGGTTCAAACTCCTGTTGCATACATTTTGATGTATTGCAATGCATTTTCAACGACTTTTACTGCTGTTCGTCGCTTCCAACTCAGGAAAAAAGTATTGAGATTGGACGCTACCTCGTACCAGAGCTCAGATAGAACTGTCCAGCACCTTCGTTTATGACTACAAAATGAGCACGAGCGGCAGTTCTGCGAGGAATTCGCACCTCACCCAGGGGGGACGAACGACAATGATGACCATGCCTGTGAACCGAATAACATCACAGTCCAAAATAAAATTATCGCAAAAATACTGCCCGTGAATAAATTTACAACTCTGAAATTTTTGTCACTCCTTCCTTCAATGAATGGGTATTTTTTTCTTGATTATTGTTTTGCTCTGCAATACATGTTTATACAGATCGGTTCACAGACATGGGCATCATTGTCATTCGTCCCCCCGGGCTGAGGTGCGAATTCCTCGCAGAAGTGCCGCTCGTGCTCATTTTCTGGTCATAAACAAAGGTGCTGGACAGTTCTATCTGAGCTTCGATACAAGGTAGCTTACAATGCCAATACCTTTTTCCTGAATTGGAAACAACGTACAGCAGGAAAAGCCGTTGAGGATGCATTGCAATACATCAAAATGTGTGCAGCAGGAGTTTGAACCAAAACTGCCAAGGGATATTTTAAAAATGTCGAGGAACAAGGGCAACAAGTCATTCGACGTCAGAGCAAAGTTTTGGAGCAATTTATAGTGCTTCTAAAACTGAAAAGTACCTTTTAAAGAATAGCACGATAGGCAGTCGGCTTCTGTTTTCAGAATTAGCAAACACTGAATTTACTTGTCCCGAAAATTGAAACTGGTATATGCTTCTTCCTGATAGTAGTTTATTTTTGAAATTCCAAAAAAATTTCACAGCAGAATTTTGAGCGACTTTTAGTTACGGACTTCTGCTCCAACGATTTTTCTGAAATTCCTCTGGCATATTTATTATATCAATTAAAGCCGATACCACAAATTTCAGTAAAAAATATCAGCAAAATTTTTTATTAGATGCGATTTTCTTTGAACAGTAGGGTCCTTTTAAGCGCTAATTTCTCAAGAAATATTTACCATCAATGAAATCGGAATATTTCGTATTATTGCCGAATGATATCTGTTGTTCTTTGCAAAGTTTCGCAGCCATCGCGTTAAAATCGAAAAAGTTGTGACGGAAAATTTGTCACAGCTAAATGCTCTTGTATTAATTACGGAACCACCTTAATTGGACAATATGCCCACTGAATATTTATGAAATTTTTTGAAGTTTTTAATGATTTACTCCAGCTGCAGCTGACAAGAACCCACACATCGGAATCTGTGGTAGCTATTTGTGCTCAAGATGATCCTTCCCTCGTATTTTTTGATAATTATGGCAGGCATTCATGGAGGTAAGCGGACAAATGATTATTATCTGAACCTCTATCTCGCTTAATTTTTGCTCTTCGGATGGGGCTTAGGACTGCTCTCTCGTGGCTTAATGTTCACGCAATTGACCTGACTGTAAAAAATATTCTTCCTTCGTTTTAGGACAGGACACAGGAATGTAAATGAGTGAAATGTTCTTTGCGTACCTTGTACAAAAATTTCTGCAGTTCCTGTTTACGCACTATTTTTTGTTTCTTTCGATTATTTCTCGCCTCTTCGGACTTAAGTTACGTTTAGAATCGCGCGATTCAAGCAGTTCGTACAACCACCCATTACAAAAAGAACAGATCCAGTGCTTATTATTATGGACTGATAAACATCAGGTTTTAGTCCGCTTCAAGAGAATGCCGGAAAGCCGAGCTTTGGGGGTCCGTCAAGGCCGAAAGGTCTTCACAAACGGTGTATTTCGAGTTCATTCGGGACCGCCAAAATAAATGCACGCTATTGTTGTTGTTCGCGAGTGAAAGCATGATGATTGATTACTTGGGCTTCTTTTCGAGCATGAGGAACGGATATGAAACGCTCAAGTAGAAGCCTTTCGACAGGTAAACGAAGTTTGGTTAGTTCCACAGTGAAAGTAGTTCCACTGCTGGACGGATTATAGCTGAGCTGATATGGCGGCATAATTTTCAGCGTAATACTAACTCAGCTGGAACAAAATGTGCATGCATGCCGAGCCCCCAACTTGACTCAACCTGTACACTACAGGTAAAAACATACCGGTCATACATATTACTTGGGTCTTTTAGGATCGTCTGAGATATTCAGTTCCTACATAGCTATGAGTAGAGGAGACTGGTTAGGAAAAAAATATATAATAAGAGATAACAGCAACACACGCAACAACAGTATTGCAGTTTATGTTGGAATCTCCGTGACGGTGCACAATCCTTTGTTTTAATTTCGTTCTCAAGGTGTGTCGAAATAAATTAATGCGAAGTTTTTGTTGGTTTGTAAGATCAAAATGATAGGAATATTCTCGCTTTTATCAACTTTGGTTGTTTTACTGACGTGAAAATTAGCATAATGGTACAGCACTAGTATTGGGCATTAGTATTATGGCAATTGGTTCACGAATTGGACTGAATAAACGAATTGACGTGTCTGTGGATCAGTTAGTTCAAGATCTAAATCAATTGAGTTCACGTTCGTTTATTTACACTTATGCAATAGCAGTGAAAAAAAAGCCAGATTTATACAACTGCGTGTAGAGGCCAAAGGAGCAAAGTTTTCGCGTTCACAAGCTCAGGAACCAAACGTTAGTGGCCAGAGGGGGTTGCATGCTTAACGCAAGGAGTTCTACTTTTTCAACGTGGCGCATCACTAAGTCAAAAAAGGCGTCAGCAACATAAAACAAAGAAATCTGTCGCGCTTCATACTTCATTGAACTGAACTGCTTACTCCTGCTGGGCAGAGCATATTGTTGAGCAATAGTTAAGAAAAACAACATTTTTGGGAATAGAAATAGAACAGGGTCAGGATTTGCAGAACCGGGCGGCTGCCAAGGATCCCAGTATTCATTCTGACAAGTCGCTTTAAGTCTGTCATGTTGAAGAGACAACATCGTGAAAATTAAAGTCTTGTGTGAGTAGTTTTCTCTTATCTGGTTTACTGTTGGGGCAATACATTCAACAACCTGACAATGTAGTTTCGCATGACAATGGATAGAAACACGTGTTAAAAATTCCACCTTCTACGCGGAAGCCTGTTTCCCATGCAAGCGAGCCACTGAAGCGTTCGACGAATGCAAAGCAGGACGTAAGGAAAGGTCTGAGAGGGCGTCAACCCGTGATGATGCGAAGCCGTCTGACAACTTCTTAGAGGAGATGGCACCCAATATTGCTCCCAAACGTTTCGTGGGCGTATAGGCCATTATTTTCTCAAAATCTCGGTGTTTTTGCAATAAGATAAATATGTTCGCTAAAACGAGATTTCGTTATAAACAGGTTCCGATTTCCACGATTTTACTTTAGAAGGGGCCAAGGATATCATTCGTTATAAGGAGGACTTCGTTATACACAGTATGACAGCTCGTTAAATAGCGGTTCTACTTTATATATTGCATTATATATTTTTCATTAAGAATTTTAGTTTCCTGTCCTGAACACCGAAGTGAAACCATTCTTTTTTTTCCACATGATAGAAAGATAGATACAGTGGAACCTCTCCTTTGGGACACCTCTGTTCAGGGGACATCTCCATTCAGGGGAGACAAAATTTGGTCCCGGAAAAATGTTCACATAATCTTTGAATTTGTTAACTCTGTTGTAGGGACACCTCCATTCCGGGGAAAGGGACACTTTTTCTGGGTCCCGAAACCTGGGCTTAACGTCCATTCAAGGGACAGCTTAGCCCTCAAAAGAGACTGACCACAAAAAATCGTTGATAAGTTTAAGTGTTCACAAGTCACAATAGCGGCGGTTTCCAAAACATGAACTCACTAACTTGAATAGATGTACTACACTTATGGGAATTCAGCACACAACATCGCGGAGATAAGTTAATCATGATTTTTTATACATTACCGCTGACAGTCGAACCCCTCTTTACGGACAACAGCTTAAACACCTCGTTATCACGGACAGTTTTCCCAATAAGGGCGAAACAACTGTCCATGGCTGCCACTGCCGGGGTGATATGGGTTTTGCGCATGCGTAAGGTACTGGCCGCGAAGTTGGTACGTGTGCTTCAGTGCTTAAATCTGTCCCTGGGGAAAGCAAGCCGTCACATTTTCTCTACATTCAACCCCTTAATACGAATACCCCGTTAACACGGACACTTTCTATGGCCCCCTCAGTGCCCGTATTAACGAGGTGTCCGTATTAAGCACGGAGTTCGAATGTAATCTTCGATAAACGCCGCTTTCTTCTGATCGGGTGAGGCGTTCGTTCGAGCGCGGCGTTGATTGATAATTGTGTTTCCAACTGCGGCGTTTAATCGAGTAAATACCGAGCTGTGCCTTTACAAATTTTTAATTTTCATTCTTTTTCAGCCTGGGGCATAAAATGCCGCCAGTGTAACCCAGACTTAAACAACATCGCAAATGTTAATGCCAACTCGGGATCCTTGACCTTTTGCTCCAAACCCACTGAAAGCATAGATTGCAGCAGAGATCCAAATATAGGAAGCTTGGCCGATTCCTGTTACACCGCAGATGTCACGATATCCGTAAACACAACGGTCCCAGGCGTCCCCCTTACGGATATCCAGGTGTTTGTCCTCAACTGTTCCGTGATGTCTTTATGCAGCTTTCTAAAGGATCAAACCTGCCGGGGGTTGGAGACCGCGTTTGAAGGTATTCCTCAAATCCAAATGAAAAACTGTGATGTCAAATGTTGCCAGGGGGATCTGTGCAATGATCCCTCCAATCCCCCATCGGACAAGTCGTCGGTGAAGATGCCACAAACAACCACACTATGCGGATTGTTGGTGTTGATCGCTTTGACTTTTATGAACTTTTAAACACAGCCGCCACAGAAGGCAAAGGCTAGACAAACTATTCTATCTTTTGAACACTAACTTTGCACGAGCTAAGGTAGCAATCCAAGCCCCGTTTCAAACGACGTGCTACTGTCGACTTCAGCACGGCATTAGCGGAACGTCTAAAACCAAGTAGTGATACTGCCGTATAGAACGGCGAAGCAACTCAATTCATGTATTCTAGGAAGAAAACATTTTAAAATCGACTAACCTGTTTTTTATGTCTGTGTTTTTTGCCGCGACATAGGGGTTTACTTTACTGAGTGCCAAACGTCGGGATAGTTTTCCTGTTCTTTTTTTTTTTTGGTTTTGTTTTGTTTTTTGTTTTTGCGCCGTCCCCACTATCGCAACTTCTGGGATTCAAGTCTTGGTAAAGTCAATACAGCATAGCACGGAAGTAGCAGGACGGTTGAAACAGACGTAGGGGCGCTTACCTTTTGCCAGACCTACTATATACACCACTACTACAGATGTACTTATATACACCACTTATAAGCATATTAACTATACAGTAATCGTGTTTTAAAAAAGCTTCTGCAATGAAAACGAGCGTCAACGACGGCCTGGAAATATCATTAGATGGACTGAATTTTCGCCGAAAGCATGCTTTGTAAGTTTTGTTGAGTTCGTTAAAGTTACGAGAATAAACGTCTCTCTCAAATAAACGCCTCCTGTCTATTAACGCCCTGCTTGGACCTCTAAAATAAATAGACGCCCCGGGCGTTTATTACGTCATTTACGGTAATCAGGTCTATCCGGTCAGATCGTGCAGTTTATTCCTAAATGGTTTGGACAGCATTAATGGGTTTTAGTGAAAATTTCGAGAAAAGACTGATCTTTCATTCTCAACTTAACCGATTTGATATTTGGCAAAAGAGAATTTGTATTTAGTAGTTACCCTAAGATTAGTCTGCTACACCAGCCGTTTTTAGTGTCGTCACGCAACGCTCCTCCCCACTAATAGGAGCGTTGCGTGACGACACTAAAAACGGCTGTGTAGCAGACTACCCTAAGATAGGCATTTATCGGAGCAGACGGTAAAGAAGTTCTTTCACGAAACAGTTGGTCAGTGGAAAGTATTACTCTTTTATTGAAAATACTGCAGTTATAATACGCATACAAAAAAGTAATAAAAACAGCTATAATTCAAGTCCCAATCGGGGTATATGTTAAGGGCTATAACCGGTCGTTAAAACCGTTATGGCTGAGCTATTTACCCAGCAGGCTAATTATGACAACAGCTATTGTACAATTATTTTAAGGAGAAATTCCGGAAAGTTTTGCGGTAATAATGTACACGTACCATGTTCAATAAAAAGAACGTTTAGTTACCTCTACGCGATTAAGGTAATTGCTTTATTAGATATCTAGATTGGTAGAAATCTTAATTTTGTACTACATTTGACAACATCCACAGTGATAAAACTGTAAAACCGTGATTCTTGAGATTTACAGCCAGACTTCAGGCTTTCTCTGTTAAGAAACAGGCAAAGAAATAGTCTGTTTTAGTCTTGTTTTTGTTTGTTCTTTCGAATTTGAAACAAGAGAAAACAGAAACCAAACCAAGAGTAAATTTAAACTATGAAATAAACACATTCCATGATCATACCCAACCTGCTTATTTTGAACAATTTCTCTAACATGGGACATGCAGAGCTAAGAAAAGCCAAGAAAGCACCAATGAATGGGGAGAGAACGGGGAGAGGGGAAAGGGAATTAAGGGGACAGGGGGAGGGGAGTAGGAGAGGCTCCCATGTCTCCCCTGTCCCGTCAAACCACGTCCGCCTGGGAGCCTGTTCGCAGGGTAAACTCAAATTAGGGTTTTGCTTTCCCTTTGGCTCAATAGGCCATTTGCACGATGGCGTCATTTTACTGCTACGACCAGAATCCTTCGCGTTTATGCTTTCTTGTCTAAATTAGGGCTTCTGTTATTTAAACCTCGCTGGGATGAGCAAATTTAAAAGTGAAAGCAAAAAACAAAAAGAATTCTGTTCGTAGCAGTAAAATGACGCTATCGTGCAAATGGCCTATTTTAAGGGAATTTTATCCACAGATTTATCGAGACCTGGCTATAGCGAAGAGTTGCTTTGTTTCCACAGTTTCTTCAAATTCGTGAAGAAAACTAAACTCAAGACAAATGGATGCCCGATTTTTGAAGCGTCCGAAACCAATTTCGTTTCCCCTAAGAGGTTCGAAATGTTCCGATTGCACTGTTTCTTTAGACAAGAAAGTTAACAAAAGACCTCAATTCTTTGCATAATCTCTCACCGCCGCCACCACCACCACCATTATCAGTCAAAACTTAAATCAACTTCTGAAAGCTTATTTGTTTTTCAAGAAAATATCGTTCTGTAGAATGAGTTCCAAGCAACTTGCTAATCAATCTAGTCTTTTCCTCCTTACTATGGGATAAGCAGAAATCTATAAGACAGGCAGTTTTTAGGACTGTAACCCCTTGAATGGGTCAACAAGGTATTTTCTAGTTATAATATAGGCCGCTTTGCAAATGATGGGATTCATCTCACCTTATACACTTCATGGTAAGCGTTTCTCAGAAGGGCGTAAGGAAAACACGACTCAAGTACGTCCATTGTAAGGTATGGAGATTCATTCACGATCTACCCAGAAAGAGATCAGGACAAAATCAACATGAATAAACTCAAAGTTGCATAAAACCACCGGTAAGGCGTAAGTAGATGTAGTAGATTCTGGCGTAAAAAGAGAGGGAATCTTAGGGCGTTGACCGAGACATGCGAATTCCTGGTACGTCCACATAGTTTAATCGATTGTTTGAAACGTCATCAAGTCCACACGCGACTCTGTCCAAGCAAAAAATGCAGAATATTGTAATGACGATATTCCAAGAGTACACAATATCTCATTACTCTCTCCTGACAACAATGAATAAAAAAGTCGAGTGCCCGGCTCTGCGAAAACCAACTTTCGATTGGTTTCAAGCGTTTAATTGGTATAAAAATAACCTAGGTAAAATACACATATCCCAAGGGCGAGACTGGGCGCGGATCCCTCTGTTCCATTATTCTCTCCTGGCTAAGCTTAACGCCCGACGGTAGCGTTTACCTCCGTCGTTAAGGTTTATGCACCTGGTGCTAGAAGCGTATGTGCTCCTACAGAAATTAGAGTCACTATGAACAAAAATTAAAATACCGTAAATACATCAACGACCTCCTTCAAGAAAGTACACAAGACTGGGCCCCTAAAAACTCTGTACTAAGTTTTCATGTATTTTCGGAAGTGTTTCAGCGGGAAGCGGGGGGAGGGAGTAAACGGGAGCGGCCGGAGAATAATCTCTTGGTGGACCAACGAGTGGAACGAGTACTCTCACCCCTGCACCGCACAAAAACTCAAGCAAACAAACAAACAATCGAAAATGGCAAAAAGCCCAGAGAATTTCCTACTACAGCTGTAAAATAATACCCTGCTGACTCATTTCGCCTGTTTTTAAGCCCACAACTTTCGTCATACAAACGGATGCATAACTCAGCAGGGAGAGCAGTCTTCACGCCAGTATAAGGAGACCTTCAAGGTCTCTGACGGCTTGGGCCTATTAAACTCGTAGAAGACTCGAGAGCATGTGTTTGTTTGTTTGATTGGTTGATATTTTTGTTCTTGTCTTGTTTGAGGGAAAAGGGTTTAACAACACCTAATAACAAATGGGAACTACAATTTCTTACCAGGTCTAACAGAAGATAGGTTGATTCTCGAGCCTTAACGTCTTTTTCTGTTTCAATGCCCAGTTTGAGCAAACTGGAGGACGCAATCTGTACAGTCAAAATATATTAGTTAACGTCAACATGTAAAGAATTCTGGAACGGTTAAAATCGCTGAAACGACGGAAATCAGTGGAAAGCAACCAGATTAAATTTCCGTTCAAAAAGAATGCAAACAAAATAAATCGCGTAAGGAAGTACTTCGAGTTAAGCAAACTAAACAAGCTTTTGCGTTGGTCCTTTTTTTTTTTCTAGTAAAAATTTATTGTACCTTTCTACTAATTGAATTGAATTGAACTGAATTACTACATGCAAGATAAATAGGCCAGGCTAAGTGCAAAACCTTTCTTGTGAAAGTGAGTTTTATTTGCATGAGAACAGTAAATCATTTTCATATCAAAGGCTCAGCAGTTAGCCTCGCTTTGAAACAGAGGCTTGGGCAACTAAGAAAAGGCCCTTTATATGCCCCTATTACGTAACATCTCACCGGGATGAACTAGGTTTAAAAACAGGAATAAAACATTTGAAAATCTTGCCCACATACCGCTAAGAATTCTCTAAGCCTTTCCTCAGCACTGTCTCCATTGTTAAAGCAAAGCGCGCCTGTAATGCGATTGATGGCCGCTGCCATACAGTGGGCGTTGTTTTCATGCGCTGCAAAGTTATATCATATAAGTCAATCAAGAGGGCTACCAAAAAACAGATAATTCTGGAGATTGCTACGATTGCTTACGTCACAGTAGAATCCATATTCAACAAACCTGAATAACGTGAGAAATTTCTCACACACAACTGGGAACAACCAGAACTATGGCACTATATTTTGAATCCTAAGACACACCCAAAAAAAATATGAAGGGTGGATGGGCGGGGCAGGTTAAACCATGTGGCCTAAAGACCCCCGCAAACTCGAAAATATACTCCCAACTGTGTGTGAGAAACACGTTTTCCACTTCTTTCCTTCCTCAGCAAACAAACAAACAAACGGTATTGATGCAAATTCAATGTGGTGGAAATAGTTAACTTAAAGTAAGGAAGAAAACGTTGTACCTTCTAAGTCTGCGTTGTAATCAGAGGCTTCTCTGTAGGCAAGAGATGGAAGGGCTACGGCTGCAAACACCTGCAGAATACAAATAAAAGGTTAGCTTTCCGTAAATCAATCCCAAGTCAATGACGGCGCTCTTACGGGAATGATGGTAAGTACAACAAGACTAGAGACGTCTCTGTCGATGTTGGAAACAGCAGAGTGCGACTGCTCCAAATTTTCGAGCCCTTGCAAAATGGGAAATGGCCATACAACAGCAAAAAGAAGCTACCTTTAAAACGAAAAGCTGATTCATTGAGGCTAATTAGACACAAAAGTTGTAAGTTCTTGTTGTCTTGAACTTATCCTAACAATTGAATTCATTACTGTTCTACAAAGGACTGATCGTTCCACATGCTGAAGTGGGTCTTGCACGACGCAAGTGAACTACAGTGGTTATATGACACTGTGGCCACAATATTGTTCTGTCAAACCGTTTGAGCGATCAGAATAATCGACTAATGTTTCTGAGCTATCATCTTATTACCCTGGAGAAATAGCTTATGAAACACCCAGCCTTCAACAGTTTTTAGATTAGCATAGTGATCCACAACACTCACCAAGAATAACGACCAAATCAGCGAATCTTCTTCGGGCCTCTTTTCTGAAATAAAAAAAGTAATAACGATGATAAGTTTTAGTGCAGCCAGCGCGTGACCGAGTAGTCGATATGCTGGACCCTTAATCGGCCATCGCAGGTTCAAGTCTCGCTTCGACCAATAGCTGGATTTTCATTTTCGGTAGTCCCAAGTTTAACTCCTTGACCATGGTTGTCTATACCTAACTGGTTTGTCTCCTAACAGTTGGGCCTCTTAAAAATGTCATATTGAATTTTCATGAATTGCTTAAGTGTTTTGCAATGACCCTACCACTTTTTTTGCTATAAAACTGACAAGGGTAAATATTTCAGCACACTAAAAGTAGTTCCCGTGGACTCCCTCTTTGTACGACCCCTCGCTGGGAACAAAGTTAGGCCAGACTTCAATACCCACATTTCGGCTTGGGAGCGATGGGTAGACTACACAGCTCCCTCCAAGCTAAAACAAAGCTGTAATTATAACTACCTGATCTAATAAAAAGTTCCACAAACGAATTGTTAGACGGAAGGGATTTCTTGTACTTTGTACTGCAGATGTACTTTTGTGCGTTTCACAATCACTCCGCTTTGGTTTAACATAAGGACCTTCTGGAGATATCAATTGAATGAACACTACAAGCTTGATCAAGCACTCACCTTTATGAACACGAAGCGCCTGACAAAGAACTGGGTCCACCTCGCACTGTAAGCCTGCAGATGTCGCCATTTCGTCAACAAGCTAAACGGCAAAACAATAACACTATCAAATGAGTGACTCGACAGCCGATCGGGATAACTTGCAAAATATATACAACAAATAAAAAAGCAATTCGAAGCGTCGATAATCATTAGAAAGCGAAAAACAAAATATTCACGCAAAGGGAGCCCTCATGGCTTCTCTGTAACGTTTTCCGTAAGCTTAACGAAATGAATTAGAATGGAAGGCACCTATTTAAGCTTCTATGTGGTGGATTGTTTTCGTGAGGAAACTCAACGAGTTGCAAGAAAATCCCATAAGGTATTACAAAGTAAATTGGCAATTTTTGTTATCTCCTTTCGGATCAGAACTCCGCATGCAAAAGAGACTATTACTGACCGGTCGATCGTTGTTTCCCTGTGGAAAATGCTCTTTGAAGTCCACTATAGAGTTCATCAGGAATGGTACCCTCTTGTTTAGAACCTGATCGCAATAAAAGTTCTTTCAATTCTCCACAGTGAACATAACCATTAAAAAGGACACAAAACAGTTACACAACATTTTTGTAAAAATACAAAAAAATTGGAAAAACATTTCATTTATAATCATCTAAAGTAGGCTGTTCAGGACTCCAAGATAGCTGGAAAAGCGGATCGAGAAAAGTTGCGCGAAAACCGCTTGGGGGCTGGGGAGGTACACCAGCTTCAGGTATGCCCTATGATTGGTCAACTGCCAAGCATGTGATGAAACCCTCCTACACCCTTTTGACGTTCTCTTATTTAACATTTTGACAAGAACAACGTTTTTTCAGGAAGTGGGTTGGGGGCGGATCAATGTTTTTAAAAAGATACTATAGGCTTTCTTTGTCTCTCTTCCTGCCGTTTTTCGTTCGTTAGCTATTTCACTGCTCGCTCGCTCGCATTCTTTCCTCGTCCGTAATGATCAAGACCCCAGCACAGGCTACATCTAAACTGGCTGAGTACCTGCATGGCCATCGGCCAGGCACCCATCCAGCCAGCCGACCCACCGATCACAGAAAACGAATAGCAAAATGTTAACATTCAAAAAACAGAACTGCACTAGCACTGAATTGAGTGACCGAACTCACCACTTCCAGAGCTTCTTGAGTGAGGGTACGGAAGGTTAGAATCACTCCAACGATAATGATTCGCATCACCACGTCTTCGATATCTAACAATCAAATCATGATTAATAATTAATATTTCAAAAAACGTTCTAAGTGAACATCGATTTATCTTTGAACCGCCGCCCGGTTAGCTCAATGGGATAAGCGCCGGTCTGCTGAGCGGGAGATCGTAGGTTCAAACCCTGACTTGACCAACACTCAGGGTCTTTAAATAACTGAGGAGAAAGTCCTGCCTTTGTAATAGTTTATTACCCTTTGTAATAACATCTGAAAACGGTTTGACTTTCTAGTCTTCTCGGATAAGGACGATAAACCGTAGGAACCGTCTCACAAGCCCTTGCACATGTACTAAAAAATCTGTGGGACCCACACACTCTTCGTAAAGAGTAGGGCACGTAGTGCCCGGTGTAGTGGTCTATCTCACTTTCACACTTATGTATGGGGGTATCATTACTTATTCCTTCATTACTTGTAAACTGCATCTTTAGCAGTCTGGCAAAGTCCCCCAACCAGTGTTGTAAATTATCCGATGATGATTCGCATGAGGGGAGTGGATAATATGATATCTACATTTACATTTTACATTACTTGAGTGCAAATGGCTAAGACTCTTATGCTTACTTTTCAGTCTTCTAATAAGCTCCAAACACTGCTCTGGTTTGTCAAAACTGGTCCGCAGGCTCGTCAATACATCTTTGTTTTGAATGATGAGTTTCTGTTCCAAGCAAAGAAAAGAAGAAAAATCAGCTGTCCTAACAAATTCACGACAGGCCGCTAAAAGATGTCACTTGTAATTCGTTTAAATTCTTTGCATATAATAATACAAGTGTCTGAGTGCTGCAGTGTCGTTTGTGAACTCGAAACGCATAAAGTCAATCTATTAATATGTTAACTTCTGAACAGTTTACCACTGCTGGCAGCAGGAATCAGCATACTCAACACATATACATACAAACACTCTGCTGGGTTCGTCAACCAGGGTGGAGGACAAGAAGGAGGGAGCTGTGAAATGAGGTTTCTGTGTTCGTATGCTCATATACATGCTCCCTGTTTAGTGTTTAGTTTCTTCTTCTTTTGTTTGCTTGTCTTTTTTTTTTTTGCGTTGGGTTCAATGAGAAGCTCAGTTCACGTTCGCTTGAGAATTAAGCCGTTAAGGATATACCCGGGGGGGCAAGCTCTTTGGAATGGGAAGCGGGGAGGGGGACAAGATATAAAGGATAGCGAAAGTTAACTACAACTATTCTATTACCTCTTAGATCACGCCAGCTCAAATTCAAATTCAGAAATTCACGAAGCCCACGGTTTGGAATTCAGTTAAGTTTAAAAGGGAAATCTGTTACGTCACCGTGTGCTACAAAGCCCTACCTTGATTTCGCCAACTTGGCTAGCAATTTGCTGCATCATTTTCTGCCCTAAATGTTTAATCCCATAAGCTCCAAGAACTTCGCATAGAGCTTGTAGTTCTAAAAGAAAGAAATAAACAAGCATCAGTTCTACTACTGATAGTAGCTATTAATTACCAGTATACATCACATAGTTAGGGAAACGAAAAGTAAGAGCCACTTAGTACAACTTTCTAAATTAACCACAGAAAAATTCTGCTCAGTAGCTACCGTTTGAATGACAAGTTGAAACACTGCAAACGTTTTTCCAGACTAAAAAGTAACCAAAGCCAGAACAACCAGGTACGCCGGCCTTGCTGCTCTTTTACGAAAGTGAGGTCCAGTCTAATTACTACGAAAAGTTCTGCTCAGTAGCTTTAACATGGAGGGTAAAACTTCGGGAGTTTGTCCCAACAAAAAACCACCCAAAGTCACAACTACAATGCATAGCTACCTCTAGTCTTCGGGACGAAATTAATGTCCGGTTATTAGATACCTTTAGAAACGAGGACGACTACGAGTACGGGATTTTCTCGATACTAAATAGTGCATGCGCGTAAAAGAGCGTCATTTTGGCGGTAAACGTGGTCGTCATTCTTCTGCGGGTTTTAGCGAAAATGTCGAAGTGGCGGAAACCAGTTAGCAACGGTTAAACGTTTCATCATTTTGCGAACGGGGCAGGGCTAAGCCACCTTCAAAAAAAACGCGCTAACTTTTCTGGGAAAAAAAAAACTGAGAACGATGAAGCTTTCCGGGGTGTCTAGTTTTGGAGAATACGCGAAAATAGGTTAAAGTTACATCTTGCCCTCGTAGCCGTCCTTGTCCTTGAATGTAAAGGCCGCCTCTATTTATATTTACACCGCGACATTTTTTTTTTTTGGAGTGTTTTTTATAAGTTTATAAATGGTGTTCGAGCTAGATGCTCCTTTAGAAACTAGACTGGTCAGATTAATTGGAGTGCAGATACTCGGCCACGCGTGAGCACTACTTAGTATTGCAAAGAGTCATCGTTCTCGTTATCGTTCTCGTCTTGAATCTTAAGGTCTCAAATGACCTACTCACCATTAACATCGGTGTACTCCTCGGCTCTAAATGCCTGCCCTGGTTTGTTGACAAACGCACTGCGGCGAGGAGAAAATACGATGTTTTCTGTCATAACGCGTCGCAAGAAAACATCCAGATACCTGAAAACAGATCGATAAGACTCTTGGTTAAGTGTTCTTAATCCAGTTTTTAGTAAACTGTACACAAATGTGTACATCTTAGTTTTCATTTTCATCATTGCCTGGTCTTCAATCTAAATTCACATTTCAAGAGTGGTTTTATTCACAAAGTTAGTTAAGAGTAGGTGACTTACTATGTACATATCACGCGACTCACTATTTCACTCAAGCTCCTTCTGCAAGGCTGAAGGGCTTTTCTATCCAAGTTTTCTAAAAGCTAAAACCCCGCAAAAATGGTCGACCAAAGTGAATCACTAGCGAAGCCGACCATTACTAATTAATGAGTGCTCGCAATTTTAACTTGTAAGAGCTGGGCTAAATTCAATATAACGCTCACAAGTGTAGTTACCTTGCTGTTTTCAGACTCTATACTAAAACTGCAACGTCATTTTAATTCACTATGTAATTCGGGTTGGAAATGTATATTTTGATTTTCAATTTCCTAACTGCAGCAACTTAGTAATGCACGCCAAAAATCATAAGGATAGGATAGAAATTGCCAAGACAACCAGCTGGCAAATACGATGCAAAGGCACATAGTCTCACAAGTGAGTATGGCAATAATCATGACTGACCATGTCGTGTACATGTTGGTGATTGTGATAGCACCCTGGCTGTCTTCGGGCTGAGTTTGTTGAAGTAACACATGATTAAACAAACGAGCCATGTCTACACCAGCTGTAATCACACAAAGGAAACAAAACAACCATTATAAGTTTGCAGCACTCCGCTTTTCCCAGCGTCTGGGAGACTGTATATTTGACTAAACTGTGGTAAACCGTACTATTCCCCTAAAGTCCAAGACTGGGTTACTCGAAAAATTATTAACTTGAATCCAGGTTTAACCCAAGCTTTGAAGAAAGCCTTTCTTCATCTAGAAATGTAGAGCTTATGAAGTATTACAGGGCCCTTACACAGAGACGCGTTAAACGCAGTGACAACCTTTCACAGTCAAAAAGAGAAACTCTTACTGAGGGATAAAATTTTCACCTTGGGTTGGCCGCGCAATCCTAGCAACGGTCACGCTTACATTATTCGGGCTATTTTTACAGACCAAATGCTGCAAATAATAGTCGGTAATGATAAAGCAACTTCAAAAAAGTACAAAATAAGAGTTAACATGGTGAACACTCACTGAAGTTTTCTATTCCTCTCAAAGTAGCCATCATTGCCTGCGAAAGGAAAATTAAACTTTATTAAAAATTTATCCAGGGGATAATCACTTTCATCCTAAAAGATTAAACTGCGCATGAAAAAAATGAAACCTTTTCCCAGGGTCCTACCGTGCACTGAGGGACGAGTAGGGCAGGACCCTAGGAACGAGATTGGGGAAAGATGTTATATTCGCGCAGTCATGATTATGGACACAGGACAGAACAGGGTGGGATTCGGCGAGCCAAGGACATTAGGGAGCTTACGATCCGAGAACGGCGACGTCAATGAAAACAACGAAGAAAAACAGACTTCGCATCCTTTAAAACATTTTTTCGCGATTATTCCAAGTCGCCCAGTTACTTAAAAGAAGGAAAATTTGGTTGGAGCTGAAGGGAGGGACCTTGTCGGAATTCAGACAGAGATAGTAAATTTTATCATCTTGCCGTTCCCGTTCTAAAGTAAACTTTTAAATTCAGTAATTTCACGTCGTAGCTGTGCAGTGACGGCGAATGAATTTACACAAAAGGCGTGATACATGTGCAGAGTTGTTTTATTTTCTAAACCTACTGGGGCAGTTATTTAAACAGTGTTTAACAAAACTGCGTTCTAAATCATTTTCAGTTTGCCTAAAGCTTTTATCTAAACTCCATTCGTAGTGAACAGTTTCATAAAAGCATATAGTGCAGACTAAAAAAGCATTTATCTTCTCAAAATAACCCACTAAGGAAAAGATCTGGAGGTCCAAAGATTTCTTAAACTGCGGTCTAAGTTGGGCTCCGTTTAAATAACCGACATATTGCGTTTTAGGCATTCCCGTTGCAGTCGCTGACGAGGTTTCGTAAGGTCCCTAATGAATACCGGTTAGGGGGTGCTCTATCCACTGAGTGATTGACAAACTCAGAGTGATCTAGGCCATTTACTAGGTTAATAAAATAAGTACCGAAAACTATACCTTAATATTCCCAAGGACCTCGGACGGACGAGCAATCCTCAAGTTATCAGCATCAAACTGGACCATAGTGACCACAGACCTACCAAAGAAGGTCTTATGAATTAACTTACCACAGACTCACCAGTGACACTGACAATAAGTTAAACCACACAGTTAGTTAACCAGGGTTCATTTCTGTCTTAAAAACGCTACGAGGACAGAGGCGTTACAGAGGCATTCATAACTTGATAAAACGTGTAACCAGAGAACTTTACTGTTATCTGTCAAAAGTAATAAATTACTGAACTAGGCAGATCGGTGAATTTTCTACACCATCTTAATTTCTCTTACTTTGTGAAGAACTCCTCCAGCTGAGAGCTCAAGTATTCGCGGGGAGCAAAGATGTGTTCCCAAACAGGAATCGCCTCTGTGTATGTGATTCCCCGGCAGATTTCTGTCAAAGCAATCAGCTTCCGATCCAGCCTGGGAAAGGTAAGGACATTCAATCAGATAAATAAAGATTCCCTCTTTCATTTACTCACTGGTTGCCTCCTGCCAGTTGGGTTTTTCAATCTTGTTATGTTGCATTTGAATTATTTGTTTCTAAGTATTTGAGTGGAGTGCCTGTAAACTACCTGGATAAGCTATTAAGTGCACTTTCCACTACAAACAAGCCTTTAAACCTTCTTGATAGACAAAACAAAGTTGGGAAAGGGATGGCTCCTTCGGTCTACTGCTAAGGTACTGAGCAGGAAAGAGTGAGAGCTACACCCCGCAAGACAACATTTATGGCCTCTAAATAACTGAGGACGAAAGCACAGCCTTTGTTCTGCAACCGGCTAGTCCTTCATGTGGTTACGATGATAATGGGTCGCCGTAGGGCATGCAATAACAGTGTACTCAATTAATGCTTGATGCTTCACTCTGTCTGGTGCCGTTCGTGAAGGTCTCTCCTTTAAGCAAAGTATACTCACGTTGTCAGGGATTCCCTGCTTTTTCGGAAGCTCTCACTGCCGGGCGGAACAAACTCACTGTGAATGTTCTTTTTATTCTTGTCTTTCTTCCTGTCTCCTGAGATCTCCGTCATCAAACGAACAGCTTGTAACTGCCACAGCTACACACAATAACAACAAAAAACAACATCTTATTTAACGACTATGAATAAGCTTACTACTAGTACAGCTAAATCTAGGTTGGCGATTAAACTGAATACCGATGTGGCTTAAACTTAACAAAGAAGAGCAAGAATAGACAATAGTTTTAAGCAAATCATCGTCGACTAGATGTCGCAACAAAAATGCGAGACAAGTTGCAAGAAAGATTATGTTACACAGTGTTACAGAGCCTCAAGGCAAATGTACAAAGACAGTACAAAACACGAAAAAAAATTGTCTTAACCCTTCAATTACCAAGAGTGACCAACATCCGGTTTCTCCTAACAAAATCAGTGTACAATCAGTAGATAAGGTTACGAGAACTATTAAAATGATCAACATGGGGAAATTGCTTTGATCTCTTTTTCCAATTCTCTCAACTAATTCTTTAAGAAAACGTATGAGATTAGTCTGGAGAATTTGTATGTGGATCAGATTTGAGGCTGGAAGGGATATTCACTAACCTGCTGGTTGAGTTGGATATGATCAGGGCACAGCTGACTGAGGATATTTCGAGCTTCTTTTGCCATGGAGTCCAGAAACAGGTTAACAGCAGACAGGCTGCGATCTCCGATGGGATGACGCTAAAGAGTTAAGCAATATAATAATGAACACAAAAAAACGTTAAAGGAACTAAGGTAAGACTCTTGCGTTATGAGGTGACGAGACTAGCGGGTGGACCGCTGGAGTTACAAGCCATAGGTCCTGACATTGATTGCTACTATGCCTACTTAATCGATCTGACCCGCCATCTGACAGTAGCAGGGACGCCCAGAGGTTACATTTTCTAGCCTGTTCCAGGCTCTCAGATAGTGATACTTACGCGTATTTGAGTGGTACGCGAAAATATGAATCCATCTCGGAGCCTGGAACAGGCTACAAATTTCTGGCTACCGGTAACCTCAGCTATGTACTAGCCAACTGATCAGTCTCCCAACAGAGAAAAAGGTGTTAAAAATGTTTAAGTTCACGTTCGTGCTTCGGCCATTTTCGTCGGGTTTTCCAAGCCAAATGTGAATGTCTTAGGCTACGCGGTTCACAAGGCACCGGACGAACTTTTGACCGGCTGAAACGTTCATTATTTTCGTCTTGTTCACACAGAGCTTTGAAGGGCTAGGCGTCTCAATTTTCGTACGGTTAGGGCGATTTTCGTATGACCTTGAAATGCATGGCTTTTGGTTGGTAAGCGCACGCTCGGCTGAAAAAACTTCATGCTCGAAGAATTTTCTAGAAATCAATCGACACTTCGCTTTACGTCATACCGCAACACGATTGGCCAATCGAACAATGCCTTCTCCATATTAGGGTTTTTGTTGGCTGGAAAACGAAGAGACCATGTTTTGATCTTTTCATCCATTGGCTGGTAAAACAAATGACGAACACTTTCCGAAACCATTTTTCAAGGTCACACGAAAATTGCTCTAGCGTGGTTCCGTGTGAACAGAACACCTTGATGTACGAATTTTTAACCGGTCGAAATTTTGTCCGATGGCTTGTGAACACAGCCTAGGCATTCGCGAGTTGAAGCAAAGGAAGACATTTATTCGCAACAATTATAACTGTATGTTCTTCCACTCAGCACTCAAATCCTGTTCAGTCCAGTTACGGCAAAAATTGCTAAATTTAAAATTTCCTAAGTTTTAATAAAAGTACCTCCTCAGGGCAAAATTCAACGGTACATGTCATGAAGTGACCACATATCAGCGGAAATGCAATAGAATATCTGAAAATAGATCAGAAATGTACGTAGTAACTCAGATGGTAGGTTCTTATTTATGTAGTGTCTAAAATAAACAGATGCTACTTTGCAGCTGCTTTGCTTTTTGCACTACTAACGCTTGTGATTGGATGAAAATCTCGCGTCAAAGAAATCAAAAACAATTTTTTTCTTGATCGCAAGGCATCTTTCCGCGCTGGCGCCGGTTACATCATTCCTTCGAGTCCTGGTCGCTTCACGTGTTTTTTAACTGGTGTTGTGATTGGCCACCAGTGTAATGGACCCATTCAAGCTTAACAGTCGCAGGCGATAAAAAAAAGTTGCTGGAGAGCATGAGACGCAGTTACCAAGAGTTTAAATGAATTATAATAGCTAGTTTCCTTTCTTTTCAAGGTTATTTGCCCTCTATCAAGGTGTTTTGGACTGTACCATGTGAAATTTTAGCTGCAAAGGGCTCAATGTTTTTGGTTGTACTGTAATCAATTAATTAGCAGCGCAGTGGTTAGGGCATCCGACTAGTGTCTGGAAGGTCGTGGGTTCAATTCAATTCTAGAACTCAGAATTTTTTTCTGAGTTCTTCTCCCCACCCAGATCACTCTATTTCTTATCTGCAATCCATTGTAGGTAAATTGTTTTTTCACAGGGATTGTATACAAGACTAAAATCACGTTTAACGTTACCTTGAATAGTTCGGGTCTTCTACACACTTCAAGAATGATTCCTCGAAAAAACTGGGATAAAAACTGCAAAAAGAAAATTTATACTCGTTAAGGGGGTAGCAACAATGGCTGGAGAACCGAAAACCGTATTTTTTTGCTGCAGTTTATATCAGGTTGATATTCATGTTAAGTGTTTAATATTCCCACGGCAATTCATAATCCTACAATTAATAAACAACAGTATTAACTTCTATTCGAAGAGAACCGTTAACAAAGCACGATTGGTACGTAACTTTGGAGACTTACCAGAAGATCGATAAGTCCGAAATCTCGTTTAAAAGTCTTTCAGGTGCATCGACCAGTTTAGAGTGGAACGATACATTGTTCATGAGTACTGCCAGGTCTTTGTTCTCCTTTAACTCTGGCGATGCCCCACGAACACTTGTGTAAGCCTGAAATAATAAGAGGAAGACGGGTAAAAGAAACCGATTGAAAATTTGATCACATGACCTTCCCAGCAAATTCCAATTATTAATTCAAAATTACTCACAACTGTAAATTACTTTAAGACTAGTCACGACATGATCTGGAAGGGTCTCCGATGACCTGGGACACAATCGGTGACCGGTCTGCGTCACTTTGCAGATGTGGAATAGCCGGTATGCCGGGTATACGGGGCACTGCGGTTGCGGTCCCGGGGTCTGTGGAAAACACGAGGTCCGCCGCTTTTTAAAAGGCTGCATACCGCACCCTGGCCCGGCATATTCCACAAATCCCTAGCGTCTGAGGTGGTCTAAGACACACGATCTAGTTGAATCTGGTTCTACTTTTCTGACCATACAGCGCTGCAGAGCAATGGAAATGTTTGTCTGGGATGATCATATTTGCAGCATATCAGAGTGTCACTTATCATTTTTAAGCCCATTTCGCGCAAAATCAAGTCAAACAAACAGGGAAATGTCTGCCATCGTCAAAACAAATGGGAACATTTCTTTATGATGTCTCGGACGCCTGGAGGATATATTCCCGACGCAGATAAGATTGTCCCAATTTGCAATGTAACCAGGATGTGATTTACAAAAAAAAAAGGCGTTTCTTTCACCAAGTTGTAGTTTAAAACGCGCGGTTAACGGAAGTAAGCAAACCATTGAAAAAACTTGACCCCTATAAAAAGCTAGATTCCCATTGTCTTGCGAAACAACAGGAAACACCAGCTTTTCCAAATCCCCTGAGACGTAAGAAAACAAAAACGCTTTCCTTGAATTACTGAGTAGTCTATAATAATAGGCCCTTTGCAGCTTTCCATTCATGTGGTACAAAACCGCCATGTTGGGACGCAAAAGTCGTACTGGGACAAGACAAACAAAGGATATTACCATTTAAAATTATGTATACCTCTTGTTGGTCTTGCTTCAGTGCGACTTTTGCGTCCCAACATTGCGGTTTTGTACCACGTGAATGGAAAGCTGCAAAGGGCATATATAAGGTTTTACCTGAAGTCGCATCCAGTCCAATCTAAGGCTTTCAAAATCAAATGTATCGCCAGCTTCAACTGTTAAATACAAGAAAATTCAAATAGGCCTCCAGAGCATAACTTTAGAGGATATCCCTTACGACTCACTCAATGTCTAATATTCGAGTTTCTTGCGAAATTTGAAGGGCACTAACACGCGAGCAAACCACTAGACATTGCAAATTTTGGCGCGATAACTGAATGCCAAACGAAGTGCAGTTCCTGCTATCTCTAATGACTCGTGGTATTCTTTATTGATAAATACGTATACAAAGCACAAGTTAACGATAATAAGATGCCAAAGCCAGAGGCTTATATGGCGTAGGTCAGAGAGTTACCATGTGCTTCTAAGTTACAATGAGAATAAAAATTAATAAGTACAAGATTTACCGAGAAAAGGCAAACTATTACAACATATAAAGAACTATTACTGCATATAAAGCAAAATAAACATAACAATTAATGATAGTGTGCAAAAAGTAATAAAGAAAAGAGTTTGAAAGTAGAAAAAATATGAGTTCAAGTTAGTTTAAACTTATAATGATTGAAAATAATCTCTCAGTTTATGTTTATAACTAGAAAGAGTAAGTGAATCACGAAGTGAGAGAGGAATGTCATTCCAAATTTGAGGACCCCGTACCCGAAGAGAAAAAGAATATTTGTGCGTATGCGGAGACCGTTCAATAAAAAGAAAAATGTGGGTTAATTGTTACGAAAATACTTTGAAAAAATGTTCTCTGAATAAGATATCGCGCTTCGAAACGTTTTCTAATTGTGCTAATTCCAAATCTCTGTCATTCAGAGCGCACACGCATGAGATGTTGTTGAGTCAAAAACTGGCGGGAAATTTCCACACCACATAAGACTGTCTAATGTGTGTTACCTTGTTTAACATTCAATTGCGACAGATCCTCGATAAATGATGTCATGATCATGGAAATGTCATCTGAACACACTGAAATTTTCTGCAAGGCAAAACATAAAGAGTGCTTTAAGAACTTTGTTTCTAGCATCTTGCGGCTTCATGGCTTGTGAGATACGCATGACTTCTTCATTATGTTTAAACAAAAATCACAAGAGTAAACCACTTGAAACAAGTTACAAGACAGTTTCCTAAATTGTAGCTCCCTTCTAAAACGTCCCGGTAACCTCAATTTAAGGATGTATATCGTCAATTTTGTGTAAACTTGAGATTGGTCCTTAAATATACAATATTTAATCACATGTAAATTGCAAACCTCATTTACGCAAGGCCCATGAAGACAGTTACAGTCTGTGGCCTTTACATAAACTTGTTTTTGTTGCAGGAATTACGGTAACACTTTTATTAGTAATGAGAGTTTGTTACAGTATTTCCTTGCAATATAAATTTGCAATCTCAAAGTCAACTCGTTGGTTAAAATGTTTACAATAATTTAACTGTATCCCACAGATACGAACCTGCTTGATCTACTTTGCTAAACAGGTTCTTGTATTATTGGGTATTAAAGTGGCCCATTTCTGGCAGTAGGTTCTTAATCCACTATGTTCTTATACGCTGGTGTTTACTGTAACACAAAGGTACACGACTGACCGAATAGTCACCATACAACTTAATTACAAACCTGGACAACTTCCTTCAGAACAGCGACGTCGAAACCACATAAGTACTGGACAAAATACCTTTGCAACACTGATATGTACTTCTGAATCATACCTAGATCCGGACAGAATAAAAGATTCTTAGGAGCAAATTCGCCGGAGAGGCTACGAAGTAGTCATCTCTTTGGGGTATTTTGACCTTAGGATTATTTTCAAGGTTTTCTTGTTGTTGTTGTTTGTTTGTTTTTATTTTTTCCTTTCATTTTTGCTACACTACACTAGATTAACAGGTACGTAAAAGAAAAGCAGCAGTTTAAAAGGCATTTGCATCGCCATCAAAAATCTTGAAAATAAAACAATACAAGATTTTTCTTCTAATTTGTATCATGAAAGCTCACGTCCCACTAAAATAAACTGAGGGGGTGAAGAAAAACTTGATCTTTCGAAATGTTGGAAGAAAGAAACTTACCTCGAATTTCTTCCACAAATAACAGTAATTGAGGCAGTTTGCTTACAAAAAGAACAAAGGAAAAAAGAGAAGAATTAAACTTATCTTACACTTATTGAAAAAGATGTATGGGATCATGCTATCAAATATAACTAACCAGTGTGCACGAAGTATAAGGTGAAACAAGGAAGCGCAAGCAAAAGGGAATCCTTCGCACAAACTAAAGGCCTTTCCGTAAAATATCGTCATAATACTCTTTAATGTACAGGCTTGGCCAGATTATGTGCAGGCCTACCCTCAAATGGGTGCAGTTATACCAATGACCTTCGTTCGAATGGCAAGGTGGAATTCACACTTGAACACGGCTTGTTCAGTTATTTAAGAAACCTTCAAGGTTATTTGACATTGAAACAAGTTAAAAGAATGTTTCTGAACTCAAACAATACAGAGACTGAACATGTAGCTGTGAGCATAAATCAAACAATTAGACCAAATCCCAGCTTCCTTACCTGTCTAGAAAATCTTCCTGGTTGAGTTTTTTCCCCTTGGGTGGTGGAGTGCAAGCATGTCTCACCAGCCAAATGATTTCGTCTCGGGCCATGTTTAACGCTTGTAGTACTACGAGGATCTGATTACAGAAATTGCATCAACCTTGTTTAGCTACTGACAGTTAAGGGCCTGTTATTTCAGTAAACGGAGTTTAGCCAGTGTTTAACAAAACCGTGTTCTAAGCCATTTTCAGTTTGCCTAACGCTTGATCTAAACGGCGGTTATTGTGAGCAGTTTCACGACACTTATCTTCTTAAAGTAACCATTTTAGAAAGAGATCTGAAGGTCCAATAATTCCCGGAACCTAAGGGTCGGTTATTTAAATAAAGTCTAACTTAGACCGGGGTTTAAGAAATTTTTGAACCTCCAGAACTCTTCCTCAGTGGGTCAATTTAAGAAGATAAACGCTTTTCTAGTCTACACTATATGCTTTAACGAAACTGTTCACAACCAATGGTGTTTAGATAAAAGCGCTGGACAAACTGAAAATGACTTATAACGCACTTTTGTTAAACACTGGTTAAACTCAGTTTAAATAACCGGCCCTAAGTGTTTTGCTCGGTGAAATGGTCAAAGGAGCAGTGTCAAGAAATGTATCCAAATTCAGACAGTTAGAAATACCACAAAATTGAGAGAAACATAAAAATACCCGCTCAGAACACTAAAAAAAGTATAAATAACAAGACAAATACAAACGAAGGCACGGATGGACAAACTTGAAGGAGATTGAAAAGGGTTGCAATTGTGGATTTTGAAAACTTGTCTGACAGTTTTCCAAAGTTCATTTTTGTTGCTTATACTAACTGCGGTTTGATATAATGTTTAGAAGGTACATTTGTTGGACAAGAAGCTGAGATTTTGTCATTTACAAGTGATTCTTTGTAACAAGTCCTACAACCAGTTGAAAAATGTTGAGATGACACTCCGACGAAAAAACGACCTTATTTGCTTCAAATCGCTGCTAGTCACAGGTCTGTGAGATATAATGCTGACCTCCCTCCTCCCTTCCATTCAAAGTTGTTCCTCCAGGTTTTAGCATGGTCTTGTATGGCTAGCAACTTTTATAAGGGGTGGAAGGGGGATCACAAGCACAAGATCATGGACAGGCCATCTAAGCCAAAATACGGAACAGTGTCTCAAGTACTTTAATTTGTAACTGGTTTCAGCGTTAAGTTCCATAGTGTATAACTTAAGGACACGTAATTGGCAATATTGACAAAATGAAGTGGACAGCCGTGACACACAAAGAAAATGATAACTAATGGAAGATCTTTATTTTAACCCGGCTATGCAAAACCCTGCCATTGGAAAACAACAGGAGGATTTAGTCAAACTGCAAAGAAAAAACAAACAACTCTCGATTCATAGTGACGTAAAGGTAGACACTTAGGAGGAGAAGTCAGCGCACTTAATATATGGCAATAAATTGTTTTAGAAAATGTATCAATTATCTTCAGGTTTCTGTCAACGCACCATATGCTGGCTCGTCAAATGAACGCTGGAGTTTTGTTACTAAGTAAAGACAAACCTACCTTCGGTCCTAGTAGACCTGGTTGATCTGAAAGAATCAAAGACATTTCCTTTAACGCTGTCCGAAGGTAGTTACGTCTCTCTCTATGAATTGGGCCTCTGTGAATGAAAAAATCAGTGAAATGAAATGTTATGAATGAGAGCACAACAGACGTGTCGTCTCTACATTAGGGAACTCAAGCAACAACGACGGTGACAGCTACGAACACGCGCTTATTCCCTCTCGTTCAATTCGTCAAATGTTGGCGATTATTTCTGGAGTTGAATTCTAAAAGACTGCATCGAAGTTCAGGAAAAGAAAACGAAAGTCATTGCCTTGTATTCACGTCCTCCACAAAACGTGAAATTAGGTATTTTCACGTCGCAGTCGTGCAGTGACGCCAAAGAAATGCACACGGGTTGAATTTAGAGAAACTGTAAGGGCTTTATTACTTTCCCCTGAGACAAATCAACTGTCCGTAATGGTGAGATGTCCTTATTACGCGGGTGTCCGTAAAAAGGGGGTTTGCCTGCAAACTTGTAAAACTTTCATTAAATTGACCCCAGGCTAAATACCTTTACACTTCAATGGTAAAGTTTCATCAGTTCTTTAGTTTGGTGGTAAAACTTCTCACAGCTTGAACAATTATGTTTTGCAAGGTCAAGAAGATGACTTGTCCAAAAGTCTGGCACGTGTCATGTTTTCTATTCCGTAATGCATGGCTGAATCCTTCGAATCATAAGCAGTCTAGTAAATTTGTGATTTGGCAAAACGTGAGTTGACCTTACTGGCATACCTTGTTGCTAGCGCTTGTGCAGCAGCATCTTGAATGTCCTTAACACGCTTATTGTATCTAAAAACAATAACAATCACGAGTTTAAATGAGGATATGATCTTTGCAGCTCTTTGTTTAATGGGCCTTTGGCAACAGAACGTATTAAAAAATGTATACACCACTGTTTGCTCACCAGCATACCTATTTTGCTTCATGTGGTGATTTGTGGCAAAAAAACTATTAACATGCCTATTGCAGGACTGTGACTAAGATTCAAGTTGCCGCGTGTATCCAATTAGTAAGTGGGGAATTTACTAGCTGTGAAGTTTTTTGGGTTTTATCTTAATTTTACTCCCTACAAAAGTAGCCGACAGTCATCAACATAGTAGTCAGAAAATATCCCTGTTTCCCTGAGTTGATCGTTTTATTAATTCTCCTAACCTTTTCTCTGGATTATATAAGTGTTATTGACCCAGCAGGAGGTCAAGATGGCTGGATATTGCCCTAGTTCTTTTTTACGTTTTCGTCTTGGTCAATAAAAATGCAACAAAGAACGAGGCCAATATACAGCCATCATGATCGAACAAGCTTGGTCAATAAAGGATTTATTAAATGGACAAAACGACAACATTTTTTGCGGGACCAATGTGGGAAATCCAAAGCGGGCAAGATATTGAGCTCAGCTAGCCAATCAGAACGCAGGATTCGCTTCATTTTGCTCGCTCACGGATTCAGCCAGATAATAAGTATTGACAATTATTGTAAGGAGAAAATTGATTTTGATCTGACTCTTGGGACTCTCTTGAGAGAACGCAGAACCATGAATGCACTTTTCTCCTTTCACTGACTCACCCTTTCATTCCATCAAGTAAGTTTTGGAATTCTTTATGAAACATAATGACTTCATCTCGGAATAACTGAACACAATAGCCATCCTGTAACGCAACCTTCCATATATCTGTCACGCCAGGCATGGCAAGCTGCTGATGACAAAGGGTATATCCAACTAAGGAGAAAAAACAATAAACTTTGGTCAATAACGTTGACTTATGACGACTATTAGACAAACCATCTGCCCCAACATGCTAACTTAATAGAAAGAATTTGATTAAGCAAAGTACCACGTTTTTGAGAAGTCCACTTTTCATCATAAAACAACCAAATCTTTTTAAGAAAATCCACTTTTCAGTATAAAAGAACCAAATCTGGCCATTTAAAACCAAATCGGGTGAAAAAATTGGCAAAAGGCGATCTAGGAGGATTTTGATTAAGCAAAGTACCAGGCTTCATTGTTTGGATTCTTAACCCTGTTAGGTTCAATATTTTGAATTATTTGTTTCAGGCACTTGCTCAGCCCCACTCATATTAGTGCTATAAATACTGCCAAGGGTAAATAACGGAATTATTATAATCAGGCCATTTAATGCCAAATGGGGTGAAAAAATTGGCAAAAGGCAATTTATAGGTTTTCTTTTTATTATTCCAAATCACATGAAATAAAACAACACAAGGCTGATCATTCTTATGGCATACCTTTTTGATCCTCAAAAAGTGCCACAATAAACTTGAGTGCTTTGTTAATGAAATGCTGTATATTTTAAAACCATCGCTAAATGTGTAATCAGACTAGAATCACACGAGGCACAGGGTGCAAAGAAAGTCAGTTTTACAGCCTAGCATTCAGGCAAGCTGTAGCTAGCATGTACTAGCCCACAAGTCATTTCAGTTACTCCAAGAACCCTTTTTGATTGCCCATCGGGCAAATTAAGAACAAAAATCACAAACCCGATAGCAGAATCCACTAGCCCTGGGCTATCGGACATGACTTTCTTTGCATGCTGAGGTATTTCTATTAGCACATCAACTTATGAATGTCATCTAATAAAATTAACGTAAAATTCCGAAAATAAGCCCCTCCACATATAAGCCTGTCCAAATATAAGCCCCCGAAACCGGTAACACAAAAAACCCTCCGTTAAATCGCCCCTCCAAATATAAGCCCCCCAGGGACTTGTACTTGGAAAATTGCCCTCAAATACAAAGGAAAACAAAGCAAAAACGGTAAATTTATTTCAAATATAAAGCTAGCACAATCGATTTTGAAACGCAAATTTCCCTCCGTAGATAAGCCCCTCCAAATATAAGCCCCTCCAAAAATATGCCCCTCAAAAAGGGCCTTTGAAAAATATAAGCCCTGGGGCTTATTTTCGAAATTTTACGGTATTCAAATTGACAACTCTCTTAACCACTTCGACACTTGATGTTTTTTATTCTTGATCATGATGTCCAAAACATCAAACATTTCTTCTTCGATTCATAACAGATCAAAATAGCACTTTCCAGTAGGGAATTTTATTTTAAGGAGTATTCAATCTACATACAAGTAATATACATTTTAAGGTAAAGGAAAGGGATAAGTTCAAACTAAAACAACTCAAACATGTATAAAAAGCAATAATAGTGATATGTATAATAAACAATAATATTGAATATCGCATATTCAATATTATTACTACTATTTAATATTCTTATCGTTGTAGGTTCATCTTGAAATCGTGCCAGATTTTAAAAAGGAATCAGTGAAAAGATGTTAAATATTGGTAGTGATTGCTAATAGTAATAGTAATAATAATTAGTAGAGAAACATTGTCGTCGATTATATTTCAAGAGATATTGAGACATTATGATCTTTTCTTTTCTTTCTAAAAGATGTTAACTAAGATACAAATTTCGTTTTAATTTTTTTTAAGTGAAGCACTGTACATAGGTCTTTTTTATTAGTATTGCATAAAGACTTTTTTTACCATTTATAACAAACAATAATATTATTAATAAGCAACAATTTATTTTCAATAGATGATATTATACCTTACATACAATAAAATTAATATTTTATTAACTACAGTGTATTTTATGAGCAGCATTTTGAAAACTTACACAATATCCATTTCTGCATAGTTTTCATTGATAAATATTCCACTGGGGGCTGAAAAAAGAAAAGCACAGCACTAGCAAATTGTCTAGTGGCTTAATTCATGTATAAGAAGTTAAAAAGTACAGAAGGCTGCTTTTTGTGCTTACAGTTTCCAAACAAACTGTTACACTATGCGGCCATGTCATGTCCGTAATGTCAGTAATGTTGGTTTGTAAGAAAAGCAATAATATTCTACAGGCCAGATACAAAATACTGTATGATTCAGTTTGTAAACATGGAGAGTCTATTACGCTCTAGTCATTGCTTGTCATTTTACCAATTTAACTTTTTTCTAGTCAAAAAGAAATTTTTGCAAAAAATGGGAATAGTAATGGTAATGGTAATAGTGGTAATTAGCATGCTACATAACATGAAGGTGAAATAATGTGACCTGTTGTGTCAAAAAAAATTAGTGAGACTTGATGTAAGAAGTCATGCTTCATTTTCTCTTTGACACTTGTCATTGGCATGTTATATGACATGATAAAGGTGAAGTGTACCTTAATGTGTCAGATAAATAAGCATCACCTTGTGAGTCAAAATTTTTCTTCCATACCAGAATCTATGCTTATTTTCTTAAAACAAAAACAGGCTAAGTTTCATGCTTATATGACATAGTAAGCAATAAAATCACAAGTGCACAATAGACATAACACCTGCTCTCTAAAGAGTTATTTTCTTAAACACGTTGTTCAACAAAACAAGCTGTGATAGGGTAAAACATACACATGAAAGAAATGTGTTGGCTTGTATACAGTAAAGATGATCTGTGTAACTGTATTGTTGCTTGTAGGTTGCAGTTTTGGGGAGAATTATATGTAAATGAGTCAATGAGTCAATGAGTCAACAAGTCAATTCTCAAGTCATGAGTCAATGAGTCATAAAGTCAAGTATAATTAAAGTGAATAAACGCTAAACATTTCAAATCAGACTTTACCCGTACTAACTATAGTCAGGCTTAGCCTTGATCATTATTTTTTTCAGTGTTCAATGGTGACCCGACTAAAAACTTGATTCATGACTCATTGACCCGTTTCACAAAACAAGCTTGCTTTCAGTTTTGGGCAGTCAGACATTACTTAGCCCACTAGCAAGCTCTCCATTTATGGTGAGTGAAGCAAGTCACCAGAGAATGCACGAGCGACTGGGGCAGAGGAAAGGAGAGCTTGCAACGATCTGTCATAATTTTCATTTCTACTTCACCCAGATGAAGCGAAATACAGATGTACCATTGGCTGAAAAATCTGCCTTTCCTTTCCTGCCCCTCGAACCCGCATCTCCTTTCACATGCTGCTCTGACATGACTTCTCGCTACATCCCAAATGCATAGCTTGCTTGCAGGCTAGACATTACAAGATCACTCACTCATGGGATCATTGTCCAGAACTTAACAAAAATAATAATCAAACAACTCCCTTACCACATCACTGGTAGCTGAGTTTAGCATTTGCAGTGGTGCACTGATTATGCTGACAATCTGAGACTGACGCCACTGAGAAGGGAAAATGGTAGATATAATGTAAAATACTGCCACCGCCATTCCAACAGGGAAAATATCCCTTTCTTTAACTTGGCCTCCACTGTCTAATATATAGCTCCAAGTCTGATGACCTAACAATTAAATAACAAGCCCCAACCCCTAACAAAAAAAAAGTCTTGTATGGGTGGTGACATGACTGCACCTGTGTCCCTCTTAAGTGTCCCTGACTGATTTAAGACACTTTCTAGACAGAATGGAATTTGGAAATGTTGGATTTTGTTAAGAGGGGAAACCAAAAAATCTAGAGCAAAGTAATCTCACTAATAAGAAATCCCTGCTCTTTCTGTAGTTAATTGTTTTAAACTGCCGGTATAGATAACACCTGGCAGACATTTATTGCTTATAAACAAGCATGTAATAAGCTTATTACCTGCTCCCCTGTTGAATTTCTTCTGATGTAAACTTCATGAACTGAGTGCAGTGCAGTTGAGACTCTCTGAATTCACAAATAATAACAAAGGTTTAATAAGGTAAAAAAAACTTTGAGTTTACAAAAACTACATGTATCGAAAGTTCTCAACCTTTCCTTTGTCTGCTAACCCTTATTCATGAATAAATGTAAAATTTTAGGGCAAGGAGACATGAAAATTGAGAATCAACCTACTAGGTTAAAAATATTTTTACCTGAATTTAATTTTGACCTTTAACATAAATAATATGAACTATTGAGTTATGATTTATTGCTTTCATAACCACACTCAAAGTAACAAAATCAGTTACCGTTATAAAAAACGTATCATTAGTGTACTGAGAGAGCATGTGCAGTACATTGCATGTACATGTACGTACACTGTACAGTATACATTTAACTGTAGACAATTTTTATAACTCAGGCATGCACTAAAGACTACAAGCATTTTGATCTAATCATAACAGAAAAAGGTTTACCTGTTGATGTGGCACAAATTGTTCAGCTACTTTCTTTAGAGGAGTTTCATACTCAACAATCATAGATCCAAGCCTTGGAAAAGAGTCTTCACTAAAAAATACAGATTAAGACACAGATAACATTAATATTTTATGATCAGATTAGTTCAAAAGGAGAAAAATACTCATTTCAGTCAAACTGCTTAAAAAAGAAAGACAGACGGACGGACGGACGGACGGACGGACGGACGGACGGACGGACGGACAGACAGACAGACAGAGAGACAGATAGATAGATAGATAGATAGTTTATTAAAATAAGTACATGGGCAGCCAGAGGCTGAATTGCGTATTTACAAATAAAACTAAGCTAAAAATAGAATAATTTACGATACATTTATGTTCAAAATATTAAAAATTCATGCATAAAACATAAACAGAATCATTTAATTGTACTTTAGGCATGATGACAAAATAAAAGTGTTCTTAAAACAGTCCGTCTTCCACTTTGGAAGTGCAAAGTGTCGGTGATTTCTTAATGAATATGGAGCCTTATTGGCTTCAGTTAATAACTTTTCTAATATTATTTTATGCATTAGGTTCAGCACATGAAAAATTTGGCATCTGAATCAAATTTATTCCAAAGTCGCTTCAAAGTCGAAATTCCCACCCAGGTTAGGCGGGAAGAATGGTTGAGCCGTTCCAAATTGAAATAGACGCCAAACTTTTCATGTACTTAACTCAACATAATTTATTAGGTTCAGCTCATGAAAAGTTTGGCATCTGAACTGTACCTAATAAAAATAATATTTATTATTAAGAAACACCGAAATGATCTCCATGCGGTGCCAGACTTACCCTCTTCCATTCTTCATCTCAAATGCATGATTATACAGGCCCAGTACAGCTTTTCGATCATCCACTCGTGATACAAGCATCATGAGAGAGGCATAGGTCACAATGAGATCTAAATAGGCCTTGGTCAAGTCATAGTTTAGCGTCTGAAGTAAAAAGATTTACAACTAACTTGTAAAATGTACTTCTTTGCACAGCGATTATAAAGTTAACCCAAAAACAATTTTAAACATTTGGAGGCCGGGATTTAGCTAACAGGCAGCTCTAATGCTCCTCACAGTCAAACGGTCCTAAGTTCAAAACCAGCCATTTAAGCAATTAAATTGAGTAACACCAGGATTTATTTAATTGATCCCTGCATACTAAACTCTGAGCCTCTCTATGGGTATTTCAAACAATCGCAATGAAACAACATATTGCCATAATTGATCAAAGCTCAACAATACTACTGGTAGGCATGCAATGATGGTAAAAGAGTCAGTCAAAAAGAGTTCTTCACATTCAGCATTCAGGTTTTTTTTTTTTTTTCGCTTGTTAAGCCTGTTGCTTTTTTTCATTTCTCATTTCTTCGTCATCATTCAGGTTGCTCAATCTTACTAGTGGTGTTATCACACACAAAAATTCTTGATATGCAACAATTTCGGCAAAAAGAAATAATTTGATGAAGAAGGCACAATGAAAAATTTGTGTGAGGGTACTCATAGGAAGGCTCAACTCTGAAAACCTTTAGTGAATGCTTCAATTTAGTGACTATGCAATAAAAGTTTAAACTCTTTAATAACACATGGTACATTAATAAGATGCAATGGTTGTGGTCATTTTCTTCAAGAAAGAAAGCTTGCAAGAACCTTTTTAGTTAACACAACTTTGTCAAACCAACCCTGAACACACAGTCAAATTTATTTCTAAAATTTTTTTCATCTACTCACAATGTCAAAATGAACAAAACTGGCATCGATTAAGGTCAGAAGCTCACTTGTATTATCCTGTGATAAGACAGTTTACAAGAAAAGAATAAGTGATTATTGACAAAAAATATGGACAGAGAAAACAAATTCATTTGCTAAAAATATGATTATTTATTGCTTACTGCTTACCCTGAATTCCATGACATCCACAAATGTGTAGTAATAGTTAGATAGTCCTTTGATAACTTCATTTTGGATGCTATGAACTGGCTGAAGCTGAACGCTCTGAAAATCAAAAGAGCAAAGGGTTCAAAGCACTGAAAATAAAATTATACAGTACTTGTGGGCAAATGGAGGAGACTGCAGTACATCTTATCTCCAGGTTGCTATTACGTATGCGCAGCACATTATGTAGCCAGCATTTATTTGGACTTCCACTAAGAATGAATGAAATAAAGAGGACGCAATCTGATCATGCCCATTTGGACCTTCTATCAATTATAATCTGATCACACGTGTTTTGACCTTCCATCACCTGAAACTTACATTTATGCAACGCACAGCATTAGCGAAAAAATGTTTTGTGAGAGTCTTGACACTCAATCGATCTTGCCTGCTATACTTTGTCACGTATTGTTTTCCGTCAAAGTAAGAACTAAGTTATAACCATATAACCTGATATATTAACCCTTCAGTTCCTTTTATTTTATGTTGTAATGTATATTCTGCTGGACATGGCTGCATTTCAGTTTTTTGGTCGCTCAATATCAGTGTTTTTAACTTTTAACATTTTATTTTGCACTGTATGTTAGTGAACTTGATGTGGCTGCATTGCAGTTTGTTGGTCACTCAATATCAATGCTTTTTCTAACAATTAACGGTAACCATTTTCATTTGTTTTTTATGCCTACAACACTCCCATTAACACACACCCTCCCTCCTTTCACCTTAAACACTATTTTAGTGGAGACTTGGGTCAACCTTTTGGTAGGGATTCCACACTAACACCTCTAATGCCACAAAGGTTGCTAGGTGAATCTACTGTTTTAATTTATTTTTAATTTTCATTTTTTTTTCTTTACAAAGCACAGCATTAGAGAAAGAGCGTTTTGTTACAGTCTTGACCTGCGACTGATCTTGCCGGCAACCCCTTACCTTTGGTTATTTTTAGTACTTATTATATTCCTTCGAATATCCAATAAATAAAGTATAATAAAAACAATAATTATTGTCTTGTTAACCCAGGTGGAAATCTTATTAAGATCTTAACAAGATTCTTATTAAGATTCTTACCAACATCTTAACAAGTATCTTATTAAGATTCTTGTAAGATCTTGTAAGATTCTTGTAAGAATCTTACAAGATCTTGTAAGAATCTTGCAAGATCTTGTAAGAATCTTAACCAAGATCTTACAAGATAAGTTTCAAGATCTTACAAGAATCTTAACAAAGATCTTGTAAGATCTTGAAAGATCTTAATCAAGATTCTTGTAAGACCTTTTAAGATCTTACAAGAATCTTACCAAAACCGTACAAGATCTTGTAAGAATTTGCAAGATCTTATAAGAATCTTGCAAGATCTTAGAAGAATCTTGCAAGATCTTATAAGAATCTTATAACCAAGATCTTACAAGAATCTTAACAAAGATCTTGTAAGACCTTAATCAAGACTCTTGTAAGACCTTTTAAGATCCTACAAGAATCTGACCAAAACCTTACAAGATCTTGTAAGAATCTTGATTAATAATAAACTTGTAGAGATCCTGGTTTGAACTGTAACTAGAATCTTAACAACTTCTTTTGCAATGTTTTCAAGATTTTGTCTCTGAAGTTCTAGATTTTTCAAGAGCTTAGTCAAGATTCTAACACAATCTTGCAAGATGGAGAAAAGGTATTGTTGAGAGAGCTTTCAACTTTCTTGGTCAGGATTCAGGAATGTTTCCTTGACAATAGATCAAGACCTGATTCTTTAAAAAGGAGTTCCCCACGTCAATTGCAACGACTTTCTCAGTCAATCTCCATGTTTGGTGTTACATTTATTTGCCTCATTAATTAAAAATAGTGAATTCAAGAAAAAGTAACATTGCACTACTGAAACATATATATATATATTTTTTTTTTAAAAAATTATTAAGTCAAGATACTGGATTTTGAAAAAAAAAAAAAATAGTTTCTTAATTTAACATTTTACTCATTAAAAGGTATGCCTGACAAAAAATCCTTCCACAAAACAAGCTATTTTTAATTCAAATGTACACATTTTTAATATACTCTAGTTCAGAAACAAAAGAGAAAGGGCAGACTGTTAGTTCAAGTCCAGTACGACAAAGTACACCCCTGTAGCAAAAACACCATAATGTCATTTGTATCTTTTAATGAATTGGCATCGCGTAGTTTTAATTATCTTTTTTAAATCATGCTATTTTACCAGTTACTTAAACAATGTTCAATAGGCCAAAACTGCCATTTGCACCAAGAGGTCATGTGACATTGTTTTTATGAAAATGAAAGTTATATGATTTTGCCTTCGAAAAACGATTAGTGGGTCATATCTTATATAAAATAATAGTTACTTAGTTTTTCAAAGCCGCACCATTTTCTTAAAATGATTACATGACCAAAATGTGATTTTCAAAATTATGAAGTATCTCTTTCTGAACACAAATTGTGCACTTAAACTTCAAGGAAAATATTGAAAATATGTGCCAACGTTTACAGCACATCTGAGCATAACTATCACACATTTAACAAGATATAAGCTAAAAGTAGTTTTGGCCGCCATGTTGGAGGGCATACTGTCTTGCCCTCCAACATGCCGGCCAATACGAATCATACTACTTTGTTGAAAAATCAGAGTGCCATAAATATCTCCCTTGAATGCGTTTCCTCTCAAATTTCAGTTCAGGCTGTTGTACGATAATTTTTATGTGCTCTGTCAATTTTTGGCATCAGCAAGATTCCAACTCATTGTTTAAAGGAAGCATTGGTCACGTGACATCTTAGTGCAAGTGGCCTATTCATTGGATTTGTCCATCTACATGTATTTCCTCCACAAAAATCAAGGAAAATAAGAGAAAAAACAAAACATTATAAGTTTTGTTAGTTTGTAAATACTATGAAAGAAAATTGTGAATTACTATGTAGATTATCACACCTTTTTATAAAATGGACTCTAATCATTGCTAGTTGTTTTGCGACCTTACTATTGCAGCAATGATATTAAGATTACATGTACCAGAAGCTTTACAACCTTATGCAACTTATACTATGAATTAAAGTTCAAATAAACAAACCTACAGGCTGTATTCTAATATTTTATATGTAAGTTCAAGTCTCAAGTCCTTATAAATTAACTGAAAACTTTATTGCTTCTAACCTGTATAGTAGCCATTGGAAACTTTACTTATTATGCTATTTCTTCTCCTATTTTGCAATTGTCTAACATTGGTCTTGACAAGTCTGCTATAACCTTGTAGCGCCAGAACAGTTTTCAGAGTATTCCATTGACTGTTTGCAACAAAGAGTACAGTTATTTCGATCTGCAGTAAACAAAAAGCAGCAAAAAGGGATCTGATCAATGGCATATCTTTGCATGCATCTTTGAACTTTATAAGGTTATTTACGCAAAGTTATTGGAAAACATACCTTTCCACATTAATCCAGCTGAGTAAACTCACTTGCAAACATGCTTTATGTGAACAGAAACTTCGCAATTGATCACTTTGTCTTGAAAATAACATGGATAATAGAAAGACGGTCTTACGAAAATACTTTGTTGCTTGTGAAGTCCGCGTGAATTTGAACTATTCAACGGAAGTTCATTTCACACTTTTCTATTGGTTCAAAAGCCGCACGTGACAAAGTAAATCAAATCGCGCATGTGCCAAAGGCACACGTGGAGGCCTGGGAAACTAGAAAACATGGCGACTAATGCGATGTGCTCCCGTTTGGGTCTAAACAGCAGTTATTTTCAGCGTTAATTAAGATGAACCAACGCATTTGAAGTGTTGAGAGCAAGAGGTAAACTTAACGTTGTTCTTTTAAGTTGGGAAAGAAAATGTTGGACTACATTATCAATCAAATAACTGCGATGAAAAACGTGTTGTGGCTGTTGTTCATGTTGGACGGATCCATGTTGGACAAAGCTCACAGGTTTTTAAATAGTGTATGGAAATCTGATCTAACCAAAGACACCTTGATCACGTCATTCATTAGTTGAACGAACTCTACCGAAAGGAAGCTCAAAAAGCATGCAAAGCAAGGAACTGTTCGCATGTTCAAGTGGACTTTCGACCTACGAGGAACGGTAAATCCGAGGAACACATTACAGTAAGAAACAGTCTTAAAAATGGAAATGATCCTTGCAGTAAAATGGACATTATCTAAAAGGCTGAACAAGTACCTGAAAAAATTAAAGGCTTGATTGGGAATCGAATCCTGACCTAGCTATGCGATTGATCGGATGCAATCGTTTAACCATTAAACTTATCAAGCCAGCTGGAGAGCTAGCCATGGTGAGCTAGTGTACCCAATGGTGGAAATGACATGAATGGAAATAATTGAGCTTTCATGAAATGACAATTTTTTTTGGACATGTGGATATAGATATGAAAGTAGAAATGATCCTCACAGTTAAATAAATTACCCATGCAGATGAAAAAGAACCATACAGAAAATTCAGAATAGGAGGTACTTGTATATATTTCAGTTTATAAAATAAACTCTGATAGCTCTGATTAGCCGAGAGGCGTGTTTACATGAGAGTATGTAAGCATGGTTGTGTCATCAATATGTTTTGCTTTTTGCGCGCTAATCGTGCAAGCATGAATTTGAAAAAGGTTTTGAGTTGAAAAATTAGTTGACAAGTTTACTTTATTTACCTATTTCCTCGTCGGCTGAAACTTGAAAAATCTTTAGAAACATGCTGTGTCAAGTTTTTTTTGCTAGAGCTGACATTTTAAGTGAGAAAAGCATCTTGTTTGGAAAAAAAGGACTGATTAAGTGTACAAGCTTCGAGTACAAGACTTCACGACTGGTAACAATTTCTCTTTTAATCAGTGCTCTAAACAACAGAGTTTTGCTATTTTCTTGGGAAAGTTATTTCATAAAAGCACTAGAAAATGTTTTTCCTGTGTTTGCACTCGCAGGGCTGGGAAAATTCTTGACCATTATGCAAACCCTCGACTGCGTCTTGGGTTTGCATAACTGTCTCGAATTCTCTCAACCCCTCTTGTGTTTATATCAGGCTATGCAAACACAGAAAATGTTTTCTATTGCTTAAATGGTTTTTATATAAGCTTTGCAGAATCGCTTTGTCGTCAAATATTGAAAATTAACTTTATATTACTTCATGTATCTATATATAAGTAATTCAATGTTACTGCTATTGAAAAAAAAGTTTTTTATCTGAGTGGAAAAAAGCAAGATTTGTGTTTTGTTAGAATGCTAAACTTTGTGGAAAGAGAGTAGTGGACTTGTTGTAGCCTTATGATCTATGTTTTTCCTTTTCTTGCACTAATTTCTTAAAACTCTGTATTTTCTATTTTTGGTATTGATCCTGTAAAAAAATACCTTTCTTATTGTTGTTTCTAGTTCTTATTGCTGTCACTTGTAGAACATGGCCACGAATTCTTGGCTTTCCCGGCTTCTGGTTTTCTGGTCGGGAAAGCCATGAAATGTCGGCCTATTTTTTAGCATGGCCAAAAAAGCCACGCTTCTATGGCCAGGCTTACCTCAAAACCCTGGCCTTGACCGGGCTTACCAGGCTTTTCCACACCACGCTTTCCTGGCAAGCCCAGCCAAGACCTTGGCAATCCTAGCTTGGCCGGGCTTGCTATGCTTTTGACCGCGCTCCTGATGCAAGAGTTGTAAACATGTAATTTATAAACCAGGTTTTAAAAAATGAAAAACAGACACAGAAATTGGAACACACAAGATTCAAATGAAATTCAATAGGTTTTTTAATTTGCACTCAGGAGTTGCAATAAGCTAAATTCAGAGGGCAGCTGCTTTTATGAAGGAAACAATAATATTTTTTAAATCTGTGTTTAACTATACAACTCTTGGGTTAAGCTTAATGGGGCTAGTATCCTAAACCCTCTCTGATCTGTTTATTGAGGGAATTAAACTGGAATTGACACTGTTGTCTCTCTCTTTTCAATGAAAGCCCAAAAATTGTGATTTGCAAGATAATTTTAACAGGTAGTTTACGCTAAGCCTGGTTCCAATCAAGATCTTATTAAGATCTTATTAAGTTACTGTAAAAAATCTTAGTAAAAATTTCCTAGTAAGAAACTCTAAGATCTTATTAAGATCTTATTAAGTTACTGTAAAAATCTTAGTAAAAATTTCCTAGTAAGAAACTCTAAGATCTTATTAAGATCTTAATAAGATCTAGTAAGATCTTAAGGATGACAAAGACATTAAGATATTGACAAGATCTTATTAAGAAATCTTTTAAGATATGATATCTTAATAAGATCTTACAAGAACTTAATAAGATCTTAATCTTAATAAGCATCTTACAAGATTCTTACAAGATCTTACAAGATCTTACAAGATCTTACAAGATCTTAATAAGATTTCCACCTGGGAACAGAGTGACTAAAATGCATGCAATTCTACAACATACTTTAGTATCTGTCACAGGGAATTTCTTCACGATAGCTTTGATGGCAGGATCCAACGCTTTGTCAGTTAGAAATCCTGGTCTTGACTTGGAATCTGAACATGCCTAGGAAGATAGAAATATCATTTAAAAAAGTTGTTATATCACGAGAATTTCTTCTGCAAAAGTGAAAAACTTCAACAGAGAATTTCTTGTGCAACAGTGAAAAACTGTCATTAAATAGAAAAACTTCATTGAGGTCACATGACATCTTACAATGAAACTGTATAGAGCACCGTGCAAACGTACTAGTTGGATAAGTTACAGACCCCTCTAAGCTCTTCAACAAATCTCTCTCTTATTCTTTCAATAATAGTTTATTGGTCATAATTATTATGACCAATAAACTATTGCCAGTGGCTATTAGTATGGGCCCATACAACAACTTGTATTTGCTATTCACACAGAATGAAGTCTCTTCTTTTTGAAATTTCATGTTCAATTTTCGAAGCACATCTAATAAATTTCCTTCAATTTTCTGAACTTCAAATCTTCACATTTCAGTCCCCAGGTTAGGATATTTTTTTTAGAAAAAAGGAAACCTAAAATTTTCGGATTCAAAAACGCATAAAACTTAAAACTGCATCTCAAATTCTCAAGAAAACAATACTGAGGCCATGGTAATTTCGAAAAGACTCAAGTTCCCCTAGGATGACCGAACAGATACAGATTTTATAGCCCCACTTAGAATTCACTTCTAGAGATCTAAAAATACCCTGGATAGCCTAAAAAGCGTTTTCAATGCATTTAGGAGGAAACCATCGTTGGGTGCCCCTGTCCTATTCAGGCCTACACTTATCTGGACGATCATGCTTCCTCTATACTCACAAATTACAAGATCTCTTCACCATTAGAAAATTATAGCTGCCAATACAACTCTACAACTGGTGGATTAATGGCTGTGACAGAGAGCAAAATCTCTGTAAAAAACAAAAACACAACTTTGCCAGGGGCAAAGCTACGGGATGACAATATGTCTTACCATGTGCGACATCATCCAAAAGAACCCCTGATTTTGTAACTGTTCTCATATAAGACTAGCATCAATCTTTACTTTATCCGCCAGGTCAGAGTAGAACCTGATCAAATTTGTTTCGATATTTCAGATGGGACGATAATTTCCAGAGACCTAGAATTCACTCCTCACAGCAGAGCCGTGCACAAGCGATACTGTAGGTTTTGAGAACAGCTGAGCGACCACAGAAAATGACTGTTCATTTAAGCATCTAGGATTAAGTTAAGAATAAGGCCGCGTTTTCCACTTCAAAAACAGTAGCTTCCTTACTTTTTTGATGTTGTAAATTCTCGTGAGCATTCCTAGTCCTCTCTCGTTCAAGATGGTCAGTTTCTCCGCCAATCTTTGCTCCGTAATCGACACTCCACGATCCATATCGTACTATATGTAGATTATTTACTCCCTATTTCTCTTTGAAAATACACTTAACTAGATACCGCCATAAAGAAAGTAGTTTTTGAACGAAACTACAGGAATGTTACAGTGACCAGTCGTGTTGACAGGAAAGGAGGGTCAAACTTGAGTCTGCGATGCGAATGCGGCAACACCAAAAGCCTAACATATGTTATGTAAAGGTCCTGAATGTAATCAACTTAAACATGTTGAAGGACTCGTTGAAAATGAGTGAATGATCAATGAGAGATTATCCCGGAAAGGTTACATTGAAGGCCTTCTTATTCTTTGGTTTAATAACCATCACGGAACAACAATTCAACATCAGGGGGAATAGGCTTCTGCAAATAGGGGTTGTGAATAGCGTGGGAGGCGTGGAGTATGTTTCGCGCGTGAGAAGGAGCTGCAAGGGGCAGTTAAGATACTCTGTTCATTATCAGCAACTCGAGCCAAAGCAGTTACCCTTTAAATAAGGACCAAAAATTATACTACTAAGAAGCCTGTTTCAGGGCTTTCAGATAGTTGGGACTGGGCGTAAGTGAAAGGCACGCGAAAATATGAGCGCGTGATTTGAGAAAAGGGGAACTGACATCAAAACTGCAAAGGACCGCAAACGAATATGCCGCAAAACGTAGGATCTGTGAAAGACGTGGCCAGCAAAAATAAACACTGAGTAGACACACTGAATTCTGCAAAGCTTATCGTACTAACGAAAAGGGGGCCGCGCGCCCGCTCTTTCTCTCCTCAGTCAGATTCCTCTCCCGTTTTATTGATTTATTTCGTGTTCGCGCTTTCTCAATTTTGCGGACCCGACTATCTCGGAGCCTGGAACAGGCTAAATACTCAGTCATTTAACTACCCCCTTCAACAATAAATCGATTCAAAACCTCCCGTTTAAAGGCTATATTTGGTCTTCTCGTCCTTCTTTTCTATTCTTCTTAGCACATCTCAGAAACCCTGCATATTAGTAGAGACGCCAAAAACACAAATTCTTCGTTTATTATAACAGAACTAGAATTTTACCTGCAGAACACATATCCTCCCGGGTATTCTTTATAACTTTCGTCCCAACCAAGAGACTATAGTCTCTTGTCCCAACAAATTACAAACACATTTTACAATACGGACAGTGTAAGGCTTTTTAACTATGGATAATTGTAAATGAAAAAACAAAGATTAAAACTCTTTTCCTACTTGATTTCAACTATAACGAAGAACAGCAGCTGAAGAAGTCGAAAATAATGCAAATAACGTTCTTGTTAGTAAGGAGTACATCGGAATAAAACGGTTTACATCATAACATTAAAAAACAACGGAATTAGAAAGAATCCAGTTGCTAAAGTAAAAGGTTGCGATTTCTAAGGCAAGAAATATCAAAAGACATGAAACGCAGCAAACATAGCCTGACTCAGTGCTATAATAATTTTTTTCTAAAGTGAACTCAGTGTTTTTCACGAGAGTTTCGGGGAAGCAGATCTATATACGATTTTCCAACATATAGCAGCAGATGCTGTCTCCTCCTCAGGCTCTTCTTTTTTCGCACAGAGGCAAACGCGAAAGCTAAACGCGAGTGACACGCGCAGGACACGCGAATGACTAGTGATGAAGCGCAAGGGGCTTTGCGAAGGAGAAAAATGAGAGGCGAAGCGCTGCCTCGCCCACATTCCCCTTCCCGCCTTCCTTTGCGTGGAAATTTTCATAGAGGGAGACGACGTCTGGGTATGAGGCAGGCACAAAACCCTTGTGAGGTATTTCAATGAGAGGTTAACCTGTTATCAGGAGGAGACATTGTCCTTAAATGGGGTAACTTCGGAGAAAGAAACAAACCACACCCCTCCCCCCTCCCCTCCATTCAAAGTTCGTGTCTTCCTTGCTTTCTAGTTTCTACAGGTAGCTCGAACAGCGGAACAACATTGCATGGAGGGGGATAGGGGAGGAAAAACTTTATTCTCTCTTTTTTAATAAGTTAGAAAAACGTTAAAGAGACGCTTTAGGGCAAAGTGTATCAACTAATTTTGTCGCCGCGCCGATTGTAGCTTAAAAGGCGTTATAAAGCGGCTTAAGAACACAGTGATAGTTCATGTTTAGTTCTGTAAGCTTCTATGAGACGTCGGAAGAAACAGCAAACCAACTAAACATAAAAATACTCCTCCTGTGACAGCCACAAAGATCACTGCTGGAGATATATCGGAAATAAAGTCATCAGCAGAGGCTGTAACGTAGAAAAAATAAGGATCATACAATCAGCACTATATGACATGTAAACATCCTCTGATTCACCTTATTAGTCCAACATATGTGGACTTAAAGGGGCTGTGTCACGGCAGTCCAGTTCATTTTGTTTAATTTTGCCAATTACTCGCCCTCAATCGCTATGGAACTTAAAGTCAGCAAAAAAATTACATGTAAATGACAAAATCATATATACGAGACAAACAAATATGTCTCCCGAGCATTATTTTTGAAGTTGCAAGCAGCAGGGATCAACTTTGAAAGACTGTTAGACTGAACAGTTTTCAAAAACCCTAATTTCAATCCGTTTCACTCTTCTTCAGTTTCGCCCATCCGTGGCATCTGTTGTTTCTGTTGTGTTATTTTAACCTTCCTTTAAGGTTTTAAGAGGTTATTTTTATGTTTTCTCTTCAAGTAATTCAACGGGCATTTTGCAATTTCCTAACTTTGGCTTAATTTCGTGACACAGATCCTTTAAATGATATATCTAAACGGCGCTAGTACAAAGAGGATGGAATGGTATAATTCTAACACCAAGGTGATTTGTGAGTGGTCTTTTTGGTAGTTTATTCATGCAACCACTTTATTACACGGCTGGCTTGAATTGGCGTGCTAACAAGATGGAGTAGATCCTGTAGTCACCACTGGCTATTCCCCTCTTTAATTTGTTCTCGCAGCCGTTTTCCGGCTTTGGCAATATAATAAGTTAAAATATGATGTAATAAGTTTAAACTTATTAACAGACCAAGCACGTTTGGTCTAGATGGCTAGATATTGCCCTTTCTTTCTTTCTTTCTTTTTTTTCTCTTCTTTTATGTCCGTTTATGCTCCTCGCCCGTCAATTTTCACTTGGTGCATGTATAAAAAGAAACGCATGAAAAAACTTGGCCAAAATCCCGCAATTCCCAAAGAAGCCTGAATACGTCAAACAACTCGCTTGTCTTCGATCTTTCTAACTTGATTCCGAATCAAGTTAGAAAGTTAGAAAGATGTGGTTTGAAACCACATCTAGATCAGTTCTATAACTAAAGCTAATATATATTCACTACTACCTTTATTGACTGTCCTCTGTCGCTTCTGGTTGCTAGTCTGCGTTGTGTTTTGTGTCGCATTCTTTAGACGTAAAGGTGCTCGTGGCGTATCATGATCATCGACAATCTCCATATTCCACGAGCCAGCTGAATGAACGAAGTATTTGTCATTGTTTTCAGGCGACTTTTGTTCTATCCTAGGATTATTTTCAGCCACGCTATTGATTGGAACACCGGGAATATCATGCCTTGGAACCGCCGACTGTTGATCTAAAGTCACCCAGTCGTGTAAGGTGGTAGAAAAAAACGGTCTCCGTGTTAAAAGTTTTTGAACCGGAGTCGTTGTAGGATTCAACACCGGAACACAATAACCCACGGGGTTCGTGTAAGTAGCATAAGCCAAGTTACATTTTAGTCCTTTGCCACAACGACCTACGATGTAGCCAATGCCACCACACTTTTGACCTGCATGGAGCAAGAAAAATATACAGTGTACTAGAGTTAAGGAGATAGGGGCACTTAGGTGAATCATGGTAAATGGCATAGATAATGTTATGATTGTTAGTTATTCCAGGCCACTATAAACATCTTCAAAGATGTACGAATCATGACCATTTTTACAGCAATAAGATGTATAACGATGAAATTAACTACAAAAATTAATGCCATTTTATTCTCAAGCATGTTAAGGCGTGGCCTGAGCCTAATTTGCATAAAATCTTGTAATGATCATAATCTTGTGAAAATTGACCAGCACCTATCAAAATTTGGGAACCGCAAAGAGATCAGTAAACTTAATTTTCCTGTTACGCAAGAAACCATATTTGTGTGTCACGTGACTAGTTAAGGTCAAGTCCAGGAAAGAAGAGAAAACTAAAAATGGGGTGGCGAGATGCCACACAGTAGATATTAAATACATTATTTTTGTTATTCTATCATGATTCCTTGCATGATTCTGGCCCCAATGGTTGACTCCCATTTTTATTTAATCAACAATTAAGCAAAATAGGTCACGTGACACTTTTTATCTGTTAATATCTTTTGAAGAGATCAAAAATTCTCTCCGTTCCGGCCACAGAAAAACTTTGTACCAAAAACCAAACACTTTACACATGGTTCAGAGTTGGTTGTAATGAACCATCCCTACCCCATTTAGCATTTTCTTTTGTATATCACTATGACGTCGCGTTTCACGTGACCACATCAGTTCAACCCTAATCAATTCAATGCCTCAAAAGAAAATTCTCGAAAGTTTTTAGCAACTTTTAGAATTAAAATCCATGGCCGTAGAAGGAAAAACAGTTTTTTCTACGCGGGGGAGGTCGAGACCAAAAATTGAGCCATGCCTTAATATACTTGAGTTGACGAAGTTATTGGCGTATTAGATCACTATTCCAATTGGATGGACAAACAGTTCGTTTTTACTTAAATCAAACGTCGGAAATAAACCAAGTATTGAATTTGTTATGCGATGGATCTGAACAATTATGTCCGTGCAGGAGCAAACTAGAACTAAAGTTACACTGAGTTTTCTAACACTACTAAATAGTCCAGGGCCATGTGTCCGAAAAATCGTTCTCGTGGGCGTTTTATGAACATTGAAGTTTCTTTGCAGAAACTTACAGATTAAATGGTGCTGTATGGAAAAAAAGTTGTCTGCAATTTTTTCAGAGCCATTTAGGCCTGTTTTATGCAAATTAGATATGACGTCATTATATAGCTGATGATTGACAACAAAATGCCTTCAGTTTGATTCGCGACTTTTTGTATCAAATATAATAAATGCATTTACAACTGCAGTTTACATCACATTTTGACTGTTACAAGGAATGAACGAATGGATCAAATATTTAAAGCAAAATACACGGGTTGTCATTTCAGAAACATCTTTTCTTTTCTCCAGTTATTTACTACATCTTTTAATGAATCCTCTTTGAATTTACGAGTCCAATTCTCCAGCTTTTTATAGTTCTCTTTCTGTTCTCTGCCGATTTTTAAACACCAGAAAATATATGGTATAATCCTGTCTGAGTCCAACTAGAAAAGGCATGCGTTTTGATGGTCTCCCCGTGGTTTAAAACTCAACACCTTATTTGCTTATAGTTTATTCTTCCTCTCTTATTTGATTTTAGTGTGCGAAGGCATATTTACCTGACGACTACTACTGTGTATGCGATTTATCTGGAAAAAAACCGCAAGATTATGGAGTTTTATTTATTTATTATTATCAATTTGCCGCATTAAAACAATACATTCACTTATAAAATCAAATGGGTGTATACTATGTTTAGGAAGGTCCTACAGTCAAGAGACGACCTGGTTTTCTGAATCGGCGAGATGCACATGATCATGCACAATGACCTCTTAACGCACTCTTGGGGCATCAATCGAGGGCAGTTGCTTTTACGAAGAATGGATAGCGGAGGGGATATGGCTCAAATACAATGCGCTAGATTCTTGAAGGGGAACGTATGAAGCGTACTCAGACCTCACAGCATAACAGACTCTGCTCTAAGTGATGTGCATATGGAGGCGTTTTTGAAGAGCGAAGCTGATTACACAAATGTGATACTAGCATCCTTTGCGATGAACAGGAAGGTCGATACTGTGAGCGAGGGACGAAACACAACTCAAAGACTTTTTAATCGCAATGGAAACCGGCGGGCCTCAAGAGAGGCTTTTGCGATTTGATAAGGTCATGGAGTCTCCGTGTTACTACTAATTCAAGTTTGCACAGGACTACATGAAGTTTGCAATGTGTATCTTGCTGTTCATACGCGCATCAAGAGAGGGAGACTGGAATCTTCACCTTGAGTCCCTCAAGGCTTTGGCACGGTTTTTCTTTGCTCAAGGCAGGCTGGGTTTTGCACGAATGGTGCCACTATATATATCTAGCGCAGATGCACAGGTTTAAGATCGATGATCCCTATATTTGCCTTGAATTCATGCAAGGAAACTTTTGTATAACTAAGAAGGAGCGCCCATTCTGTGAAATTGGTCCGGACCTTCCTAGAGAACACGTCAACAAGTTGATGAAGGTTCGGGGAAGACACAGCAACCAGCAGCCATGGCAAAATGGTTCCTTGTGGCACCAGAACTAAGTCGACTTGCGGCGCAAGCTGAGGACATGGTGCGATTGCAAAGAGCTTCATCATCACACCATCGTGATTTAAGCGATGTGCTAACAAAGCGCTTTTACGAGAATGTACAGAAGCTTAAAGATGTGCTTAAAGTGAGTGACCCTTTCGTGACAAAAAAAGTCATCTGGTGAACATCATCACAAAAAGCAGTTATGCTAGATTACATCAAGGAGGGAGTGCTAATGCAAAATGGCATCGGTCAGGCGTATTTTGGCACATTAGTTTGTTCAAGCACAAATCGTCGAGGCCCCAAGAAAAAGGCACATCTAAAGTCATGGAAGTTTGCCTGGCAAACAAAGAAAAATAAAACAACTAGTGGAATCGCACCCATAAAGGATGACAGAGCTCTCTTCACACGTTTCTTAGTTTTGATTCTCTCACGGCCTGATCTTCACATGGAGGATACCATAAGCACTTTTAAGTTAGCTGAGTTTCCGAGTACACCCTTCTCCTCTGAGGGCCGTTTGCTACACTGCATTGCCAAGAGCAAGCTGATTAACATCCTAGAAGTCCTTCTACGCCATCAGTAGCCACAAACGCATACAGTACAACCTCGCTCTCCAGACCCTTTCAGTACGCCTTTGGTAATTTTTTATGTCATTGCAGCAGTTCAGTCACTGGGAGCGCCATCGTTGGTAAAAGAAACAAGCGTGACCTAGCAAGCCATTTCATAGAAGTCGTTGATGCTAAGACTAATGTTTCCACCGAGGTTCATGTTGTATTTGACCGCTAGTAGATCCCCTACTCCTTAAAGGAAGTAACGCGCCAGTTTAACAACTGGTTATAAACAGAGCAGGGATATACAATGATTACTGTCGATGTTGTTATTGACAAGACAACTATGAAAGATCTTTTGAACTGCAACCAGAATAAGGAGCACTGGCTATAATCCTTGCAACACAACTCATCGAGTGCAAGAAAGACTCGCAGATGATGTATGTAGTAAATTCTAAAGGTGACTGTATGACATCTAATACCGTACCGATTCAACACTTAAGGAGTGATCAGGAAGAAGCAGACACCCGTATGCTCCTGTATGGTCTAGACGCCACAAAGAGAGGAGAAAAGTCCACGTTCATTCAGAGCCAAGATACAGATGTACTCGTTCTGATGCTCTGGACTTACAAGAGACTTTGTCTGGATACTACATTGAATGCAGAGACAGAAGGAAAAGGAAGAAGTACTCCACTAGGACCACTCTACGAGGTGGTCGGAGAAGACCTCGTGAAGGCCTTACCTGGCTTTCACGCTTTATCAGGATGTGATCAGACAGGCACCATCAGTGGAAAATGCAAAGTGCGTTTTTAGAATAATCTAAAGAAAGCCAAACGACCGATACTCGATGCCTTCTCTAGCCTAGGAAACAGCGACACCATCCTAGATGATATGTACATAAAGCTAAAGCGCTTCGTCTGCCAGTTGTACATCCCATCGACACAGCTGAGAGAGCCCTAGGAGAGGTCAGATTCTTTCTTTATAGCAAGAAACAATAAGTATATAAACCGCTACACCCTGCTAAAGCAGCCGTACACAAGATGACAAAATTAGTTAATCTCGTTGCATTGGTATGGAAGTCTTGCGACAACCCAATACTAGCATTCCTAGCCCAACGTTACACGGATGACAACAAGATGGGGATGCAGCCTGTTCCAACCACACTCCCTACCAGCACCTTTGTCCGTTCTGCAGCTGATCCAGTGTGGATGAAATTCGCATGCAACACTGTACGTGCAGGAAGCACAAACTATAATGCACAGATATGTCTGGTTCATGTAAAGTGAAACGTACGAACTGGAACTTTAACACTGACACAGTTAAGCATGTTAGAAGGGATAACAGTGACGATGAGGACCTTCAAATCTAGTCCCACCAGCTAAGAATTCTAAATTTCGGAAAAGGCATTGTAGAGGCTTTATATGATAGAACAGACTTAAAAGCGCGCTTGTGCACAGTTTCTTTTGCATTATGTGAGTGATTTCGGCTATGTATAACAAAGCCAGACTTGAGTAACCTGTGTTTTAGGGGTCATGAATGTAATTTGCATAAATTAATCTTACATGACTTCGAAAAAATTGCAGACAACTTTTTTACGATTTAACACCTCTTAAACTTTAGATTTCTTCCAAGAAACTAAAATGTTCATGAAATGCCCACGGGATTACACATGGCCCCGGACTAAAAAGGCTCCAGGGGTCTTTACAAAAGTCGAGAATGATAATGGAAATCATGTTCTTACAATCTACTGAGGAATCTATTTCAATCTACGATCAGTCTCTGGCATGCTTCATACAGATTACAACTAATCTACTCTACTAGTATTCAGCTTTGCTATTGGAAACAGAATTTTTGCTCGTTTTCATAATTACCTGATCTGGGGAGTGTAGACCCACCTTCTATCCTATCCAGCATGATTACAATGCCCCTCCCCTCTCCATCTTTACCGACCAAAAGTTTAATTTAAATGTTTAAAATTTAACTCCGTTTTGACTGCCAAGGTCTTACTTGACACAAAATTATTATGGATAATTTTTGATCAGAGATCTTTTTACCGTTGATTCTGAAACACTTGGTACAGCAGTTACACAGGTCCATTGTAGAGCCAAGAAGGCAGTTTGTTTCATTTTTGCAGTTGTCTATTGAACACGGCTTACATCCAAGAACGCCTTTTTCTGTGATAACCGCATCGCATGTTGTTAGGATGGCGATTGTTATAATCAGAGCATAACCCGACGTCAGGGCCAGACGTGCAATCTACAAAGAAGGGTTTGAATTCAGTCGATATTAGCAGGAGAGAGGAGTCTGACGTCACGTTACCATGGTAGCAACATTTCTGGATCTCAAAAATCTTTCTAGACAGAGACTGCTATTTGCATTGTCGAACGATTAAAGGAGGATATGGGCTACCGTTTTGTTCATGAAAGAATCATACAGAAGAATTAAAGTTATACATGTCATTTTTTTCGTTTTTTTTTTTCTGCCATTGCAGGACCACGGTGACGTAAGGGACCGGTCATTATTTATCACCTGAGGAGAGCGGAGGATTTTAGGGGGATATCACTTTGATTTTTACGAGAACAAAAGGGGGATCATCAGTCGTAACTAAGAAACTCAAAATGGGGGATTGCTGAAAACGTTGGAAGGGTTCAGAGGGGGAACACTCAAATTGGCTTGGAAAATGAAGACACGGGAAGGGGGGATCGCGAAAGTCATCAAAAGTTATTAAGGGGGATCACTTCAGTGAAGTAATATTCAAAGGGGGGATCAGCTAAATTTCACCTTGTTTAGCCCCAAATCCTCCGCCTCCCCCCGCGGCAATAAATAATGACCGGTCCCTAACTGAACTTCTCCTCTCCATTCGCTTTACATTTAACTGCAAGGCAACTGCACCCGGTTTTAACGTTCATTCGTAGTTCAGAACGTCCACATGTAAACGTCAGGTTGTAAGTCCTTGTACGGAGAAACACTTATGTAATGAGGTGCCTAAAAGACCTGCAGGAAAGTTTTCTCCGTCCAGTCGAGCCTCACAGTCCACCCTCAAGAAGAGAGACCTTGCTCCTAGACTAACTTCTGAGGATTTACTGACTTCAAAATTCCCAAACTTGCTCTACCGGGTACTTGTACACTGCCATAGTGCAAGACACCCGTGAGGTCCGTTTGTCTATTTAACACATACGAGCAGGTGGGTTACTTTAAAAAGGCAAACAAAGATAAAAGAGGCCACCGAAGGAGAAAACGACATAATTCTAAATTTTCCGGAATTACATTCTGGTTCCACTAAGGCGCCATCAAAACAAATTTTACTGACTACAATACTGACTTTGACAATATCCAAAGACAAACTTCCTCCACCTTACGGAAGCACGATAAGCTGCGATACAAGTCACTGAATATCAGTGCAATGTTTGAAAGTCGCAATCAATGGAATCAGGACAATAAAGAGCAAACTTCAGAGCTGAGGCAGACATTCAATGCACCCGCTTACCTGAATCTCCTCCACCTTTAGAGTGTTTTTATTTCACACCCCACCATATAAACTGTTTATCCGCTTTGCACTCACAGGGAGTTAGGTAACGTTATTTTGACTTAACCTGATCGAAATCTCTCGAATCCTGAGCCAAGCCTCTATATACCGGTAGACGTCAGTTTCAGTAGACTGACAAATTAAATGGAACAAGTATAAATGGCAAATTTCGGTTATGCAACCGCGTCGATCAACATGTCTAGTTCTTAGCTGATTTTAGGCGACATTTCTACCGGCTTAGAGATTCTGAAGTGAGCGCTAACAGGTTATTTTGGAGATGACACAATGCATGCTCAAAGGGCGTGGAAGTTTGTTAAGCTTCAATGATGTTTTGTGACAGGTGCCAGGAAGATGAGGTCATTTTGGAAAGATGCTACTCTCTCTCTCTCCACTTATGTGGCGCGGGTTTACTAATATAATAGCCGCCTCGTTCCCATGAAAGCCTCAATGGAAATTGAGGAATGTGGAAGGAAATGGACAGTTGAAAAAGTAGCGAGGCGACAAATGCCGCGCAGGCAAGAGACAGGTTAATAATAGGTTAACAACAAATTCTCCATCATGAGTATCAAGCAAAAGAGACAACTTGTCGATTTTCAGTTAGTTTGCCAGAATAAACGGATCAACCGCCGCCTGGCTGGCTCAGTTGGGAGAGCTCCGGTCTGCTGAGTGGGAGATCACGGGTTCGAACCCCGGCCGGACCAACACTCAGGGTCTTTAGATAACTGAGAAGAAAGTGCTGTCTTTGTAATGACATCTACGAACGGTTACATTGACGTTCTGCTATACTCGGATAAGGATGAAAAACTGTAGATCCCGTCTCACAGCACTTACTTACACTTATCTGGTTCTTATGTGACGTAAAAGAACCCACACCACTGTTCGAAAAGAGTAGGGGACGTAGACCCCTGTGTTGTGGTCAACTTTCTCACATCACATCATTCACATCGATCATGGGTTGGGTGGGTACAGTAAGCTCATAAATGGACTGAAGGCGGCTGCCAGTGGCGCCTTTGTATGCTGACGTCAGAGCTTACTGTTCACATGTTTAAAATATGTATTGTAAGAGGGTACGTCTGTTGTCTTCTCATCCACGACTCTTCATCCATTCATCAATATTTCCGGAAAATATCGTTTGTTTAATGTTTCTCGAGGCCCACGTCACTCTCTGCTTGTAATAACGATAAAAGGACTTGCTCGAGAGAGAGAGAGAGACATAACCAGATGATATTTAGAGCACAAACGCTGGCGATGCAGCTGGAGTCTCTCTTAAAGAGATGGATAAGTAATTAGGGAGACTACGCTTTGATAGATTGTGCTGGCATAATTTTTGGCATAATCGTCATTACGAGCATTTTAATGTATTTCCCGAAAAAAGCACTGCTAGCATAATTTGCACTTTCGGCTAGTTTTGCAGCACAGAATTGTCATTTATTGATCATCCAACCAATTAATAAGTTTTACTAGCAAATCAGATTAGTGTGGCATTCATGGGACCTGGGTCCCAAAGGAAGAAACTTAGGAGCTTTTCACTGGACTCAGTGCATGCGCATAACTGACTAGCTCGGTTATCTTTACGGTTATCTAACATGGCGTCCGAGTGCTGGTTTTTTGTTTGAACTTTCATAGTTTTCAGTAAGTGAATTATGCACTCTTAATATACATAATATATATACATAAATAGGGTAAATGTTTTTGCCATTTAATTGTTTGTTGCACAGTTATTGAGGTATTTTTACCAAATTTGAAGTAAAAAGTAGAAGAATAATGTCTGCATGTTTTCCTAAATTGAGCATAATTTACCAAAACTAGAATAATCATTTGGTAAATTAAATATACGAGCACTGCTAGTAGCATATTATGCCACTGTCGAGCACAATTTATCAAAGCGTATAAAAGACTCGAAACTTTTAACTTCCTAATTATGGGGTAGAAAGACGAGGCAGACACTGCACCATGCAGGAGAAAGTCTACTCGTAAATATTGCAGAATCTTTTCGCTTCATTCTTTGGCTCTGCAACTCCTAGGCCATGCATTCCTGGCCAAGGACTTGGGCATGAGTATGTACATACCGTAGATCTGTGATTCTCTCAAGGTAAGACAGAGTGAGATCTGGGTACGAGATTGAATCAGCGCATAATCATGCGCAATTTAGAAAGGGCTATATCTCCGTTCAGGTCAGTGCTGAGTGCAAATTATCGTTGATGGTTCCCTTAAGTTCCTCATTCCTGGTTTTCCCCACCTTAAAGATTAGGATCCCGGGAACGACGCTCATAAACATGAAATCAAGATATTCGCAGTAACCTAACGCTAGCCTGCGTGGCAGGCGTTTGAAAGGGAGGGGACAGGGAGTTTTAGGCGCTAGAGAAACGCGAGGGGCGCGCGAGGAGGGAGGGAAGGAAACGCCTGCAAGTAGACCATTGTATTTCTCATTTTTTTCCTTCCCTCCCTCCTCGCGCGCCCCTCGTGTTTCTCTAGCGCCTAAAAGTCCCTGTCCCTTTCAAACGCCTGCCACGAAGTCTACCTAACGCCGACTCTAAAGACGTCCTTTCCAGGTTTTACAAAAGCGACAACCGGAGATACGCCTGCGTTCACATCAGCAGTGACCTATTTTCGTCTATTCCATTTTCTGTTGTCAATTATATATAACGTCATTAATTTTGCGTCCCCGGAATGCACGTACTCTTTACGAACCGGAAACGCAAACAGGTCACTTGATTCTCTCTTCCGCATTATGTGCAAGCCATAACGTATAATGAAAGTCGGGCAGAACCATCTTGGATTCTCTTGTGTAAGCAGATTAGAATAAGACATCCAGGAAACGATAAGTGGCCTAAATTAAAATGGCATACAGAAGTCATGCGTTGTCTCTCATTCTGTTCCGGTTTGTATGCTATTTATGACGTCATCACTGTCCCCTCAGAGGGAATCTTCTCTTTTGAAGAAGGGACAATCATAAAGTAGTTTCCCTCAGTTTATTCTCTATGTAGTCAGTTTTCTTGACTGCACGAGTGAATGAATTGAAGTAAACTGCTCTCGGCCTCCCGATTTCTAAAAATAACAGAAACCCCTACAATACCATAATGTGTACGTCCGTTCCTCGATTTAATACCAAACTATTCAACGATAACAAAATATTGCTATGCAAGTAAACACAGACCGATAAATCAGGCCCGAGTTTGCCTTTTTGTTTTTTACATCATCCTTAACTTCTGAAACAGTAGAATAAGAAATCAAGCAATTTGTAAATGTAACGTTCATACTTTATTCTTTTATACAAACCATAACGACGCGGTCCAAACACGGACTTGTAAACATTATACGAACAAGCTACAGAGCGCTACAAAACGAGTATTGCTTTCCCATTAGTGAAAGAAATGGATACTTTTCCCTCACGGTGGAGAGAGTTTTTAAAAGTTAATATAACGCTCGCGTGCATACAATTTACATGTCGTTTGTATTTCATAAAATATATACTCTTGTCCACATATCTGCGCTATGTACAACAGGTATCATGAAAAACTAAGCTTGGTTGAAAATCTGAACAAATTTACAAGTGAAATTCAACCACTGCCAGTGATGAACAATATAAGTTTTCTCATTACAAGAAAGCCGTGAAAACAACTGTTTTGTGTTCCATTTCTCGAGCTCATTCGTCGCCCACCACTTATTAGTACTTCATCATATTAATTACAAATTTATATGTAGTGAAGGCGACGACTGAGCTAGAATTGAAAAAGGTTACAAACCACACCATCCATTTAACTACTGAAAACTACTAAGGTTTTAGATTAATCGCTTTCGTCTTGGGTTGAGTTCGCACTCGATTCGAACGTCGCATCGTGTGTTTCGCGTCGCGACATTTCTGACAAATGAAAACATCGGGGACGTTCGATTTTCTAATCTTTGCACAGGATAAATGTATCCACGTTAGACACTCGGAGCATTCGATCATTGGTCTCCCTACAAAATAAAAACATAGAGAAAATCAACAACAAACCGTGCAAAAAGCAACAGCAACAGCAATTTGCATTAAAAGGGCCGATTCGGTGCCTTTGTATTCAATGATAAGTTAACAAACATCATTATTAAAATCATAGCAAAAGGGATTGAATGAAATATTCGTCTTCGAAAGTCTGCCGTGAATGAAAGACAAACACTCTCGAACTTTACGGAAAAAACAACCGAAGAAAGGCAAGTAAACGGGATATCGTGTGTCAGACCAACATACGAGAAATTTACTCGAGAGTGCATGCATCCGAATCGTCTGGGGTTTTACTTCGTATGGTAACGACCGACAAACAAGGGATTTTCTTAAGTCTGGCCCTGCATTAGTAACAAGAAAACAGAAAAAATATCAGCCAATTAAAATGGCGTGGACAAGCGAATCAATACGCAGTTACCGAGGCCATGATCACATTGTACAAGACCATTTATCACACAACGAATTGGCAATGGCGACGTGTCGTATTTTACTTTGAACTAATTTCAGGCAACATCGAGAGAAACGAACACCTTTCAAAGATACTAGAGATTCTAAGTAAAGCAAGCCATACAAAATCCCAAATCGTCGACCTGAATTGAATGACAGGTAATCACCAAGCTTCACACACGACTACAGAACTCGCTGTTTTCACTTCTTATAAACAACTAAAATTGCATTCACCTTTCCAGTTATTTCAAGATACCTTGAGTTTTAAAATAACGCTACACATATTTTTTGTTGAGATAGAATGTGAAAAGAACTGAGCTTCAATTATCGAAAGAGTGGGAAAGAAAGTTTCAAATTTGAAGAAGCTGAGTGAATTGATTTACTAGGAACGATTTTCTATTCGACACTGGATAAGCATAAGTTCCGTCGTGGATGTGTCACGTATTATAACGCCGGTCGCAAGGTGAAAGATATACTCAAAGAAACACTGGATATAAGAAATAAAGAAGTCGCTACTTACCAGCAAATGGTTTTTGGCAGTAGCAAGTTATTTTATTCCATGATTCATCATCTATGGGGAAAAAGCAGACAGATTATTTCGGTGTTGAACTGAACTACACCACGCGCAAAGCTCTCACAGACAAAAACCTTAACCATAAGCGCTAAAACACAGAAAAGGAGTCATGAAATTAAGAAATTTCTAATGAGAGGAACACAGGGAAAACCTTAAGACGCGCGCCATGCTCACCCGAACTGTATTCTTCGTCAACATCGTCAAGCAATCTTTCGTCGCCACTTGAACTTGCTGGCGACGATGCTGCCTCGCTGTAAGCAGAATCTGTACTCGACGAAATACTTTCCATTGAATTTGGACTTCTGTTACGCTGCCGAACATCCTACAAACACAAGAGGAAGGTTAGTGAGGCACTGATATTTATTTCAAGCAGAAGCATATAACAAGACATCACGTTGAACGATCGACGAATGTGTCAATAAGAGTTTCATCTCAGTAGCTCAAGAAAGATTACTCAGTGTGGAAGAGTCATCGAACCCACTGAAGAAGCAGGTTTTGATACTTTTAAACTACTCGAACGCAAAATACTGCCTCATTCAGTAAAAACATATCTCACCCCTTGTCTGGCTTCGTACGCAAGAATGAGGCTACAAAACGTGTTAAAGTCTTCCAGGGTTCTCCGTTTCTTGGTTTGTGGGGCGATCTAGAAAACAAAGGAGGTAAATACATGTGAGCTTATAGTGGACGCAAACTTAGGCACATATAAGAGGCAAACTTGAAAACAAGAAGCCAAACAGGGCTTCTAACCGAAGTGAACAACAATAGCCAGCTCAGCCATTAATCGAAGCGTTCGAACGAAGAAAGGCAAAGGTACTTACCGTTTTCCCGTCTTGTTCCGGAGGGGAAAGCTTCCTAGAAACTGTTAAGAAGAATATGAATCGTATAATTAACAAAACAGTTGTGAAAGAAACAGTCTTGCGAGCATGCAACGTAAAGTTTCGGGTTTTACATGGAGCAATGTCGGGTCTTCCCTTCCCAACGTAATCTCACTGCATGCTTGGAAACGAACCGAGGTAAAAGAAAATTTGTTACCTTTCATGGTTCCCGAGGTCATTTTCTGTGACTGGACCATAAAAAAGTCTCAAAATTGTAAAACCCAAAAGACTGTGCAGCTTCGAAACACTCTACAAAGTCCGTATTCCCAGCACCGATCGCATTAGTTGTCGAACTACACATCATTTCGTCCGAAGGGTTTCCCACAACTCTGAGCGCGCGTGCATGGCCATACGTCACAATGAACTGTCGGAAATGAAGTGTTTGGATTGGTCAATCGCGACATCTCCTTGCAGGTCAATAACAACACGTGACGACCAAAACACTCAGAAAATAAATATCCTTCAATTTATCTTCATGAATGGCCCAGAAATATTTGTAGCACTTTCGTGTGTGCTTTCATTTATAATGCGAAATGAAATAATTAGCTACACTAAACTTCAATTATTACTTCAAGGTTTGATTACAAAACAGAAATAAATATTAAAAATATATAAACATTACCAGCTGATGGTCTCCAAGAAGTGGGCTCTGTTTTTATCAAGACAAACAAGCATTTCCTATCGTGATACAACAAGGCGTTAAGTTCAGCGTCTAATGCATTAAGAGCTGCATATCAAATTGGCAACTCATGACCAACTGAATCCTGAAAATGAAGAAGAAAACCATAGCAAAAATATGAATTAACACCTTCAAGATTAACAAAAATAGATGACATAAACTAGCGATCGACATGGGTAAAATTTTTAAATTGTCGAATGAACGCTAGAATAGGTCATGTTTGTTGTCGCATATTGAATTTCAACCATGCGTGATTGCTTAATTATGAATGCCGGCTGGTTCGAAATGGCAAACAATCAACCCACTCTGGCTCATAAATTAAATGTTTTCAACATGAAAAAAATCCCGCAAATCTTACCTTCTGAAATCCGTTTTTCGATGTTCGATCTCTTGGGACTTTCCTTGAAGAATATCACCATATTTTAAGGCGCTAAACTCTTTCTTGATTAAGAACGCCAGCGAAAGAATATGCGTCTTTTTGTGGCTGACACAATACCCCCTTATCTCCTGCGCATGCGAAGAAACATTTTCCTATTTTACCCACGTCCAAGGTCTCTCAAACCGCTGGTGGCTATCTCCGAATCAAGTTTGTCACCCGAACTAAACCTTCCCATTTCTCTACCAAAACTTTTCCCCGTCAGATTCAGGCAAAGAAAAGTATTTCTCCGATTTCGAGAAGGAAATATTTCGTATACGCGACGCCTTATTGTTTCACGCTTCGTTGACAGCTGCCCCCGATATCGGAGAACTTTCACGCCGATATGTCAACTGGTCATTGAAATGCTAGCCAATCAAACTGGATTTACAAAAAAAGCCGCAAATGTCGTCACATTCCTATTGTTAACTTTTAGTTTCCAATCTTCTGGGAGTTTCTTTTTGTATTCTAAGGTGGCCTCACAGGGGAGGAGTGGACAACGTTTTCCGAAAAAAGTAAAGACTTACAGTCTCCCCCCTAGCGTCTCACTCCCGGAAAAATATTCTGCTGTCCCTGAATCACTGAAAGCGATAAATTTCATAGAAACTGTGCAATCGAGTGAAAGACAAAATTCTCGTTCTATCGACCGAGTGGTTGAGGAAGTACATGTGTTAGCCTGCAAATGACAGACCTTTTCGAAAGTGAGAAGTGGGATGCGTGGCATGCGTCGAAAGGGGTAGGGGAAAAGGGGAGGGTTGGTGAGCCCAGGTAGGGTAGCCAAGAGAGGAGTAGCTTCCGCGTGTCACGACGAAGAGGAAGTTAGCTGCGCCACAGACGAAATTAGGGACTTTCAGATCCAACGACGCGGACGACAACAAGAACGTCAAAAAAACAATAAATTTAATTAGCAAAACAACAACTTCGCACGTGCATCACACTTTTTTGTACATTTCTTTCCCGTTTTTGCACGACTACGACGTGAAAATGCCTAATTTCGCGTTTTATGGGGGACGTAAACAAGCAACGACGAAATTTTATTTCTCTTTCTTAGCCTGGATTTGGTCCCTTGAAATTCAGCTTCAGGAGGGTTCGCCTACAATTGACAAAGTAAGGGGGTAGGAATAATCGCTACAAAGACTGAAAGAACGCAAATTCACTTTTTAAGCGACGTTCTTGTCGCCGTCGCGTCGTTGGATCTTAAAGTCCCTATTAAAAGGCCGCGCGTCGTCGAATTTTCTTTTTTCCCGCTAAAACATACCGGCGCCTGCTACGCAGGCTGGCTTCTGCAACACGCATGCTCCTATACGCGAGAACACGAAGCCTGGGACCAGACTCCGCAGTTACTAGTTGGGGAAAGTTGGGGACTAAACGGTGAAAAGTAGTCTGGGGAAGGGAAAGCTCGACTCGCTTTCTTTCCGTTTTTTGCCACAGTCAGTTTCTGTCACTCGTCCCTAACGCGCAATTCAGAAACGAATTCGGACAACCTGACCAGCGCTAGACTTGCTACAAGTCGACCTCACTAGTTTCTTAGCTAGCGGAGCGAGCTGAGTGCTCGAATCGTAAGCCAGTTACGATCAGTTAAATTTCACAACAATGCCTGATTTCATATGGCTTTATCGAACTTGGATAGGTCATTTACTTGCTCAATTTTTCGGTTTGGCAAAACGTCGACGCCATTTCTTATAAATTCAATTTCAACAGCTCCTGATTTCAATCGGTACATAAAAGAAATCCTACTGAAAAAAGCAAGAGAAGAGTCCCCGGACATTTCACCGTGGACCGCCCAGTGATTTGAGCAAACTACAATCTTGTATAAAAATGGACCAAAACTGGCGCATTTTGGTCTTCGCGCGGCTTCACCCAGTCCTTGATTTTGGTAGCATGCCCAGGCTCTCAGATAGTGGGGACGACGCGCGAAAGTGAAATACACGCGAAAAGTTGGCGGGGCGGGAAAAAGGAAAAAGGGAGGGGATTTGCTTCCGTTTTATTTTCGTGTTCGCGCTTTCTCAATTCAGCGGACCCGACTATCTCGGAGCCTGGAAAAGGCTATGATTTTGTGGGAAAGATAGCGAAACAGTTGTGGTGTCGCGAAATGTCGGCTATTTCTCAAGCTAGGCTGGGAAGGGGGTTTGCTCCATTTGACAAAGTTTAATTTTTCCAAGATTGTGGGTACAGTTTGACTAGTAGAGGGGACTACTAACTACGCTTTGACAGAGGGTACGTTGCCGAGGAAACAACCGACGTTTCGGGACACCACCACTGGTTTCCCCGCGAAATGACGTCTGAGGAACGGAGCAGAGATTCCATACTGATGACGCATCACTAGCCATTCTGATTAGGCGGTTTGTCCCATGGTCGCGACATGACGCATTAGACACAACAAAATATGGTATGTATTCAGTGAGCTAGACTTTCTCAAAGTCCTTCGCTTCTCGTATCCGATTCAGGCAGTAGGCCCAAGCGAGAAAAAATTTGAGCTCGACCAAAAGTCTATCAGTGACTCATCGTGTGCTTCAATAATTTTGTTTAGACTAAACAGTTAGGTTACTAAGAGTATGCATAAACGAATATTTAAGGCTCGTCTATGTGTCTATAAAGTATAATAATCCACACGATTATTCGCCGATCACACGTAGCACCAAAAAATGCGGAAACAAAAATCAGTGCAAAAGAACTACTCAAACAAAATAAGCGAATGAAATGAAAAGGAAATGCCACTTTAAGTAAAAAAACATTATTTAGTTGCTTCACACACAATTTTTCACCTGGACGGCAACGATGGGTTGCGGGGTTAATACTCTGACAGGAAAGTAGCTGATCAGCATCTCATTTCTCAATGAAACATCACTGCTTAATTAATATTACGGTCATGAGAATGAAGAAAATCATCAACAAGTAAAGAATGGCTTGATTGTTTTAACAAATTATCCTCAACAGTGTTTCAGGAAATGTGTGGAGAACAGTGAGGAGAGAAAATGCATGTTGATATAAAGGTTTAAAGAGTAAAGCTAACTACAAGTAATAAAAATATTAAAGTTTATTGATAGAAGAATGTACACAAGTCCTTCATTTTATTTTATTTCTACCGAAGCGAAAGGACATTCTCTTGCTAATGTTAACTGAAATAGAAGATTCAATTCGACCAAAATACCTCACATCGTTAAAAAAATTCCTTCCACAAAGCCCGCAAGACGCCTTCGTATCTCGCGGTTTGCCTGTCACGCCTCGCGTGTAACGAGTGTCATCTCACTAATTAACTTAAAAGAAAAATATGAGATTGATCATATTGAGAGGGCTTACGTTTTGTTGGACGACAAAAGTATGCTACATGTATAAAGCATTCTCACATTACTGCTCTAGCTAATAAACAAATTCGCTAATTCTTTGAGAAAAATCTCGGAGGCCAAAAAAAAAGGGAAATTCGATAAAGAAACCTAGCAAAATTCCTTTTCCTGTTGTATCATTACTACAATTAATTATTCGAACTTGAAAGTTTCTTCACCAGCCAAACATATATTCCATGGCTTTGGAAACAAAGTTGGAATCTTTTTGCGGGGTCCTACTTCCATCAGGAACAACCTGTTTAAACAACAACAACAACAAAAACATATTGTGGGCTTAATCCTACATTGTTAACATATCACCCAAAGGAATTTCTAAGAAGAAAAATTCGTTGTTCTCTTATTAATGACATGAATGGACCACCAAACACTGGGATAAATATTCAATGCAGATACAGTAAAGCATATATTTTCTTGCAGATAAATTTAATTGCAAATATTTTTCAGACAGACGTTTAGAAGACTGACCAGGTAGAAAAACGGTGGTGTGGGAATTTGAAAGCTTTTCTCCTTCAGAGACAACAGAAAAGTCAGGATCAGTCAGGACAACACTAGCCTACATGGCAGATAATAAAAGGGGGAGGGATGGGGAAATTCGAACATGCGAGAGTACATGGGACGCGCACGCCTCCTCGCGTGCCTCCTCTCACACACCTGGGTTCCCCATTCCTTTTCCTTTTTAACATAAGCCATGCGGACTAGAATGGGTTTTCTTCATAATCATCACAAAGTGGTGATCTGGAGATTCTCACATTGAAAGTGGTCCATGTTATTGGACCATCTTAATATTGGTCCATTGGTTCATTGGCCAATATTGGCCTCAATTGGGCAAAAATATTAGACAACAAGATATACAGGTATGAAAAACTCTTAACCCTTAAAGCTCCATTATCTATATAGATATTCTCCAGACTGCTCTCCATACATTTCTTCAATTATTAGTTCAATGAATTTAATAAAAGATCAAAGCATTTTTGCTTTGGTGATCATTTTATTAATTCTCATAAGCTTTTCCTCTTGATGATGTTTAGATAGTGTTAGGAGAAAACTGATGTTGGTCACTCTAGGGTTGAGATTACATTTTAGGAAGTCACTGTGAATTTTATGTGATACAAGTACCTGATGGTCACTGCGTGATGCTTGGTAAGCCGCTGTCAGTGGCCGCATTGGAGCTGGTTTATTAGACACTGATGACGGCATGCTGGTTTCAGTCCTGTCGGGTGTCCTTAGTATGTTTTCTTTTCCGTAAACCTCCATGACACTCTAAAGAATGGAATTCACATGTTACCAACAAGGAAAATGAAGTGTACTCTGCAAAAAATGTTTGTATGTGGCAAAAATCAACCTTGATAATAAGCAAAGCAATTATTAAAGTCATCGTCCAAAAGAGACAATAAAAAACACTCAAAGACATTTATTTTACCCATATTAACAACTAAAACTACCTTGACTCACTAAATGAAGAAGAATAATCCACTGACAATAAAAAATTTTGAGCCTCTGAACACAAAAACAATGGTGTGGAAGCTTGGCTTTTAATTTCCAACGTTCTCTTTAATCCCCTTCCTTTTTTAGGTTTTGCTGCCCGGATTTTATTACACTTAATACAAAGAAAGCCCTTGACAAAAATATACTGAAGAATTTGGGAAAACTATTTTGTTCTATGAAGTGGCTATGAGTACAGAGACTACTCATTTCATCAAAGTTTGTGACATTACAACCAGTAAATGACCTTTGAGCAAGTGACACCAAAGGTGCTACTTCAAAACTTATGTTCAGGTCTGTGTTCTAGCAGCCCGCTGCCCCCTTCCACCTTACTTCTGCTCTTGGGAAACTAGGAAATCTTCATAGAAATCCTATGTTGGGCATCCTAGATTTCAAAGGTTAAGAGTGCTGCCTTCAATTTTTCGTATAGCACAACCTTGATATTTCTATCATTTTAATGCAAGTTCAACAAAATGATGGCAAACATCACTAATACCTACCTTTTCAATACAAGGTACAACCCCCACCATGATATCAGTGCCATACACCTTTCCATTCTTGCTAAGAGCCTGATGAGAAGAAACAACAGCAAGTTAAAAAACAGAATTCACTAACCCGATAGCAAAATTCACTAGCCGAGACTATCGGACACTACTTTCTTTGCACGCTGATATGATGACGTTAAGTTCAAATGAGTTTTGTGAAATTTTCAACTCTGTATTTTCTTACTCACCTTTTTGGCTTGCAATTTGGATTGATATTGAAGGTGCATCCAATTACCTTTAGATGTCTGCAGTAAAAACGAAAAAAAGCAAAACAAAACAAAGAAGCTATCTAAAGCATTTTGAAACAATACATAACTTATATGCAACAAACATAATTCTTAATTCTAAAATCATTGTCATGATAAAGGCGCTGTTATTAATAGTACTATAAGAATCAAGTTTGTCTCTGCCATTACTTTCAATTGACAGTTCTTTCCTTCACAAAATTGCTTTACTTTGATTAACTGTTCAGGTTCCTTATAAGACAGAGTGCACTTCGTATACTTTGTAATGGACAAAAATAGAATGGCATGGGATGAGGCTGATGATACATGAAGTAGTGTTGAATAACAGTCAAGAAATGAGGCACAACAAAAAAGGCCAGCACATAATATTCTTTTTGTGGAAATTCACTCATATCTGACATGTCAATCCCCATTTTAGTCGGAGAAACGTACCACATGAGTTTGTGGGCATAAAGTATATTGACTAACAACTACTTTGTTTAAACACTTCTCATACTTTCACCTTCAAAGTGATAGTCTTTGGTATCTGTAGATTTAGGGAGCTTAAGCAACAAGACAGTGGCAATGGCAGCGAAAACGTCACCCAAAAGTGAATTGTTCGCTCTTTTTTAAACTTCATCGCTCTTATTCCAACTCTTTTTCAACATTTGACAAATGTTGGCAATATTTTTAGGAGTTGAATAATGTTTCTTATATAGTTCATGAAAAGAAAAAAATCGTTGTCTTGTGTTAATGTCCTCCATAAAACGTGAAATTTTCACATCGTAGTCATGCAGTGACAGCAAAAAAGTGAGAATGAGAATGAGAAAATGAAACTATTGCTTTTAGCCATTCTCGTTGCTGTCATCATCGTAGTTGCTTAAATTAAAGCTCACTACTGTCTGACTGATGGCTGACTCTTATTTGCAGCACTTTAGTGAGTGTTATATCAAATAATTAGACAAACTCACCACACTTTTTATTATGTTGCCATATTGAGAAAACTGTTGAAGAATAAAGGATGATGCAGCTGGAGGAAATCTAAGGACATTTAAAATATTTTAGAGAAAGTTGAACATATGAACTACAAGGTACTGACATAGCAAACTGAAAATAATGCCAGAACCAGACTTTGATTATGCAGATCCTTACGTTAACTGACACTTAGTTATATGCACTAATATCATAGGTGACGAATTACTCGTTAATTTTGGCACGAAATTTCAGCATTAATTTGTAATTTCACATGTGAAATTACAAAATTGCCATGGCAACCCTTCCGTATGTCTCAGTGTCAAGATGACAACAAAGTTTTAAAATGCCGTGAATGAAGATGTCAGGGCACAAAAAGACGCTTTAGAAAACCTGAACACACAAAAGAACATCAAGAAGGATTCTAACAGGTATTTTGCTGAAAACGCCTGAAAAATTCTGAACTTTATAAGCCAAATTTAGGGTCTAAACATTTGAGAGAGTGGAGTTCTCGATCGATACGATCCAGGATAAACATGTCAAAAATTCAAGATTGCTAACGTAATTCGTCACCTATGATATTAATGGTAATCATATGGTATACTTGTGAAATTAGGGAATAATTTCACGCGCGTTTTGTCCAAATCCTAATAATTTAAAGGCTCGGGAAATTATTAGGATTTGGACAAAACGCGCGTGAAATTATTCCCTAATTTCACTCGTCACCATTTGATTACACATACTTATCTTCGCATGGAATTTCAGGAGGACTTATAAGCCGTGGGGTTTATCTCCGGAACAGAAAAAGCTCTTTGATACAGAAGCTCTACATAGCAGTGCTGATCAAAATATGTTACTCAATTACTGGTATTTTAATTTAATGAATTAAGCTTAAGTTCAAAATGACACAATAAATATAGTAAACAAAAAATAGCTCTGGAAAAAAAATTTCAATTGAGCATTATATTTGGCTAACAAGAGTCACAAAATTTTCAAAGCTTAGACAAACTTCTTGACAAAAGTTTTTAGGTTTTCTGTAATAACTGTAAGCAGGAGCCTTGAGTTGCTTGTTGGAAATACAATATGAGTTTGAAAAATTAATGTCAATGGAGAGCTTTATCCTTCTTACCCAAAAACTGTTACCCAACATTCATCCAAAACATCATCACTAGATATTGCCATACTGGAAAAAAAATTAAATACATGATAAAAAAATTAATAAGAACAATAATTGTTCTTATATACACCTGTCATGGTTCAATTTTCATTTAAGTAACCTTTAGCTCAACGTTCCTTTCACAGGTAATTAGTTTTAGACTAATTATGATACAAGTTGAGTTACACATTAATATATCAGAACACTGACTACTCTACTCTCTATTACTTTATCTGAGGCTAATAATGGAGAGATTTAGAATCATGCCTATGGGGGGGAAAAAGAAAAATTGGAAAATACCGAAATACCATGTTGAAAATCAATGAAATACCTATACAGCATTTATGATCGTCCATGCTAATTAAAGTTGTACATCCGTCTCGAGTGCTTGTTTATCTCAAGCATGTAAGGGTGTTGCAGTTAATTTTTTATTTCAGTTAATCCTTATTTTTCCTTTGTTTCAAATTCATTAGCATACATTACCATACCCAAAAACATTATGGAAAAATAAAAATTACCTGAGATAAAAAATTAACTACAACATATGGGCGAGGAATCAAACTCAGACATTGCAAGACAACATGAGTGGAAGACCTTGAATTGACTGGTACAAAAGCCCAGTCTTAAGATGCCCTACTAATTTCATCATAGATTAACGGTCAGAAGAAATTGTGTAATCATTTGCCATAATTAAGTTTAAAGTCTTAAAATATTAACTATTATTAACCTGTATAGCTTACTGTTGCCTTAATTGTATTGATCTATATTAGACAGAAGAGTGCAAATAAATGGTACTGTAGTACTGGGAAGGATCTTCTCTAACTAAATACTGTTACCTAAAAGGATGAAAGACTGCATACCGCAGGGCTAGATGATACCGTAATACCACCCATTAAAATTAAAATAACCAAAATGCTACTTGAAAAAAAGCTCAATTTGCCATATTAAACCCCCATGTCCCCCTCTTATAGCAACCAGCAAACATCGGTTTGAAGTTGATAATAATTTCTTACATTTATTAAGAAATAAAAAGTGATAGAACTCTCCAAAATGAGTTTGTAAGACTAGCTTTAAAATGACTTGATAAGATGAGAATTACCAATTAAAAGCAAGTTTCACTTACCCCTGGGTGTAAAATGGATCAATTTGGGTGGGAGAGGGAAATGAACTGCCACGCTGAGGACTAAAGGGCTGTGAATCAACACCTGACATGGTTATGTTACTTCCTGGTGTAGTGTATCCAGCACTTTTCCGGATTGTTGTATTAACAACAGAAGCCATTGTCACATCCATTGGCTTTTTATTTAAAAAAAAAGAGTTAATTGTTAGTTGCTAAAATATGTATACAATCAGGGACGGCTTTATAGAAAGTTTACAATAAATGATAAACTAATGAGAGCAGGAATGGTTTGGTACATGTAGTTGGGGTGCTAGACTTGCCCTCAAAGTGCCAATTTCAAGTCTTTCTGCTTTGCATAAATTTGTACATGGAATAGCAGTCTGATTTAGATGAAATGTGTGGACATTACCCACCCCAGTTTTATAATCAAATCGAAGCTGCTACAAAAAGAGTACTTTTTCCATGTACCTGTTCTTTGGAGAAGGGTGAATTACCAAACTCTGAGCCTCTTGCATCATAAAGTCCTTCAACTGGAGGAGCACTCATGGAATCTTTAGGAGGACAGCCTATAGAAGATCTAAAGCAAAGCATTGTGACAGTACGTCAAACTTTAAAACCATATGGCAGAAAAGCTTAAATATGTCTGGTGGTCTAACAACCAAAAAAAGGGCTAGCTTCATTTCTAAAAAACACCAAGCACTACCTGTATGAACCAATTAAGCAATAGAAAACGTTTTCCATGTTTGCATAGCCTGATATAAACACAAGAGGGGTTGGGAGAATTTGAGACAGTTATGCAAACCCAAGACGAAGTCGAGGGTTTGCATAACTGTCGAGAAAAAAACGCTAAACTCTTTGTTATGGCACTGATTAAAAGAGATATTCTTTCCAGTCGCAAAGTCTTCTACACAACGTCTTGCACGCGAAAATCAGTTCTTGTTTTTCAAAAAGATGCTATTCAAAATACGGATTTTTCTTGCTTAAACTGTCAGCTTAAGCGAAAAAAAATTGACACACCTTCTTTGTAACGATTTTCCAAGTTTCAGCCGACAGAGGAATTGGTAAATAAAGTAAACTGGTCGAGTTTTGAACTCGAAAACTTTTTCAAATTCGTGCTTGCGTGATTAGTGTACGAAAAGCAAAACATCTTGACGCCACAACCATGTTTACATACTCTCAACCAAACACTCCTCTCAGCCAATCAGAGTGCACGTATTATCTTAGTTCTTTTATAACAAATATTATTATTCATTCAAAATACTTCCCCGATTCTGATTGGCTAAAAGCAAACATATAATTCACCATAACCAGTTACTGATGACCAAATTTGGAAGAATTTTGACTTTAACGAGGAAATGACGTCAAAAATGCAGCGTTTTCGCAGGTTAAGGCACCGTTAACCCAGAAGACTTGGGGACGAGGTTGAGTTGTTTTGGTTGTGAACTTGAAAAATGGCGGACATTTCACTCGTTTCAAGAGTAAGAACTAGGTGAAAAAAATAGCTAAAAACATGGCAAGAACAGCAAGAAGACAACTGGAAGGGTGACATTTGCTATTTGGAGAATATTTGCGGAGCTGGACAAACGTAAATGTACACTATCGAAGATGAACTGAACATCGATGGATCGATGGAGGTAAGCATGTTTTAGCTATGTTTTTAAACTAGGAATTATTTTGAATGAATTATAAAACAGTTATTGAATTCTGCTTTCGTATCATATGAAGAATTATGGAGATCTCAGAGGGTGTTATCTGCCTTGGCCTACGGCCTCGACGGATAACACCCTCCCCGATCTCCATAATTCTTCGTAAGATACTCAGCCTCATTCATTAACTGTTAAATAATTCATAGCTTGTATAAGACTAACCTTGCAGGTGTTCTGTCAGTCTTAGTTACAAATCCTTGCGGCCTGAGTGGAGAACTGAATTGATGGGAGTAATTTCTTGGTGATGAAAGGGAACCAGTTTGGCCTGGACTTCCTTTATAAGACCCTAAGGAAGATCCTACTGGTCTCCCTCTTGGAATGGGCTGAGGGGAAAGATGTATATTAATTAATCAATTAATTAATTAATACTCGTAAACAAAGTTAAACAAGAAAATCAGGAGAAGTTTGGATTCTCATATTGCACAAATCATGCAAACAATTCAAAGTTCTCCTCAGAATATGATTTAACATTTGTACATTGTTAAATGACATTATGAAAATCTAATTACCAAATTAATAATATATCTATTAGACTTTCGAAGCCAAATTGTTAGAGTGACTGGCTGAAAATCGAAGCATTGCAACAATATTTTTTTTCATTGTCCCCCTCTTCTAAAACTTGTTACTTGATGAACATAAGATAATTTTTTATTTATCCCGCTTGATAAAAAAAAAGGAATTTAAGAAGTACAGCCTCCTTGTGATGTCGTGATGTCCTGCATTATAACATATCTAGTACTCAGAGTGCTTCATAACCTAACCTGTAGCTCGAAAAAACATAAAGTTTAACGAGCGGAAGTTTGTACATTTGTCTACAGATCCACGCAAATCATGGCGCCAAACGCCAAAAAACCTATGAGATCATTTTTAAAGCTTTACAGCTGATTTAAAAATCACAATCAGATAAATCGGACAAAAGGAAACACTTAAATCAACGCTTTTGGAACTTACCGAAGCGGCCGGAGAATTGCCGCCAAGAAGATATTGCGGTAAATAACCAGGGGAGGATGGTGAGGCCATGGTGTGACTTTCATGCACTGGAATAAGGAAAAGAAGATATTTAGGATCACGGAAATAAAATCTAAACACAACAAGAACTAACTGCCTGCCCCTTACTGTGATCCATGACGAATATGATCGTTTCTTTGAATGAATTTTGCCACAATTTCCCTGGCTTGACGCGCGATTTCGCTCTCCAGAACACTGAACAAAATTATTTATAACTCATTGGTCAGCGGAGTTCTCTACGCAGGACATTCAAATAAGTCATAATTGAAGTATAAAGTGGGTGCGCATGAGGTCAAAAATTCGCACATTCGTGGCAAATTTTTTGTGTTTTGAAAATGTCCTTTGTAAATCGTGCTAACCAAAGTTTTGCAACCCATGCACGGTTATGGTACCTCGTAGATGCAAGAGACCAGGTCTGTGGCCGCCTAGCTTGTTTCATAGGGCAGATTCTGCAAGGAAAAACGAAGCCTATTTACCACCATTCTTTGGATGTGGGAGACTTTGTGGTTGTAACTAACACTAAACATATTGCTCTAACGGGCAACAAATGGAACAAGAAGATTTATCGTCATCACACAGGTTATCCTGGCGGACTTAAAGAAGTTGTTGCCAGGAATCTCCATAAAACAGACTCGACGAGAATCTTATGGCGAGCGGTTTATGGCATGCTCCCGAAAAACAATCTCAGGCCTGTTTGGATGAAGAGGTTATATTTGTTTGAAGACGATGAACATCCTTACGCGGAGAATATATTTACTAAGCTCGAAGCTCCCGCTCCTCTTCCAAGGAGACTGATTGAGTATACTCCAGAGGAAATTGAAAACTATCCAAAGGTTTACTGATTCTCTATTACATTTGACAGTCCAGAGTGATTCGCTTGGCCCTTATTCGCCGCTTCTTGGACATTTAGACTAGATTTGTTTACCAGCAGATGTTTGGAAAACAAGTCCATAGCAAACCCAGGTAGAGGCTAGTGGTCGGCCTACAGATAACTCACTAATGGACGCCTCTCTAAATTGGATGCCAAGAGGTGGTTCTTTCCTTACCATTTTTTCAGGCATTTTATGCTAAATAAACTCTCTGTGACACAGACTGGTCCCTAAGATGGACAGCTGGAGTGGAAGCTGGTCGTTTTGATTCATAGTCATTTCAGTATGATTACTTAAGCAGTGAAACTGCACGAGAATTTTGATCACTTCAAGTATACTTTGCACATGCAAACGAAAAGCATTTGGTGTGAATAGGAACTGAGAAATCTGGGAGGATCTGCTTGCTTGCCAACTACAATGTTATAAGAGGTGCGAGTGGCTCAGAAAATTTCAGTTGGACCCAGACCTTTCACCAACGGGTCTTAATTACCATCTTATCAGATGTGAGAGGTGGACGCTGCCTACTTACACCCTAAAGCCTACTCTGAGGGTTGCTTTTCCTCTTCCCAACTTTTCTCAGTGATAAAATCAGAGATTGCTGCCATAGCATTTAAAATATTAACATAAACAGCTTTCCCTTTCCCAAAATCTACATGATTGCAGGCTATTTCAGGAGAAGTAAATAATCAGATTTAATTTGGGCTAGCTTTAGTCTGTTTTTCAGGGTTGACAGAGTGCTATTGAAAATAAAATATCTGATGATTCATATCATAATTTGAAGGAATTAGATAGAGAACTTTAAAGATTTGTTTATAGTGGAAAGTGCACTTAGCTTATCCATGTAGCTTATGGCCACTCCAATCAAATAATTTGAAAACAAATGATTAAACAGAACATAACAGGATTAAACTGGCCGGAGGCAGCCAGTTGGCTATTTACAAGCATGGCTGCAGATTTAATTAAACCTGGGACAACCAAGAGAAATTCCAGCAAGTGGCCAGAGCAGAACTCAAAACAGGGACCACTGGATTGCGAGTCCAATACGCTGACCACTAACGTCTTGGCCATGCTGCCTCTCTGAAAGAGTTGCAAGAGAGAGAATGTTTCTATTTTCTTCCAGTCCCCCTTATGAGGCCCTGTTAGGGAGTTACACATGTCCCTAGTCTGAATTTTAAAACCTGTCGTTTCACATGTTGAGGAGGAAGCCATCTTGCTGCCAGTATTTTACTATAATGTATTTTTTCTTTATCGCTGTCGCATTTTCAACCCATCTTTGTGTTGTTTGTCACCATTTCTGCTGTCCTATGTCACTGTTTCAAGGCCATGTTGCTTGTTGGAATTAACCATTACAAGGCCTCACTTATAACTCCACCACAAACAATCTAGGGGATACTAGGTTGCTGAAGTCATTAGTAGAAGCAAAAGAATAAAGCAATCACCAGCCTTTCTATTATTACACTGAAGCAACATCTAATTGCCTTTGTGGTTGGTCAGTTTTAAATTTTTGAGTTTTGTGTGTGCCCTAGCATATAACACCTCGAACTGTGGATCTGGAGGACTGGGGTTCAAGCCTTGCCCGTCACGTTGTTTCCCTAGACAAGGAACTTTACTTAGCATCCCATCCAGGGGGGAGTAGCAATACCCCCAGGCATGCTTCATTTTGAGGAAACTAGGATAAGCTATGACCGATTGGGCCTTTGACTCATGTGCGCCCATTTTAAACTTTACCTTACTTAAAAATGTACACATAAGACAAACACAGGGTTGTATATAAGAGCCGGTAGCCGGCGAAGTTCGCCGGCTTCTCTGCAAGGTTTTGCTGGCTACTTCTGTTACTTCAAGAGTCAAGATATGTCGAGGAGATGATGTTTATCAGGTCTAAACTTGGACTCAATAAAAATATAAATTTGAAATGCATTTTCCAGCGTTAAGTTTTCAAATGATCAAATGATCCTTTTCCTAAAGCCCATCGTATGGGTCCTCCGGACCCACAACCGTCTACTTTTCAAAAAACTTCGGCTACTTAAAACCTTAAAGAAAACCCTGCAAACAAGTCGAGAGGCCCGTTCCTCGAAAGTCCTGATAATTAACAGGCCCGGTAAGCTGTGTCCGTTTACACTAAAGATCGAGGTTTCAATAGTTTTGCATCTAACATGATAAAACTATCAGTTAATGAAACAAAATGGGGTAGTTTGCTTGCCAGGACCCGCATTCTTATTCTTTATATTTCGATTTGAATATTTGATTTCCGGCCCGAAAAGTTACCGGGACTTTCGAGAAACGGGCCCCAGGCCACCAAAATTAATACTACTGATTATCAATACTGACACCTATTTCCTTTAGCACAAAAAAGGCATTGACACTTTGGGCCTGGTTACACTGAATTTAAAGCAAGGCTTGAATTAACAGTTCTATTACAATGCAACTACAGTACTCTAATCAGGGCCTTTAAAAAATATATCCAATCAGACTGCAGCAAATGTGATGCACATGTAACACACAACCATCTTTCCTTTTTTATTCAGATATATATTATTACAAGATCAAAATACAACCAATTACCATTGCTACTCTGTTAAATGGCAACAATTATTGTTGTTTCATGCTTTGTTCTGCAAAGACAAAGGCACCCTGAATTCTGTTATCACAAAGAGTTGTTTTTTTCCTAACCCTAGCCCTAGACTGTGAAATACATGGTCACAGATTGATGGGTTACCTAGACTCTCTTTCCAATTTGCTCTGTTACGTTTGTGAGCCAAAGCGAGAATTTGGCATTAGATCAGGGGAACGTTATACCATTGGAAAGTCAGATGGTTTGCACCATCCCATGTAGGGAGCTACAGAAAGCATGGACTACGATTTGAGAGGATGCAATTTTTCTACTCATTTCAGTCTGTTCAGCTGATTTGGATATACATTTGTAGCAGGTCATTTTCCCACTACCCCAAATTTTATAGTTTTATGTTTATGCACAAGATTTCCACCCAGGTGGTTTGCATAAACGGTACGCACCCAAGGAGCCACTCTAGGTATTATTCAATGCACCCCTTCAATGTGCAACCTGCTGAATGGCCATCAATCCTTTCATTTCAGTTTACCTTATTTTACAGAATAATTAATTTCAATGATGTGAGGCACAACTATATAATACAAGGCCAATTCTCTATGTATATTTGTTGTGGTGGCTCCAGGGGCAAATGGGTTAAATGCTTGGAATGACTGGTGAGCCAATGAGAAACTTCTGTTGAAGACCTTACAATATGGCCCTATTCTAAAAAGAGGTAAATAACAATGTATTTCAACATTGTTCCTTCCTTAATGTTTTCATACGCTAATGCACACACAAAAAAATAAGTGCATGAAGTAGTTACAACCTAGGATTTAGGCATAAAAATTTAACCCAAAATTTAAACAAATGTTCCACTAGCTACATCTACCATTTTGGGGAACTTTGCTTTCTTTGTATCCAGTTCTGTTTGTGCCCACAATAACAACTTAAGTAAATTAGAGAGTTTAGGAGATGTTTCTCTGTGTTCAGCTTCTAGGATAGCAGCATTCAATTCACTGGCAACTTTTTGCCTTTGAGAAGGGCAAAGCAGCTCCCCAAACGGAGAATCCTCGGGGTTATCAAACGCTAGAAGAGCCATTGTACGTTCTAACTCCTCTAGAAACTCTGGCGATTCATTACCCTGTTCAGCGAGCTGGTTCTGTGCGAAGTCAACGGCTGATTCAATATCTTTTTCTCGTATTAACTCGATTAGTCGTTGTTGTTGCAAATGGAAGTATAGGTGAGGCTTACAGTCCAAAATTTCAGGGTTTAGCTTGTTCGTTAAGGCGATGGCTTCTTCTATATCTCCGCGTTGAACAGCAGCTCTTATTTTGATCCTTTCATCTAGATTGTCAAGAGGAACACAAGGTTGTGTACCAGATTCCATTTTGAATTTTTCAGCGGCTTCTTTAAAGCCCTCTGTTACGAGGTAATCCATAATCAAACGATTCATATCGGCCCTCTGAAATCGCATGTCTGTTAGCTTACTCATCCACTCCTCTCTATTTGTTTCTTCTCCCCTTTCTCCTTGGTTCATTTGCAAAGAAAACAGGTCTTCTTCTTGGTAGAAAACCAAAAATATCTCAGAATTTTTCTCTCTTTATCGCCCATAAAACAAACTTTCAAAACGGCGACTAAAAATGGCGGGTGAGATACATCGCAAAACGCATGCGCAGAATAATCTTCAAAACGAGGCTCAGCCACTCGTGAAACCTCTTTCCTTCTTTGCTCTTTGGGACCGCTGGTAAGAAAACCACATCTGAAATCGGTTATAATCTTAGCTAAAAAACCGTCATCCAACAGTAAGCTACGCTTTCATTATTACTTTGACAATTTTTCTTTTCCTAAAAGTTATTTTCTTACCACAAATTCGTTTTATGGACATTGACAAATGAGTTTGTTTGTCTGTGGAACGAACGAGATGTAGTCGAGTTGTAAGGTGTTGACCTTCAGTTTTCTGTCGATGGCTAGTTATTTTAAGTCTGTCGTGTAATGTTTTGTACATCGCCACACTCACCGCGTAGCCTTTTGTTACGTCTGTATGAACAAGCTAAGATTTCTTTGTCGCCTGGAGCCAAGTAAGGCATCAGACGCCACTGTGTGCTGGCTCAACCCTGAAAGCCCTTAGAGATTTACCCCTTCAGAAAAGTGAAGTTTAAAGTGCAGAATATGTGCCCCCCCGCCCCCCCCTCAGAAATTGCCTGTATTGGCTTTCTCCCATGTGAAGACAAAGTGATTTTATTTTAGTGAAGCACTTAGAAATAATCATACGATGGCAACTTAAAGTGTGTTCATATGTCATGATGTTGTTGTTGTTGATGATGATGATATAAGACAGGTTTGAAATTGACTGGTACTTTATGGCTTTTGCTACTTAGCGGTGCCTCATTTTACAGAAAGAATCTAACCTTATTATATAAGTGCCAATGAAATACCAGGTGAGCTTTCGTGCGAAAACATATTATCTTCACATGTGAAAGATCACCATCAGTATGGCCACATACTAATTCACACCTTTCACAGCAAAAAACTATTAAAGTGAAAAAGTTTGGTATTTCATTGGTGTTTATATAATAAATAGAACATTATGCGGCCGCTTAGAGATACGAAATTTCTCTTCTCATGTTCAAAAATATTTCAATTGCTGCTCTCACGGATTAAATATTTTTCAACGCTCTCTGAGAAATTTCATATCTCCACGTGGCCGTGTAATATCGTCTATATATGCACACTTGGTGTTTTTACCCCTGTATAAAAAGCACTTTTTTTACCAAAAATTGTTTCAAAATTTGAGGTGCATATTATACACAGAATCCTTTGTTTCTGGAGCTGTTGTTGATCCTGTGCTGTATTGATACATGCTGAATGCCAGTGACTGAATTCCACATAATTTTATTATTTTATTCTTTCAGCTGACCTGTGGTAAAACATGGGAGCATATAAGTACCTTGAGGAGCTCTTTAAGAAAAAACAGTCAGATCTTCTGCGTTTTATGCTGCGTGTGCGATGCTGGCAATTTCGCCAACTCAATGCTATCCATCGAGCATCTCGCCCCACACGCCCTGACAAAGCACGTCGCTTAGGATACAAAGCTAAGCAAGGATATGTTATTTACCGTGTTCGTGTGAGGCGTGGTGGACGCAAGCGTCCAGTACCCAAGGGTGCCACTTATGGTAAACCCACCAACCAAGGTGTGAACCAACTGAAGTTTCAGAGAAGCTTGAGATCTGTCGCTGAGGTAAGCAAATTGTGCATATTAATTTTGTTCTGAGTATTATAATACTTATGGCTGTGCTCTAGCAGTGCCCAGTGGCCCATAGCTCCTAATAATTATTGCTCATGTGTGACTAGAAAATCTTAGTTTTCGCATAGCAATCATATGCTGCTCTGGATTTCACCAGTTCAGAATACTGGCCTCCCTTCAATTTTTTTAGAGCACATCCTTGATACTGTCTCATAAATCACTCTTTTAACCCATTTACATCTGAGCCATCTATAACCCCCTGTGTGGATCCATGTCTGTTGTACTACCTATGACATCATCAGGGTATTGTGTTGGGAAAAGGGATTTTTCAAACCATATCCAAATGAGTATACTTCAGTCAACAGGCCATACAAAAATGCATAAATGCAAGTTGACACAAACATTCCACTGAAAATCTCATTTTTCCACCCATATGCTTTTCCTTGAAACTAACGTCACAATCATGACCCTTGAGGTTTTCCGAAAAAGCTTTTCCCACCAAAATAAAGCCTAGTACCGCACTGTTGAGAAGTGTAATGTCATCCATGTCTAATACTCTTCACAAAACTTCTGTTGTGAAATCTAGAGTCCAGTTGAGTTTTCGGAAGCTTGGACAGTCTTTCTTTTTGGCCAGATGGTGACCAGAATTTGGCTTGTCTAGCCCCAAAAGATTTTTTAGGAGAATTTCTAGGGGGTGAACAAGGCTGCAAATTATTTTTTTAATAAGCAGGTAATTTGTCAGGTCAGAGGCCAGAGCTGACTTTAGAATAGGAGAAGATAGATAGATAGTTTATTCAGCTTAGAAACTTGCAGCCAAGAGCTGAATTGCGATAAGGTTTACAAATGCAATAATAAACTGTACTAAATTACAACTAATTAATAAAATCCTTTACAACTAATAAAAGAAAGATGGTCCAACATAATTTACAATTTTAAAACTGTTATAAAATCACAAATTTCAAAAGCACGCTTCGAGTTCCTATATACAATAAGAAAAAAATTATATCTAGTTCTCAGCTTCTGTGAACATAACTTAAAAGAAAACTTACAAGGAGCACAGTCTGGTGAGGCAAAAAAAAAAAACAGTCAGGGAGGCAAAGACTGAAATTTCTAGCATATCCCCCGCTTATCAGGGAACAAGAAAAATGGAGTGATTATGAGCAATAGCGTCAGTCCAGTTTTTCCTGTGGGTTGGGGGTCTGAGGGTTTCAAATGACTGGTGCATTAGTTTCTGACAGTCAAATGTGTGTTTAGGCATGGTAACAGAAAAAGGTTCTGCCACAAGCATCGGTAAATTTATATATAAATAAAAGTAAATTTTGATAAAAAGTGCCCAGTCAGAGTGACAGACAATACTAATTTTTCGCCTGTCAAAACTTCAAGTTTAGCCGACAAATGTCCTATAATCGACTGTTATTTGCAGGCTTGGGTGATTGAAATAGCAATGAAACCTCCACTGTTGTAACAAACATTGTTTAAAGATTTTGAGGTCTAAAATCTGTTCAATACCCAATCTTCCAGCCACACTTCGGGTTGAGCCCTTTGACATCACACACATATTGCCATGTTGCGTTAATGGTATTTTCAAACGTTGCAGCAGCCATGATTCCATTTTTTGGCGCTTTTTGAGAAGATTGTCACAGGGTTTGAAAACTCTTTGGATTTTCAAAACTTTGTGTTACTGAAAGTATTTTGTTGGTAAACAAAAGTGTACCTTTTTGAAATGAATGTCTCCTTTATTACATAGAGGATATTACATGCTGGCACAAAGATATGAATTTTATTATATACACTCCCAGCTCAAACTTTATCATGAACTGCTGTAGTTAGTTGGCAGGATTTTCTTAAAGTTCTCTTCTTTCATCTTCACTTGTAAGGAATTTCTTGAATAATTTAAGTTGTACAAAGTTTTCTTCCTCATATCAACATTCCCCTGCTCCTTAGAGGAAGATGTTCTGTCAGCTCAGGGCTTCAGATAACTTCACAAATCTATCACTTGCCATTTTTCTCTTAGTATTTGGTAGCAACAGTTTGAACGGGAAATGACTTCATCGATATCCTCAATAGTGAGGATATGGAAAAATAATATGCTACTCGAGTCCTGGATGTAGTTTCGTATGAACTAATTTTATGAGAGAATATTTTCTACTAAAACACTCTTGTCTATATAATAAACACATAATAAATACAGCTTCATTTCAGCGAGATGGAGCTTTACCAGGAAATTATAACTTTTTATCTTTCTTTTTATCTTGATACATGTATATCTCATAAATTTATACCTATATGAAGCTGGTCTTTTGAAAATGTTACTGCTAAAATAGACCTCTTCTGTCTTGTCTCCAAAGGATCAAAAACTAATATAAAAACTTAAAGTGCAACCATTGCTTTTTCCTCTGCTCCTCTTTTCTTTCCTTTTGGTCTCCCTAGTTTTTGTTTCCTTTTCCTTGATAAGTGTGATTTTCGGGCCTGTCAGATGCAAAAAGACTAACTAGCCTTTTGGCCTCTTTTTACTCAAATTGCTGCAAATCTTGATAGGTTTGTTTTCAAAAATCCAGGTAAATCCATATTCATGCGCAGTTGTACTCACCCATACAGATGGGCTTATTATTCATTTTATGTTTTGTAAAAGTTGGTGTGCTATCTTAAAATGATTTTGCCGATGTAGATGTAAATGTAGACATGTTGTTACCCATAAGTAGTCAGCAAACTGTTGTGTATATTCACTGATTTGCGTTACACTTGTGGTAAAGTAATCAAGTTGTAACTCTGGCTTTTGAGATCCTTGTCTTAAGGTTCTTGAATGCAACTGAGTGCTGCTTGTTTCTTTCTTCCTTGCTGCAAATGCATGTGTTCTCTCTGTTCACATGCTTTGAGAAGAAAGGTAACATGAGCATTAACAGTCTTTGCAAAGGCTAACCTTTAATATGAAGTTAATCCATTCACCCCTGGGAATTTTACCAAAAAAATGCATCTTAAAGCTAGTGGGGCCATCTGGCTATTAAGAGCTAAAACGTACCAAAGTACTGATTCCAGGTTATGCACTTCACCTTCTGTTCCAGATGCAAAATATCAGCTTCACATTCCCAGTCATGCACCAAAAGCAACAATGTAGTTTTTGGGTTTAAAAGTGACACAGCAGTCTTGACTTTTTCCTTTCTCTTTCCCTTCTCAAAATCGAAATCCTTTGCTGATGAAATAAATATAGGAATAGTTTTGATCTTTGAATTTAGCACGAATTCATCACTATTTCATTGTGGCCTTATGTGAGCAAATTTTTAGAGAAGGGTTTGATACCTGCTGACGTTTGTCACCAGAGAAGCTGATAACAGGAAGAAGATAGTGTTGAACAAAATCCAACGAAATTCTCTTTCCTTCAGGAGCGTGCTGGTCGATACTGTGGCAGCTTGCGGGTGCTTAACTCGTATTGGGTCGCCCACGATTCCACATACAAGTACTTTGAAGTTATAATGGTAGATCCATTCCACAAAGCTGTCCGCCGTGACCCCAGAATCAACTGGATCTGCAAACCAGTCCATAAGCACCGTGAGTTGCGTGGCTTGACTGCCGCTGGCCGTAAAAACCGTGGAATGCGCAAGGGTCATAGGTTCAACAAGGTGATTGGCAGCTCCCGTCGCGGTTCCTGGAAGAGGCGTAATACGCTGTCTCTCCGTAGATACCGTTGATTTTTCAATAAATAAAAACTGTAACTGTACGTTTTTGTTTCTTTATTATTTTTTGTGACTCCCACTCTGAAGTTGTTATGTCTGATGTCAACTTCCGCCTCCCGGGATCTGGGTTGGGTTGTCCAGGACCCAGGCTGGGATGTTTCTTGAAAGGCTTTGAAAGCCGTCTTTTTCATTCCCCCAGAATCCGCACTACCATTCTTCAGATTTTGATTCAATTTTAAAGTTTAGCTTCAGGCTCAAGAAGTTACCGAACTTTCGAAAAATGGAGCCGCTCTCATTTAGCCAGAAAAAGTAGTGAGACCCTTGCGTGGGTCACATGAACATGCTAGTACCTCTTGTATTCCTGTTACATTAACAACTCTTTCTCGTGTTCAAGTCCTTGTTACAGGTGTCAAGAGAGTATTAATTGAGACTCCTGCCTGTGATGGTCATTCCTTGATTCCCGTTTTGAAACTCCCACTGTTAGTTCGTTTTTATCATTCGTTTTTACCCCCTTTGAACCATAAAGTGATAAGTACTGGTATGAACGATATCTATTCACCATGCTTGGTGCCAAACTTATTTGACAAAAGATCTTGAGCGGATTTAGGGGTGGTCTGAGGTGACCTTCCCAGCCCCCTCCCCATTTCAGTATCTGTGAAATTCTGTATATGGTACGTCGCGACTGACAACAGTGTCAAGCGACGCGATCGAGTTCTTACGGTAAAAGCCGCGCTAGAGAGAAACCTCTCTTCGCAGGTTAATGCTATGTCTTCAAAAATCGCCGAAAGAAATTGTTATGGTAATATAGACTGCAAAACAGTCCGTACTTTTGCGTATTCAAGTACGCGCGAGCAGTCAAACAAAAGGTCTGGAACGAGGCTGAAAACAGAGAGCGAGATTGTGCGAGACTGGGAGAGAGACACACACGCCCTACGGGCATGTGAGGCTTGCGCGCTTGGCGCGCGTAAGACTCTAACGCCACGCTTTACCGACTTTTGAGAAAAAAAAAACCCGGCTGTTTTGCAGTCTACAGGCTAAGTAATCTCCTGTTGCTTTCTATTCACCGGTGGATCAAGGAAAGTGACTTATCTTTCCGTCTAACTGAAATTAAGCCCGTCTGCCATTTCCCTTACTTTTAAATTAATCTGAATACCAATTAACGATATTTTGAATAAAAAGAAAGAAAAGAATCCTTAGGGCGGAATGCATTATTACCCGAGTCCAAAAGAAAGACAAAAACAAACAAATGCAGTCGAAATTTACTGAAAATTTCTCCAAATGTAGTAAAAAGTTCTGCTTATCTGAAAGTTATCTAGCGATGCGTTTTCCCTTGACAGTCTTATCTTGTAGTGCTTTCTTGATCACAGGATGGAAAATTTTGTTCCGTATGAGCTTGAAGATATTTTTTTCGGCTGGAAGTCTCAGACTGCGTTTCGCAGCAGCCGAAACCACTTAGAAACATCAACCCAATCAACTTACAAGAGGAAAACAATGAATTCGAATCAAAACGTTTGAACCAAGATCTGCAACGAAAGAAGTGAAAAAGGTGAAAGGGGTTATGAGGAGAGAAATCTAAAGTTAATAGTCGTAATTGTGCATGTCACTGTGTCACTTTCAGGCCCCGGCTGCACAAACGTTGGATTTTCTAGCGCTATCCACTGGATAAATGACTTTTCAGAGAGAGAGAGAGAGAGATAGCATTACTAGGGCCTGTAGTCCCATCCTCGATGCCACAGTCCCGTCGTTTCTTTTGGTGCAAATTAAGCCGAGTGGCTCTGGAAGGAGAATGGGCCAGACCCGTTCCAGAGCCACTCGGTACAATTTGTAACGAACCAGAGGCGAGCCTCTCGTTTCAAGACCACGTGACCAGAAAACGGCGGGCTGTGGGGACGAGAATGGGCAAGACCTAAAAACTATCGATTTCTTTTCTTTCTGAGCATGCTCGAACTTCCGAGTAAGTGAAACTGCTACATTCTCGACCCTAGAGCTCTGGGGTAGAGAACGGTGAAAAAAAAGCCAAGTAGCTCTGCTGACGAGAAAGTTTGGCATCATGAACAAAATTTGAATAGTTTTGGTCCTTTATGGCCGAATAGCTTCGGCAGAATTTCCAAGAGGGAATTGGTAATGTGAGATGTGGTCACCGTGAAGAAACTCATCAGTATACTTGCGAAAAATAAATTAATAGATATCAACTCAGTTTATAAAACCAAATTTCGGGTGTCTTTTATGTTGACCAGCATTACTTATGTTATTATCCTAACCAATATGGTCAAGGCATTTTATAGATAAAGGATACCGGCAAGAGAACATGAAGCCTTTATTTTCTCTCCTTATCGGCTGTTTTCGCGCTGAACCTAATAAATCATCAACGTTAATTTTGATTGATTTACTCTATTTCTTTGTCCATAAATATGGAGGTGTTTTTTTTTTCGATTTAAGGCTAAAAGGTTTGATTTGAATGTTCTAAAGAAAGGGAAATGAAGTGTAATTATTTTTTTAAAATCAACGTACTACAGCCTTCTCTCTAGACAGCTGGCTTTAATAGTAAAGATCGCTCCTTTTAAAAAGGGAAAAAATTAAGCAGTAATTAAACAGTTTCGAATGTACAGTATAACCTATTTTCTTGAAAACTCGGCCAGTTTTTAGAATTAAATCTCCGATTTCGAATCAAACCTGGCCTCCCTTTAAAAGTCCTCGGCAAACTTGTAATTTTACTCGCGATTTTTCAAATCTCGATAATTCGAACCGATTTGCTTTTCTTAACGTGGTTTGGAAAATCGGGATTCCATTCAGTATGTGATGATTTGATGGCTACTTTGCTATTCAATTAACCGATGCCTGAAATTGCTATCAATCAAAATGGCGCAATACAAGACATTTACAATTATTGCCTGGGTGTCATGCAAAAATGGTGCTGACGAGTTTTAACGATCGGTTCAATTTGTCTGATCTACGGCATTGTAGAAAGAGTAAATCAGTTAACCAATAACGTTAAATTTTTAATTATTATTTATCATCCAGATTTCAGATCCTATTTTTACCGTCGATTACTTAAATTGCTTGCTCTTTGATTCTCTTATTCTTTTCTTCTCATAAAATGTACAATGCAATGTAAGATTTTAAAAGACATGGTGGATATTGACTTTAAAACGAGCTTTCCTTTGAACAGTCGGCATTTTTGGGACCCGCCAGACAACACTAAGATTTACAATCCTGTTCCCGTTTACGACCTGATAGCCATCTCAAAATAGCGATCGGTTTCATATTTACCATCCTACTGGCAAACCGAAAATGATAAAAGTTTTGCTCTGTCCGTTTTAACGTCCAAACATACATCAATTTACCTTTGAATCATCTTCCGATGAAAAAAAAAACAGAATCAAGAATTGCGCATTAAGAGCCTTTTCTTTTAAAACGAGGTTTAATTGACTGCCTCTAAGTAAGTCTGCGTATACTGTCCAGCTAGATGGTACACCCTTTAAATAATGCATTGTGCTATATCATTAAGCTTTCGGCCAATTTTAACGCCTGTTTACTTAAGATTAAATTTGTTTTAAACGGAAAAGACACCTTTTGTTATGCTTCATTTAAACAGACCGCAATGCTCTGGTGTAGAAAACCTCATTGGCCCAAAAACTGTTCAATTCGCCACCATATACTTCAGCCGCCGCTGCCATGCACACAAATAAACCAAAGTAACAATGTCTTCTCTGCTTTCGCGCAATGTTATTAATTACACTCTTGCCTAATATCTTTTATGGACCCCATATTGAATTTAATTATTCATTCAATTTACGGTAGCACGCTGGTGTGAAGCTAGAAGAAGAATAGATTTTCTCTCACTCAATGCATGTACTTAGCTAATCGGAGGCGTAGGAAACCATGGTTTCAGTTTTCGTCCCTCTAAAAAATATTGGACTCTGTAAAAAACAGTTGAAATTGACGTCTAAACGACCGACATGACAGAAGACTTTCTAACTCACTCTTAAACTATCTGATTTCCATTTGGACATTTTCCAAGGCCATCATCAAAATTGTATAATCTTCAGCTGGGACGAGTGTGTCATGGCTACAGAAAACCCGCGCATAGAAGTAGAAGCGTTTGCGAATTCGTGTCGTTTTATGACTGATTCGGTGGAAGATCCTGAATACTTGTACATTCACAATCTTATTTGTTCAGTTCTAAACTGTCTGTTCATTTTACCTGGCATCTGTGGAAATGTACTGGTTATTTTAGCGGTATGGAAAACACCGTCGCTCCAAACAGCCTCCAACGCTCTTCTACTCTCGTTAGCCGCCTCAGATCTTGCAGTCGGCTCATTGGCTCAGCCTGCATTTTCTGCCTGGCGCATCTCGCAAATTGCCGGTAATGTCAGTGTCCACTGCGTTGCGGGATTAGTGTCTGAAAGCTTCGGCTGGCTTCTTGCTGGTGTTTCGCTGTTTACTATTACAGCAATCAGCTGCGAGAGATTCCTTGCCGTACATCTTCACTTGCGCTATAATGAAGTAGTTACAAGGCGGGGAATTGCCAAAGTAGCTCTGAGTTTCTGGTTAATCTGGATAATAATAACGGTGCTAAGATTCTTTGTGGTGAGCAGAAAAGTACTACGAATTATTGCCGTGAATTTCCTGGTTATAACATCGGTGATAATGTTTATGGCATACACCATGATTTACAAACTTGTCAGGAGACATCAGATGCAAATTAGGCAACAGTGTTTCACGCAAACGCCCGGCGACAACAGCAAGACTATCGATATGGTACGATACAAGCGGTCAACAATAACCATGTTGTATATTCTAGGATTTTTTCTTCTTTGTTATTTTCCTTTCCTAGTGGTGATGTTGGTGGAAGTGGCCAAAGGTGAAACCCTTCTAACAAAAGCTGCCTATCTCTACACAGTTACATCGATTTTTATCAACTCTGCGCTCAATCCACTGATTTATTGTTGGCGCATGATGGAGATAAGAATGGCGATACGAAAAATTATCAACTTCCCAAAGGTTACTTCAATTCAACCTGAAAAAAGTTTTATTTTTTCTAAAAGGCCACCGTCCATTGAACTTCAGACTATTCAACCGTCACTTGTCTCGGATAATCCTGGTTTTAATAGCAGCAGTGGGTCATTCAATTTTACGGAAAAGGATCCTTGACGAGGTATATTGTAATCTCATTCCGCTACTTCAGAAAGACCAAAAAAAAGGAAAGATAACAAGAAGATAAAGGGGAACACACAAAAAATTTTCCAGTTTTAATTTCTTTTGAGGCGCATTTGTTTTATTTACACCAGGCGATCCTCAATTCATCTTATATAGATTTCAAATTACACACTCGTAAGGGTGCTGTTTGGCCGGTGAGACTGTTTGGAAAGTCAGTTTAAGATCAAATATTCTGGAAGTTTTTCTTTGCACATGAACTGCATGATTGAGATATACGCCGGTATTAAATTATTAAAAATAATGGAGTGAGGAATTGTTCAATAAAGTCAACCTCTACACAAATAAGGTCAGCTTACATAACTAATGGTAGTTTAGCCTTTCCATTGGTGCCGGTAAAGGGAGCGTTATTGAAAAAAAGTCTTGAATTCTTTGCCAACAGATTTTTGAAACTTGCCAGCGAAAAAGAAAACGGTAAAATAAATGACGGCAGAGCAATCACGAAACTTCTTTAAATTAGGGCTCATGCGAGTCTTTCACGGGGCCAGAATGCATACTTTGGAGACTTCTTAAAACCTCATAATTAAGAAACGAAAAACAGTATGGAGCATTCACAAGGGGAAAACCCGCAAAACTAATTAATTTTAATATAGAAATTAAAATACATAGTAAATAAAACTGATGAAAGTATGCAAGCTAAGAAGTTGTTGAGTCGGTGTTGAATCGGAAAATCGTCACGTATACTTTCAAATATGATAAATAAATCTAAATATTAGCGAAGGTTACCGAGGTCGTGCAAAGATTTCCAAGGACTTTTGTACCGCTTACTCAAGAATTATGGAACGATTAAACATTGTTTACGAATGCTTAAACAGGTGTGTGAGATTACAATCATACTTGCTAACGGGTGATTGAATTGCTTGAGTGAACAAAAGAAAGAGGCTAGCTACCTTCCAGCCATCTTGACGGAACAAGTTTCGTCAATAATAAAGGATCTATTGTATGACCAAATAACCGTTTCTTTTTTTTAAGGAAATGGGGCAGGCAAAGGAGGTCCATTTTACTTACTCGCTCGGGCCCTGTAGCCAATCAGAACCCAGGATTCGCTTCTTCTTCCCCGCTCGCCGACCAGCAATACATTTAGACTCACGTTAACGCAAACTGTCCAACGTCAAAATTAAGTTGAAAATTTCTCACAATAGGAAAACAGGGAGATATATCTGTCCAAAATAATTCTTATGCATGAATTGGCGTGAAACTATTCTATTTTTTTATAGGAGGAAAAGGGAACCTTTCTTGATAACGTCAGGGTACAAACTGAAGTTTTCCGTTTGGCGTTAACATCAGCAGTCTCTCTAATAAAGACGATTAACATGACGCAGCTCAACGAAGGGTTAATATCCTTACGAACTGTGAATTTGAAAAACTTCCCTACGATACTTACGAGTCTATGCCCTGAACGTTTCACAGAAGAGATTTAAATTTAACACCAAAGTAGGATATACCGAGTGAACATTATTAATTTCACCCTTGGGTTTTTTTCGCCCGCAATAAGCAGCGTCGGTCACACATGAACGCGATAGAAAACAGTCTAAAGGTGATATAATAATGTTATAGACGAAAGGCATAGCTGATGAAAATTGCCAAATTCAGCAAGAAGCACAAAGAAAGGAACCGCCCGTAAGCGATCACCCAAAATGCACTTCATGAGAATTAATCCTCTTAAAGGCTCATCCGAGAAGAGGTCCCAATCGGTCCCAACAGGCTCTTTGCATGACTTGATCACGTGATCAATTTTCGGTAAACACGAAAACAGTTCACTTTTGAAAACTTTTGTTAGCACAAGCTGAAAGAGCATATTAGAATAAGGTAACCTGAGAATTTTCAGCCGTACTGTATATCTCAAAAGTAGCGATTGCAACGGCCGCCGAAAGTTGGAAGCATTTGTATGAGAAAAACAACTTCCGCCATCTAGTGACGCTTGCATGGTTTTCCACGCAAATCCTTATTTCGAAATTTTCAAAACTGTCATGAAATATTTCCTTAAGCATCACAGGGCTCAAATCTCCTTTTAATTCATAAAGGCAATTTGAGCCCTCAAATGCGTAAAGGAAAGATTTAACGACAGTTTAAAAATTTTAGAATTTACAAGGATTTGTGTGGACGTTCATGAACAACAGTTTCGTTTGTCTCCTTTATTATTTTTTTGCAAATGGTACTTTTACAAACAGATACACAACCAAGATTTCTGTTTTTGAGCTCCTGCGAGAGCATGGGTTAATGGGAGAGGTTCCACCATGGATTACCGGTGATGCCAAAACCAGCCTACCAGAACACCACGAGTGAGGCGTTTTGGGACATTCCTGTCTATGCAGAGCACAACGAAGTTAGAGCAAATCGGATCGACGCCTGACTTATTAGCCACAAGAGGAAAGAAGTCTGCACAATCGAAATGAGCTGCCCATGGATTTAGAGTAGAGCCAAGAGAGATGAGCAAAAGACACTCACGTATGGGCCCATGATGTGGGAGCTGAAGCAGAGAGACAATGGTTACAGGGTCGAACAGTAGAACGTAATAATTGACATACTAGGAGGTTACTCTAAACACCTAGAGAAGTCGGTGAGGAAGCTACTGGTAGCCAGAGCACTGGGCGTACTTGAGCGGATGCAGAAGTCGGTCATCTCAAACACTTTGAATATTGCCAGAACATTTAAGATAAATACTTAGTTAGGGCGCTAAGGACACCAGATTTTAGGGGTTTTTTTCTCCTAGAAATCCAGAAACACGTGTGTCGAAAGACCTGTATTTTACTGATGTTTTAACGTAGATTTTATGGAGTATAAGAGTTTGATATTATTCTAAATAGGCTTTAGTAGAGATAACCGCATTATGATGGCCTCGTGTACGTTTATAAGAGATGATGAGAGTATAAAAACTGAATAATTTTCTTAATAGGCCTCTAGTAAAGATAATTACATCATCATGTCTTTGCGTAGGTTTTACAGAGTATAAGAATTTAATAATATTCTAAATTGGCTCTTTAAGTAGAGAGATTCATATCATTATGTATATTAGGGTTGTATTGGGTTTCCAACCGAAATTTTTTTACTTCTAAGTATAGCTTCTCAAGTGGTGTAGGTTACGTTATGCACCCTATACTACTCGTAATGTGGACAGCATTCCAAAGTTTTATACTGCGAGATAATAATATTGATGATGATGATGATGATGATAATGATAACAATGATTATAAAACTGTATTCAAGTCTTTAACCTGCTTGCAACACGTCTCCTCTTTTCTTTTAGTTTTGTTGCTTGCGGTCCCATGTGTAATTATGATAATATTTTGTTTTAATTATCTAACTGAGGGAGCCCATTCCTTATAAGCCCGGTGGCTTCATACATGTTTATTCAAAACTCATAATAACTACATGAATTTGGAAGGGAGAGTCTAGAGGTTAACCCCATGAATAAAACTCTCCTAAAAACAACAAACAACCAATAAAAATTACAACTTTAAAAAGGATTTGAGTTTACATTTAAAAAGTTCAAGGGTACCGGCTTCAACAATATTACTAGGTAAATTGTTCCAATAACTAATTACATTGTTAAAAAAAGAATATTTAAAACAGTTGATTCTAGATAATTTACAATAAAGCTTATACGAGTGATTTGCCCTAGTGGATTTGACTTTTGCGAATTGAAAGAATTCCTCAAAATCCAAGTGTGATAAGCCAAACACGATCTTATAACATTCAACAAGAGAGGAATATGTCCTACGACTGGACAAAGATAGCCAATGTAACGTGTCACAACGCTCTTCGTAAGACATATCACCTCTTTTTTGCCGAAGAGCTAATCTTGACGCGCGTCTTTGCACGCTCTCTATTGCATGAATATCTTTGACAAGATATGGGTTCCAGACTGGAGCAGCATACTCTAGAAGAGGTCTGACCAATGTTTTGTAAAGCAATGAAAAAGTTGTTGTATTAGCTGTTCCAACAGACCGTCTTATTAGCCCTAGTACTTGGTTCGCCTTATTCACCATAGTACTAATATGTTCACTCCAAGTAAGATCTTTTGATATAATAATTCCAAGATCTTTAAAGCTCTTGACATCTTTTAAGGCCGTACCTAGTTTATAATTCGTAGTCGATTTGTCACGAGAATGCGTTATTCGCATTGCTTCACACTTTTCCTCATTGAAACGGGCTTCCTCGCCATGAGAGTTTAAGTACTTAGATTTTATTTGATTTGTACAATTTTTGGCAAACAAAACAATAAACAATAAAGGTCTGCAACACAGGAAATAGGAGACGTCATTGCGTCCGTTTTGAAATCACTGTTGATCCTTTCAATCTGATTGGCTCTCAGCGGTGCGATTTATTCACGAATCACAACATTTTTTCTCTAAATCACACCTGTTCCTAATCGCATCATTTCTGTTTTGCATATAAAAGGCGATGCAAAAGCGTTCCAGATCCCTTCTTTCAACAAACCAGCTACTGGATTAATAAAATATTGGTGCTGACTTAGCCTGTGTACAGACGTCCCCTCCTCCCTCAGGAAAAAATCGGGAGAGGGGTCCCCTCTCCCGATTTTTTCCTGAGGGAGGAGGGGACGACTGTACACAGGCTATGCTGACTTAATTTTGCGATTTCAAAATCGCTGTAATAAATTGGTAATCACCTCGTGTCGTGCACTTTTTGTCTGAAATCATACTTGTGATTTCAATCATGCGTATGACTTTAGGCCAAATTGTACTCCACTAAGTTAATTTCAATTACCGTTATAAATTGAACCCGATATCAAATTTTTAGGCCGAAAAGCTTTCTCGTGGTATGCCCACCTGTGCCCTCACTGACTCGTTGTCCGTTGTGATAATAAGTGTCTAACGCGAGTGTCGATAGAGGTTCAAACCCCTGCTTATCATACAATTTGTGTGAATAACTTGATGTCCCTCTACCTTTGATCGCCTTGAACCCGAGTTCCCGACACATCGAAACACTGGCTGCAAAAAGACGACCAGCCACACCCATACGCCGGTATTTTTCCTTAACTGCTAATGCCAAAAAATCTACCACTTCATCAACTTCGTATCGCTCGAAAACGTTCACTTCCTTCTCTTGTAGAGTTGTTAATGTCAATAGAGCCTTTAGTGGTTCTTCTTCTGGGCAAAAATTTTCCGGTGGGTCCGACTTTGTCTTCACACCAGTGATTCGTACACCCATAATTTCTTTAGTATCTCTTGTCATCATACAGACGGAAAGATTCATCTTGAGGATTGCGAGTGTTACTTCATTGAGAAGCTCATTCCAAGTAACTCCAAATGATTTAAAAAGAGGGTTGTCTGGGAAAAAGTAGTTAGCCATGATATTGCAAGCCTCATCGTACTGATCCGGAGTGATGATAGCAAGTGTTCCATTGTCCATCTCATATTCATCCTTCACTCCTTCTAAGGCCTTACAAGCCAACAAAATGTAAAGATCAGTCAGTAAACTAGCCTATTCCAGGCGTCCAGGTAGAAGAGCGCGGGCAGAAAATTGACGAGGGGAAATAAAAGAGGGAGCCCTCGCCCCAGTCTCCCCTCATTTTTTCTCCCCGTTTTCCCCGCGTACGATTTGACGCGTTCCCCATCACCTGAACACCGCGCTCTACTAACAGGCTATCAGTAAACTAGTTACATTGTTGGTGATAACAAATCTCTGTTTCTTTTCTATGGAATAAATAAAGTCTATTATAAATAAAGTAGTTTCTACCACGAAAATTTCGACTTGTCAGTGTGTAGCCTACGCGCTGACGAAAGGAAACGTCAGTTTAGCTGCGGCCTTGCGAGGGGTGTGGCGCCTAGGGGATGCTTGTTAGAAAGTTAAAATTAAACTCCTAAGGGAGACCAATGTGGGAGTGGCTCAAGCTTAAACTGGCCTCTAAAGGAAACTACTAGAACAGAGATCGTGGCATTTATGTAAATCTCTTCATGCATAGCCCTAAGCGATACCTGAATGGGCAAATATAGTGACTTTCTGTCCCAAACACCCTTGGTGAGAATAAAATCTGCAATTTTTATTACCCCAAAGGGAGACGACGAGCATCCCTGTCACTTTTATATGGGACTCCCCCCAGGGCATGGTGCTTTTCTGGAAGGGGCACCCTTTCAAGTTAAATGTAATATACATGTAGTTATTCAGTTAATAAAGTGAATAGTTATTTTCTTTGGTGCCGGTAGGCCTCAAATTTCTGAGCTTTTCTTTGAAGTAGAACTTAGTTATTTCTGTAAGTTGCAACAAAATATCTATATCTACATGTAATCATCCTGTTGATTTCTCTTCAACAACAGGGGAGTGCCAGTAGAGCTCCATTTTGAATATCAGCACCTGAAGGTCTTTTTTAAAGGTAGCAAAAAAAGCCTGGGGGAGTTCTGCCATGTATGGGTACAATATTCATTATTGGCATGTGCCACTGTAAAGGGTATAGGTTTCAAGCAGTTTAGTCTGGGATAGAGAATAGAAATCAGAGAGTTTGAGTCTAGAATAGGGTACATATGCATTTGTATCATTTTCCAGAAAAATGTTCTTCCCAAACGTTCCTAGAGTAACTTTTTTGGGGTCTATGTTTTACCAGCTGGTAAATAGTACTAGAAGGAATTAGAGTGCTATAGAAGCTGGACTTGACTAAAATGGATTTACAGCTCAGTTCATACAAGAGATACAGATCAAAATGCGGGTGTAAATACTAATGGACACAGAAGAAAACATGAGCGTGATATCAATACCTTAATGCAATGCTAGTGCAAGTGCTAATGCTTGTGGTTTTGCTCGCATTAACATATTAACCATGTATGAAACAAGCCAGTAAAATGCCGGGGGAGGGGGGCACTCCCTTATTTGGACTAAACAGGTATGTGCAGCTGAACAGGGTATGGTTTTTAGGGTCTCCAGTCTTAACAGGGTATACTGAATTTCAATATTTAGTGTCTTGAACAGGGTGTCTTTTGGGAATGGAACCCTTTCAAAGTGTGTGAAAGTTGGCAATAAGCAATCTACATATGTGGTACCAACATATTTTTAAAGCGTAATTCTAAGATTTTCCTTTAAAAAATAAATCTATTTTGTATCCAAAAGGAAATGAATCAGGGTCAAGGGTCAGGGACTAGGTCTCTTGTCTTAGACAGGGTAGTCTTAAACGAAGTCAGGGCTTGAAGGCCTGGGTGGCAGGCCTGTACCCAAGTTTCCCTGGCATTCATCCCCTGGGGTCAGATGCAAGGCCACCATAATGGGATGGAGGATACTTAAATGCAGTGTGCTGTGTTGGAAGTGTGAAAATCTGTTGCACACAAGTACTTGTGCTTGCTTTTGTGTTGCTCATGTGAACCTGCCTAAGCAGAGAATGAGGCAATTTTTCTGTTACTGCAATTTACAGTTAAATGATGGTACACTGCTGCTTATTTTACCTGTATGGCCTTTTCCAATGTTAAACGTTCCATTACTGCGCTCATAATGCTGCCAAATTGATTCTATGTAATGTCGGATGTTATTGCATTTTTCCTCTTTTGTTACGCCTAACAGTGTGCCTATACATGTAAAACAAAAAGAACAAAATGAAGTACTTTAGAAGCCCGGTAACTCAAACTCTGAAGGGAAACGAAAAACAGTTTGAGTTAGTGGGGAATTCGAGCTATCGGGGTAAATTTCAGCGAAATCTTGATCAAGGGAAAGGAAATTTAGTTCGAGTTATCAGGGAAGTTGTCTGAGTTTGAGTTATAGAGGTTCTACTGAATGTATATTATCATGGTTTGCATAATGTTGTAGTAGGGTTTTATCAATTTTTCCACTATTATATAGTCTCACATGACATGGCTTATCAACAAGTGGTTGTAATTTTGACTGGTCAATAACAAAGTAACTTTTGCTGGTAGAATGATAAAACCCTATACCAACCTCATTCCCAGGGTTCTCTCCTACTCAACCCTAATGGGTAGGAGAGTCTTAACCCTGGGAACAAGGTTGACCCTATACTGACTAACTAATAATAACATTATTATAATATTTTTATATCATGGGTGACAAATTATTCCCAAATTTTGCTGTAAAATCTCAGCATTAATAATTAATAATGATCATAAATTAATCATTGATTATTTCATGAGTTGAATAAAAAAATTGCTATGGCAACATTTATTATATGCTAAGTGCCAAGATACCATTCAGGTTTAAGGTGTTATGAATAAAGATGTCTCAGACACATAAAAACTAAAAACACAGAAGTGCACAAGTTTTAACAGCAGGCTTAAAATTTGGGATCAATTACTGGTTTACTGACCAGACCTCTTACACCAATAGTGACATATAGAACCTGATCACCAATTTAAGTCAATCAAGGATCACTTTGTCTGGCAAGTTGTTGATTTTCCCATGCAGCAGGAGAATTTATTGCATTTGGTGCTCAAAACATTCCCAATTTAAGATTGTTGACGTCAAAGGATTTTATGATATTTTGGACTCAGACCTCAAACTCAATAAATTTTGCATTGACCTTCGAATCACAAGAAACCCCCAAGTCAAACGACAAGTATTTGATTCAAGAAAATTGAAAACAGGTTGGTCAGGCCTCAAATGTACACTTAGTTAAATTGACTAGTGAACTTTGGTCCCCTTATACATGTAAGCAGAAACTTCTGCTAGAAAATGTCCAGCACAGAGCTACGAAGTTTATTTTGAATTGTCTGAAAGACAATTAAATTCAAAGTTAACCTATTACCACTGGAGTATAGAAGGAATTTGAAAGACATAGTCCTTATTTTTAAAGCCAAAGCAGGCCACGTAGATCTTGGCCATCAAGACTTTTTCTGGCCAACCAAAATACACCATCACATGCACAATGCATGCGAATTTAACTAGCTGCATTTTATTGTGAAAATGAATTAATCAGTATGTCACAAGCGTGGAACAAAGAAAAAATGTGCAGATTCCCCAACAGGATTCGAACCTATGACCTCCCAAACACAGGGCAGGCACTCTATCCGTTTGAGCTACAGAGAACTCATGGAGAGCAAGGCCACACACTTCTATACTTGTGACATGCTGATTAATTCATTTTCACATTTGTTTCACCGAGCTTAAAATCACCACACAGTATGACATCGACATTGCTGATCCTTGCAGTATGCAGGATGCGTGCCAAATATGAACCTAGCTAGTATATGGCCTCACTTTCCATGAGTTCTCCGTAGCTCAAGTGGATAGAGCACCCGCCCAGTGTTTGGGAGGTCATAGGTTCGAATCCCGTCAGGGACTCAGATTTTTCTTGTCCCACGCTCGTGACATGATTAATTCATTTTCACATTTGTTTCACCGCGCTTAAATTTACTATTTTTAATTCTTTCACCATTTCTCATTTTTGTTCTCTATCTAACATATTTTAAATATATATATTTTTATGTACATATTAATTGATAACATGCAATGAATTCAATAAAGTTAAAGTTTAAGTTAAAGTTAATGCTGACTTAGGGGAGAAGTACAAATGTAGGTGTTCAGTTACCTGGGTACCGCCTCAATAATTGATCCAAATTTGAACTCAACATTTTTTCAATCCTGATAATAGATGAACACAAGTGAAGGAAGACTGACTCAGACCAGTGGTCAGTGGTTTAAGTTTAAGTTCGACTCCTTAAATGGCCAACTGGTTTAATGCTAATCATAAGTGAGATCCTCTGAGGAGGATTTTGTCTGAATTTCAAATACGGTCATATTTTTGCATTTTGAGGAGTAGGTAATGTTCCTGACGACACTTACTGTCAAACTCACAAAACTGTGAACACCAGAAAAGTTTATGGAATGTTATTGTGTTTCGAGAAATTAGCCAAGGCGCAAGATAACTAACACACAAACGGCAACAGTAATTAGTTTGTGGTTTTGCGGTTTGCTTGCGTATTCCTGAACTTTGTTGTAAGTGGCCCGTAGACAATCAACATTCCTGAAATTTTCAGCTGTTCATGGTTTTGGAAGTTTGACAGTAACCCACAACCATCTCATCTAGTCTTGTGTCACTTTTACAAGGCCCTGTTGCTTGTAGGAATTTTACCCCTTGCTGTGAGAGGGCCTCATAAATCCTGCCAGTTTCGTATTTTAATTACAGTCAAAACAGGTCAAGCGTACCCCCCAAGATTCTATTAATGAAATAATTATTTGAAAAATGAATCCGTTAGTCGTTCCCATAACTAGTGTCAAATTCAAATCGGAATTACTGTGAGCAGTGAATAATTTACGAGAACTTGCCTGTATTTGGTCAGATTGAAAATCTTTGAATGAATTAAAATTCTTAGAAGACATTTACATCAAATTCAGGGAAACTGAGCTGGTAGAAATTTCGTAACTGAATCGCGTATGAATTCACGGCTCATTACGCATGCAAGATCTGAAATCTACAACTGCCAACGGACTCAACTTTCGAATAATAAATTCATTAATGGAATTTTGGGGGGTACGCTTGACCTGGCTTGACTGTAACTCTGATTAATTAGCTCAAAGGATATTCTCGTAACTATGCTTGATTATGTCCTTGATTGAGAATTAGAGAACCATACTCGCCCTTTACCAGTATACCACAATAAAACATAGGCACGTTAAACGTGCATGAGCTATTTTGAATGCTTCAGTGTAACTTTAATGCTTCGGTGTAACCCTACCAAGAGTGATCAATCTACCTCTTTCATCCTAAATGTAGATTAGGTTTTTGTGCGAAATTGCGTATTGCGGTACAAAATGAAAACGCGAAACGCTCAGCTGAGTCGATTCTCAAGCTATATATTCACTTTCCTCTGTCTTTCCCTGTTACATCTGGTGCAAGTTAAACAAATCGTTAAAGTGAAATAAATTTCTACTCACCAAACGTTGATTAGAAGGAAAACTCTCAGGTTTCCTCGGAGTTTCTTAAGCCAAAATGTGACTCATCGAATACTGAATAGTTACGAAATACCAGGATTTTTATCATTGTGGTAGATGGTTGCATCATCATAATTCACGAGGTTTTCACGTGCGATTCTACTCAGTGAAACAGTCTTTAACTCCGACAACTTATTTCTTCATGTTTTAAAAGCTACTGCTTCTCAGAAGACAAGAGCCCTTTTTAAGGCATTGGTTACAAAACGAAACAGGTCTTTATACGTCCAAGTTACTATTTATCATTGTGAAAAGCCAATCTGCATGAGATGTACAGTCACACAGCTGGCTCGTGAAAGTGTTGGACTTTGCCCCCTTTCGTCGTTCGTACGTGAGGGAATTCGAGTTATCACACAGTAAACTAGCTGAGTAAACGGAATTATAAAAATAACTCACGCACACAATTTGCACGTGAAGGTGTTGGTCTTTGGCCCTTTTACAATTCGTACGTTAAAAAAAGGCAAATTCTTCACTACAAAATTTTCTCAAACGATTTTAAGAAATCACCTCGGCTTCATTATAACATCTGCAATTAAATTATGTTTCATGCAACGTCAAGGTTGATAACCTAACATTTATTAACAAGATTTTGTGAAACGGTCTTTAACTCCGACAACTTATTTCGTCATGTTGTAAAAGCTATTGCTTCCTAAAAGACAAGAGCCTTTTTTAAGGCATTGGTTACTAAATGAAACAGGTCTTCATACGTCCAAGTTACTATTATTATTGTGAAAAGCCAATCTGCATGTGATGTACAGTCACACAGCTGGCACGTGAAAGTGTCGGACTTTGCCCCCTTTCGTCGTTCGTACGTGAGGGAATTCGAGTTATCACACAGTAATCTAGTAAACAGAATTATAAAAATAACTCATGCACACAATTTGTATGTGAAGATGTTACAAAATTTTCTTAAACGATTTTAAGAAATCACCTCGGCTTTACTACAACATTTGCAATTAAATTATGTTTCATGCAAGGTCAAGATTGATAGCCTAACATTTATTAACTTCCAAGAAAATTATCAAACTGCCGAAAAATATTTCTACTTATATCATGATTATTGTGTCAACTAGCTTCCTCCAATTTTATTCCCTAACGCCACTGTTTCTACTAAAGTTACGCATCTTTACTAAATAGAACGAAAACGGTCGGTTGAACTTTGTAAGCGAGAGAATAATATTTTTAAAGCTTGTTTACAGGATTAACAATACTCGATACAGCTTTCAAAAAAATAAGCTGCCTTTTAAACTTCTAAAACCACATTTTATATGGCGCATACTTTCGAATAAAAGTCTATATCTAAATATCAATTATTGCTTCATTGGAAGAGATTTGAAAATATATGATCTTTTATAATCTACCCAGTTGTAGTAGGTGAAACAGAACTCACACTGACGTGCGTTGTACCGATAGCCGAATTAGGTCAGAAATGCCTCGAAGCAGCATCCACACTTAAATATGAACCCTTAAACAGTTGCATCACTGTTCACAGCGTTTGAATCATGAAGATATTTTATGTAATGCTTCCAAACACCTGTACCCGTAATAAAAGACG